TTGTATCGTGAGACATTTCGTCGAGCGGCAAGAGTGTCCGAGAAGTTGGTGGGATGCTCATACATTTTCAAGGGTATGAATAGACGCGAGCATGTGAATGTATATACACAAAACATAATGGTGTGTTAAGAAAAGACTTTGCAATCGCATATTTAAGACCAGATGGTGCCGCGGATGGAGATGGGGACGTCAATGTTCACAACAACAACCTGAAAATGACTACATTGGCCACGACAGTCAAGAAAAGGAGAAAATGACAAAAATGAGGAACTAACTACGACGATCAAGATGCCAGCAACGTTGAACAGGCAGTATAAGGTTATGCTTTGTAAGTTCCGAATGCATTCGCCACAATGCCGTCGAGCCTTGACTTAAATTATAGCCATCTTTTACGAACATTTCAACGCAGGAGGCAGTACAAAAGATGTTGCAAGAAACATCTTAGTTGGAAGGATTCACGATCATGAGGAAGTATGGGAAGAACGCTGAAGAGATCGATACTGCTTTTTAGTATTTATTGGCTGCGATTGAGCCCCTCCCTGGATCAGTGACCGATTTACCACGTACCAATTGTACTGCACATACAGTCATCAATTTACTCCTTTCTTCACCGCTCCTGCTTCTCACGCTTTCTCCGAAAAGCTGTTGCTTAGCATTGTTAATTTTTCTCCCATGTACGTGACCATGGCATAAACCGTAATGTTCTCTCCAATCAACCAGACATTAGTAGTTCAATTATTTCTACTGCAGGACGTCCTTTCCAATAATGCTACAGTAGAACCTGTCTAAAGTAGTATCGTAGTGATCGATGTCATGGTATTGCTTTACGGAGATAATTACTTTAGGCAGGGTCAGAAAATGTGAGAATTTTTTTAAGTGGGAAAAATGGTGCAATCGGCTATGTTTCATTTACTCCTTGCTGCAGCCTCCACCCTCAGTCAACCCCCACCTATATAAGAAGGGAGTCCCCCGCCATCCCCTTAGCTTTGTTCCCTCCAGTATTCCTCCAAAACGCGCACACTACACGACAATGACGGACAGGGCCCGCATTGCTTTGTGTGAGCTCTACGATAAGAAATTTCAGCTCAGCCAAAAGAAGATCATCCAGTGCCTAGAACAGAGGCACAAGGTGGAAGTCAGACAACCTTAATATCCCAGGACTTTTCAAGAGAAAATCCACAATTTATGCGAAGGCCGACAACAGCAATCTTAACGCAAAAAGTCAAAGGACGGTTAAGTATACTCAGATGAAATCTGCCTTCGTTGAGTTGTTCATTAGCCATCAGGATCGCATTAACGTGAGCGGACATCTTATCAAAGAGAAAGAAGCCCTTTTTCTTGACCACCTTTACCCTGAGCATGATATGTTCGAGTTCTCGAATGGCTGATTGGAAACATATTAGGACCGGCATGGAATCAAGTCCTTTCGCCGTTTTGGAGAAAGTGGTTCTGTTGACACGACAATCATCGAAGAATCACCCCCTAACATCCGGGAGACGCTGTACAAGTACGAGCGAAAAGATATCTACAACATGAATGAAACCGGGCTAGTCTACCGGCTGCAGGTTTGTTTTAACAAGTGGTCTCGTTCGCAACGTTTTATGACACTTTGTGCTTACGTAAACTTATTTACAGGCAGATAATTTACTGGCAACCAAGCAGCTGGAAGGCCGCAGACAAAACAAAGAGCGTCTTACCTTAACAGAGTGCTTCAATGGAAATGGAAGTGACAAGCGGGCGCTCCTTGTTATAGGAAAGTGGAATAGTCCGCGTTGTATCAAAAACATCAACCTCAACACCATCGGCTGCAAGTATCGAAACAACAGAAAACATGAATGACACAATCCATCTTCATCAAGTGGCTAATATCATTTGATGCTCGCATGGCCGGACGCCAACTTTTGGATAAATGCAGTGCACATATACCGCTTACACAATTTCCTACAGTTATCCGGTTGCGCAACACCACGGATTTTTAACTTCCACCAAATACGACTTCGACACCCCAGCCGTGTGACGCAGGCATAATCAGGAACTTGGAGGCCTATTATTGCAGGCGCTTTAATCGCTTGCTCCTTCAGCGCCTCGAGCAAAATGTGGAAGATCCGGAGAGGATCGATGTTCTTCAGGCCATTCGTATGGCGGGTGCAGCTTGGAACTCATATAGCAAGGCCGAAACAATTTCGACTTGCTTCTTTCATTGCAAGGTTTGCTCGGTTGCTTTGGTAACCCCTGAATTTCCTGCCCAGCAGCTGGTCGACAATGAGGTCATTGAAGATCGTTAATTGCAAATCCGTCAGTAACGGTACCAGAACCCAATGGATATCAGATTCCTTCTTAACTACCCTGCTGAGGAGGAGGTCGCCTACACACCAGATAAAGATGAGATCATTGCTGAGCACCTTCGATCTGATCAAGTGGAGGAACAGGAAAATGACACGTAAGAGCTTCCTCGTGTCAATTAATCATAGGCACTCGATGCCACGCAGCCGCTTGAAAACTTTTGGTTGCAGCAGCCAGGCCTGAACCAGGACTTCCCCATAAGCCTCCAGCAAATGAAGGACGAAATCGGAAAGACCAGGACTAACCAACTGGTGCAGAAGCCCATCTTAGAATTCTTTCTCGAGGCCCATTAACTGCTTTGCACTCAATTTCAAAGTCCTCAATATAGTGAATATTAGTTTACAAAATTTTTAGAACGAGCCTTTGGCTATCAAGTAACAGTTTAGGGAGGTTTATTCCGTCTGATATGGGTCTAAATTCGGGACTAGGAAAGAATCGTACCTTAGACAGGTTATTAAATTAGGCAGTATTAATTTAGATGGTTCTACTGTTCTCACTACTAGGCGTCATTTACTCTTTCCCCGCGAGGTCGACGGGAGAATGTTGAAGACGCCGGGCTTGCGGTCCAGGCATGGGCGTATCGCTATCGGTTATGGCTTGACCAGAACATAAATAAACTTACGTTGACTCCACGTGATAGCTGCGTTTCGGTGGTTGTAGATGTGAGCAAGGCGTTGCCCCATAAAGGCTTTAAGTAGAACAACCGTTATGTTCCAAGAGCTGTTAAAAACATGGTTCCAGCTTCGATGTAACGGGGCACCCTGAAGCTTGTACTGGTGACAGTACAAGCTACTTATTCTGATGACAGAATAAGGCGGTGCCTCGTAACTTCACGTACACACGTACGTGCAGAGGAAGACGGTAATAAGAAGCGAGTACTTGGTTAAAGTAAAAAGTAGAACTGTATTTATCATAGATAATGTCTGTTAATAAATCACTATTTATCTTCATCTAACTATGTCTAAATACAGATGTGTAAATCAGTTATCTGCTCACCACTCATTGCGTGCGTCTGTCGTGGCGCGTCTTCGTTGGTTGATATAATGGCCTATATCAACCAATCAGGAAATACTCGTAAGTGCTACAGAATATTTGTCCTTATGACAATATTCTGAGAATATAACTCTTATAGTTATATTCTATTAACAATTGTTATGTAACGATTCACCCCGTTACATCACCCCCTCCCCTTAACCATCAGTCACTTTAGTGACTGATTGACTAAATGGATACTCGTCCCAAACCATTTGGGACAGGGTTTGCACTTGTTGGTCCGCGTCCACTTTCCAACATTTCATCGCATGGTAAACAAGCCCATGCGATGCGCGAGCAAGGCCGCCGAGAGCGCGTCTGCACGTCTCTGTGCGGACGCCGAAGCAGAAACAACAGCAACTGATGTCTCATCGGTTGCTGAAGCGACCCAGCCTGTGTCACTTGGTGATGCAGGCGCTGGTCATGAAGACACTCGTGTCTTTACAGAGTACGAGCTCGGTGTCTCGTACTCTCCTGATACGGATGACGGATCCGTATCGACGGCGATTGAATCTAAGCCGCCTGCCAAGCGTGGCATGGACGATGCTTTACGTCGCAGCATCTTTGGTTCATCTGATGAATCAGATGAACCATCGCCGAAGCGAAGGCGCTCGAGGTCGCGAGACTCGGGCGCTAACAGTGGTGTCGGTTCTCCTATGGATACCACTTCGCAACGAGGTGCCAGTACTTCTGTCGTCACGTCGCAGGAAGAGCGGGACCGCAATTTGTTGCGTCTCGCTCCTGAGAAGGAGGCATGGATGCCTCCAAAATCCGTCATGGATCACTTGTCGGCGACGACGAGTGATCGTTATCGAACACGGTTGTTCGATTCGTCAAGGATCCATCACCTTGACCCCAGCGCGAAAGACTATCGCGCTGAACATGAGTTCTTCATCGATGCTTTCTTTAGACATCGATGGTACAGTGGGAATCACAAACGTGATGGTCCCTCACTACTTCAGGCGTGGAACGCCTACATCCATAATCTCGAGGATGTAGGTCGTGACGCTTGGAACGACAAACTTATCAAAGCTCGTGATAAGTTTGAAAAGCGAACCCCGACAGGTGCACGCTACAAGCTGCATCGTCTGTCAAGGGAGAAAGGATTACCCTGCCTCTCTTGGGGAGACTCGTGCCCATGTTGTGTGAACAACTCTGCACGAGCACCTAAGGAGGCTTACCTCCTTACCAGCCCGTGGTGGCGCGTACGTGTCTCTACTGAGATGTACGAAGGGATTGACAACCTGAAATCCCTTTACGACCGTGCCGGGAAGACTTTCTCCGGCGGTCCTTCTGCGGCACAGGATGTGTCGCGTCGTACTGCTCGACCAGACCCAGTACGTCAACCATCAATTGGGAGCGGGGCTCCCAAGAATCCCAGGACGGGGGATAGCCGCGCCACCGGACGAGATAACTCGTCCGACGTCCGTTCACGTCGCGGTGGTTCAACAGCTGCTCAACTAAATAGCGCTGGCCACCGCGAGAGTCCTCTAATGGAGGTGGAGGAGGAGGAAAGACGCTTTCCACACGATCATGTGTATCGGTGTGTTCCCGAGAGCTTCTTTGATCGCGTAACGCAAGGGTTACGCGACGATCTCGAGCATTAGCGGAATAGGCGTCTCCAAATGGCGGACACTGCCTCGAAGCATCGAGCTGAGTTTGCCTTTGCTCAGCTTGAGAACGAGAGATCTCTGACATCTCTTCGTGACGAGCTAAGGGTAGCTCGTGGGATTGCTGATCGGTCTCGGGATGAGAAAGCTGCTCTTCAGACCCTTGTTGATGCCCACCATCGGGAGCACAAGGCTCTCTGCGAGATGCTTGAGCGCAAGGGCGTTCTTCATCGGAAGAAGCAGCGTACTGATGGTACAGCTTAAGCCGACCAACGTAAAACGTGGGATGCGTTCGCATCTTACGTGGTAACTCGATCGTGTATGCATTGCCTAGGCGGTGCAATACACGAAATGGGCCAATGTACTTGGGTAGTAGTTTACTGCTACCCAAGTTAGTCACTACATGCTTTGGTAGATTAACCGTAGACAGTAGGACTAAGTCACCTTTATTAAATAAAAGAGTGTTTGCCCTTCCATTCTTGTCAGCGTTTTGCTTTTGCTTATCCACCGCTTCGGCGATGGAGTCTTGCACAAAACGGACTACCATTTCACGAGCCAGTATGAACTCATCTGATGACTCGTTAGCTTCAGTGCGCTGTGAGCGCACTGCAGCGACAACATTCTTTCCTTCAGTGAGGGCTTCCGCACTCTCACTGGCATCATCTTCTTCAGTGAGGGCTTCCGCACTCTCACTGGCATCTTCTTCGATATCGATGTTATCGATATCGGCATCAAACGCAATGACCTTTTCGTCAGAGCGTGATGAGCGTGAAACAATTCGGTTTTTGCTCGCGCGAGTCCCTCCCCCCCCTTGAACCAGAGTTACACTCTAGTAAGGTGGGTACACGCGGATGGCGTAATCCATTCACGTAAAACGGTGTATATGTCGTGGACGCGTGCACCGAGTTGTTGATGGCAAACTCTACCATCGGCAAAAACTCACTCCAACTCTTAAAGGAGTGTACGTATCCTCGAAGTATCTCTTCAAGGACACGATTGGCACGTTCCGTCTGACCATCTGACTCTGGATGATCAGATGTTGACATCTTCAAGCGCGTTCCGAGTGATTTGAACACGGAACGCCAGAAATCAGCAGTGAATCGTGGATCTCTGTCTGATACGAGTTCACGGGGCAACCCATGAAGTCGGAAGATGGTGTCAATAAAGACACAAGCACAGCCACTTGCCGTGATTGTCTCTGGTACAGCCACAAGGTGTACCATTTTGCTGAATCTGTCAACAAATACGAGAATACCCGTATTCCCGCGTGCGTCTTTGGGTAACCCGAAGACGAAATCCATTGATATGGATTCCCAGCACTCAGCCGGAACCGGTAGAGGCTGTAAAGGTGCACGCAGTGAAGGACTTGACTTCACTCGTGTGCAGACTTCGCATGCGCGAACATACTTTCGCACAAACTGATACTGGCGGGGCCAGTAAAAGTCTCGACTTACCGTGAGATATGTTTTCTCTCGGCCACGATGTCCTCCTATAGGAGCATCGTGATACTCGAACACGATCCGCAAACGCAGATCAGTATCATCTGGAATGACAACACGTGGTATGTCACCAGAAACGGCTGTATAGTACAGTAAACCGTTACGAGTAGTGTATCGATCTGATGCAGATCGATACGCAGACGACAATCGTTTCAACGATTCTCGAGATGGTTGGGAGAGATGTGTCAACAACTTCACTATCTCACCATCTTGGGCGTATGCCCGCCTCACATCATCGTACAACGTTGTAGATGGGACTGAGGACGTCATAACCGCAACAGTGACTGTCTCACTGTCGGTTTTCGCGACTGGTTCAAAGTCGGGACGACGTGAGAGTGCATCAGCGACGACATTAAGTCGTCCTGGTTTGTACTCGACCGTAAAGTTGTATTACGCAAAGAATGACAACCACCGCGCCATTCGTTGTGAAAGGTGCGGGCTGTTCACTGCCGTGCGTAATGACGCATGGTCAGTGTAAACAACGAAGGGTCTATCTCCTAATAGATAGACTCTGAACTTCGCGAGTGCATACTTCATGGCAAGGAGTTCCTTGTCATGCACTGGATAGTTCCGCTCAGCTGGTTGCAGCTGACGAGACTGATAGCAGACGACGCGTTCAACGCCTTCCAGGTCGTACTGCATTAATGCACAGCCGATTGCGAAATCGCTGGCATCACAGACCACATGAAATGGCCTGTCTTGATCGGCTATTGCTAGGACTGGGGATTGTATCAATCTCTGCTTGATACCATCAAAGGAGCGTTGACATTCAGCGTTCCATAACCACCTCTCGTTCTTTTTCAACAAACGAGAGAGGTGTACAGTCATCTCGGCGTAATTGCGTGAATACTTATGCAAATACGCCGCTAGCCCAAGGAATTTTCGAAGACCTTTGACATCGACCGGCACGGGCCAGTCGGTGATCGCCTTGATCTTTTCGGGATCAGGACGTACACCGTTCTTACCAACGATGCACCCAAGAAGTGGTATTTCGCTTGCTGCAAATATACACTTCTTGAGGTTAGCATACAATTGATGCTTTCGCATGATTGTGAGAACTTGTCGGACGTGGTACTTGTGAACCTCAACGTCCGACTTTCCATCCATAGCTCGACTATGGATGAATACGTCATCGAAATAACTCGGCGCGAATTCTCGTACTGGTCTCAACAGATGTGATACACATCTGTTGAACGTGGCAGGGGCATTACTGAGCCCTTGTGGCATTACTAGCCATTCCCAGAGCATGCCGCTAGGCGTGCTAACTGCGGTATAGGGTATATCCCATAAGGATTTGATAGAAGCCATCCATCAAATACATGGACGAAAAGATGGTACTCTTTGACATACCATCAATGATTACGTCCTTCCTCGGTATCGGCGTCTGAGCCGGTACCGTTGCAGCGTTCAATTTGTTAAACGCGTGCACTATCCGCCACCCTCCTGTTGCTTTTCGCACACAGAAGGTCGGAGAGCTATGTGGGGAAGTTGATTCTCTCACATGGCCCGCTGCTAAACGATCGGCAAAGAACTTGTCGATCGCAAGTACTTGTTCACGAGGCAGTGGCCACTGCTTCATGACACAGTACTTCGAGCCTGGTTTAAGCTCGATCTCGTGTCGAATACCTTTATCCTTCGGTAATTCGCACGGAACAGTTTCAGGGAATACATCCTTGAATTCAACCAAATCTTCATAGAGAGGATTTTCCTTGAGCGATTCCCATGATTGGGACTCATATCGCTCAATTCGTGTCTTTTCATCTAGGACACTCTCGTCCATAGATGAACCACTGAGAACTCTCTCGTTCTCAGTAAACACTGTTGCTGACCTTATGTCGGTTACATACTCGTCTTCAGCGACGAGTATGCAGATCTGCTTGACTTTGCCACTACGCAGATCACGCAAGAACCTTTTATGTTCGAGCGTTGGCAACTGAGTGATCTCCGAAGTTAACTTCGGAGGCGCAATCAGATCAAGTGTATAAGCGCCTACACATGATCCGTTATTGACTATGACATTCAATGTCTCTGTCATTTCCTGGGGACTTATTCCCTCAGGCTTCGAAGGACTTATTCCTTCGTCTTCCCGGGGACTTATTCCCGCGGGTTTCGGGGAACTTATTTCCGCCGTATTTGTAATCTTGGGACTTATTCCCTTTACTTCCTCTAGCTGGGGTTGCGCAACCACAGCGAGGTCTTCTACGAAAGACTCTCCAGTCGATCTAGGATTATCGTTTCGCTTAAACTGAGCGATCGATTGTTTCTCTTCTAGATGTCCCCCGCTAGGGATACATCTTTGTCCCAGTCCACCCGACTTATTCGAGTGGTGGACCTTCGGCGCAGCCTGTGTTTCCTCACAGCCGCCGGAACTTTGCTCCGAAGTGTAACTGTTTGTTACACTAAGGTTTTGTGCAGTCGTACTAACGACCGTACCACAAGTGATGCCATCGCACTCACTCGTAGTACATCCACACGCTTGTGGACGCTCCAAAACGTTCATCAGATGGCCATCTGATGAACAAGCGGCAGGCATCGTTACTGTCCGATGTTGCCATTTTACCCGTGGTTCGTACCTTCTGAGCCACGGTATTCCAAGGATGACATCAAATTTGTCATCCAAATCCAATACGATAAAGGCATCGTCATATTGGGTATCTTCTAGCGTATAGTGGATCTTCACTATACGCTTCATGACGGTTACGGATGCGCCTGTCGCAAGACGTACCGTCATCCTCGTAGGAGGTGTGTCACATTCACTGAATTTAAAGTGACCATCTTCTAGCGATTGGCGTTGCACAATATTGTTGGACGCCCCACAATCGACTAGAGCTTGAAGGGACAACTTATTCGTCACTTCGAGTTTCAAGGTAATGAGTGAGATCTCATTACCTAGAGCAGCAACGCACAACGTTTGTGTGTTGGGAGCAACCTTCATCAAGAGGCCTACAAATTCTCTTGACGTTGCTGGATCAGTAGGGTGCTCCGCACCTACTGATCCTGTCCGTTTTTTGACGGTCCATCCCGTTGTTGCGTCTTTGCACCAACTGCGGACCCTCGTCCCTGCCCCTTTCTCATGGGTGGACGGTCACTACGCCCAGTGTCGCGAGACACTGGACGAGGGGCACTACACTCGTAAGCGTAGTGTCCTGTCTTTTGACATATGTTGCATCTCTGCAACCTCTTGTAGTCTGTAGAGCGAGTCTTCTCGCTCTCTACATAACAGAGTTCCATCGGCTCTGGACCTCCGTTGTCATATCGTCTCGGTTGACGATATGATATCGAGCTGGCGCGAGCCTGTCTCAGACTGAAGTCTTCCTGCTCCGCAATGGAAATGGCTTGTTCTAGTGAATCTAGTTCAAGCCGGAACAGGTGAGTCTTGACGGGACCATCCGCAAGACCCTGCATGAACACCGAAACCAACGTGTGTTCATCCACCGGATTGGAACTTTTACAACTCGTGAGATGTCGTATATGTTGGGCGTAAGCGTGCACATCACGCTTACCCTGTTTGAGCTTCAAGAGTTCGGTTCGAGCCCTGAACTCAGCTCTAGGCGGTTCAAACGTTTGTCTGAGCCGCGACTTGAAGACTTCCAACGACCCAAACGCATATGGGTCGTGCAACTTGAGCCCCAGTGCCCAAGTCTTGGCACGTCCTGCCAGATTTGACTGGGCAAATGCAACTTGCATATCCCCGTCGTCGATGCGACGCGCCCTTATGGCGTCATCCAATTCGACGAACAATCTCAAGAGGGAGTCTTCTTCGACCCCCCTATACTTGGAGATGTCAATCTTCAAAGTTTCGGGTCGACGCGAGTGCATCGACCCACCAGCAGCAGCCTGATGCTGTCTCAACAGTTCAAACTGTTGAGCACCCTGTTCTCTCAACAACTCCGCTTGTTGAGAACCTTGTTGGTGAAGCAAGGCTACTTTCTCGCGTTCTGCGTCAAGTTCATTTTGAATGAACTTGGCGATAGTAGCATGTTGGGCATCTCTATTGAGAGCCTCCAGCATGACGCTAACAGCATGGATGCCCATGGTCGAACCCATTCGTTCAACCGCATCCCATTCGACATCGCTCAAATGGGAGTAGCCGTCACGCGTAGCGTGAAAGCTTTGGTCATCTTCATCATCCAACATATTCATGTTGGATGTGAACGCGGTCCTTGAACGGACTACGAAGTGCTACCAGGTGTAACGGGGCACCCTGAAGCTTGTACTGGTGACAGTGCAAGCTACTTATTCTGATGACAGAATAAGGCGGTGCCTCGTAACTTCACGTACACACGTACGTGCAGAGGAAGACGGTAAGAAGAAGCGAGTACTTGGTTAAAGTAGAAAGTAGAACTGTATTTATAATAGTTAATGTCTGCAATAAATCACTATTTATCTTCATCTAACTATGTCTAAATACAAATGTGTAAATCAGTTATCTGCTCACCACTCATTGCGTGCGTCTGTCGTGGCGCGTCTTCGTTGGTTGATATAATGGCTTACATCAACCAATTAGGAACTACTCGTAAGTGCTACAGAATATTTATCCTTATGACAATATTCTGAGAATATAACTCTTATAGTTATATTCTATTAACAATTTCTTATAAATTGTTATGTAACGATTCACCCCGTTACATTCGACCTTGCTTTGATTAAAACAAAATGTATGTCACAAAACGTTTAATGGTACGAGAGTAACATCCTGATGATGATTACAGACCGGATACTTTGACCATTATAGATAGATTTAAAACAATTAGTAACGGTATGCACCTGGCCTACGGTAAAAAGGGGTGTTGTTCCTTCCGAACGCTCTTTAGTTTACTTAGCTCGCGGAACTGATTAGCAACGTTTGTATGATCTCCAATAGATTTGAGATACGATCGTATGACGTTAAAAGAGAAACATCCGCTAAACCCTTTGCAAAATCTTGTTCGCATTCGTTGGCGTTGCCACCAAGAGTTATAGAACGGATGTTCTTACATGATAAGCTAATGATAGATCTGAAAGAGGCATCCGAAAGGGATACATGTTCTTCCGAGAGCGCGTGGTGGGCAAAACTACTTTAACCCATCTAGATAACCCGAACAATCCCTATTTCGGAGGAAACACATGGGCCGGAGAAACCGTCGGGCAGATACAGTTGAAATGGGAGGCCGCGATGGTTCGTAATGACTCATAAATAATCGACGGACTTGTGTATCGTTTGAACAATGTTTACTTAGGCGGGTAAAATGAGGGCGAAAGATGTAAATCGCTTTGTGTTGTTATGCAGAAAGTTATATTTCTGGGATGGTGCTTGGAGATTTCATCGAGATGACCAAACCTACTCTCTACTCACTTCTCTTCGTACAAAAAGCAAACGGTATTGTAGGGCGATTTGACACGACAACAGGGACGCTGCCAGCAATTGCACAACGTATCGCTGTACATCAACAAGACCGAAGGAGAGGGACTGAGGCCGATAGGTCATCACAGTATCAATGGATTCATGTTGAGAGTTCCGGACATCATCTCGAACGAACGTGTGCCCTGTAGCATAAAACGATACTGCACTGGCGAGCGATAGCGGGGCGAGGAATGGGCTTGGCGGGTCCGATACCAAATCGTCACGAGAACGTGTTTTAGGATGAGCCGTAATAAATACGCGGTGTAACAACAAATTTCCTAACAAGTGCATAGCTATTTCAACAGGATCGTTAAAGGCTGAGTCAATTATCGAGGTCCACTTCGGTAATCGGAGCTTTTGATTTCTAGGTTCGAAAAGGGCTCCAGCTACCGAATTTTCATAAATGCAGGTGGTCAAAGAAGTACTCTCACGCATAACTTCTGGACATTTCAATGTACACAATGCTGCTAGTGAACTTTGATAACATTCAGAACAAGACAACCAACGTACTCCACGCGCTAGCGTGACTACGCAAAACATAGGCTGGTCAGAACACAACCACAACTGTCATCAGCAGTCACCAGGTGGCTGCACGATGCGTTTAAAACGATGCCTTAGAAAACGAGTTGTAGAGAATGTAGTGGGTACCCAGCCCGTTGGCCGTTTCATGTGTACAGTCCAACGAATCCGAGTAGTTACGAGGTCAAAAGGTCGCAAAGAAAAGTAAAGCTTAGGAATTCGTCGGAGTCGAGCTCAGGTAGCTGCGGGCATTAGCTACAAGAGAAGGTGACGTACTCAAACAAAAATACAAGGAAAGGGTATACTATAATGCATCGGTCTCCTCAGCACTTACGCTACAGGAGAATGAGGAAATAGGAAGCCACGTAAAACCACCGGATTGACAGCAGGCGCCTGCGTTGCTAATAGGGCGTTGGAATTTACAGACACCTTGCAAATTGTACCATCGTTAATGAGGCAGTCTCCTTCGCTCTCTCCTTCACACTTCTACGATGCTGCGCATGTAAGAGTGGCCTGCCTATTCTACGCTCAATGTGATACTGCAGACATTGTCAATAGCTGTTGTCGTTTTCACGGGGACGCGATCGTTCTTGACCTGTCATGTTTGAACATCGTGTGGACTCATTCCAAGCTCGACTAGTACTGCGCGATTGAGGACCCTTTTTGTGCACCCATACTCATAGAGAAGGGTCTCACTTGGTCAAGCAGCCACCCGTCCACAGCTCGACAAGACTACAGTTCGACGTTCTGCGGTATTGCCTACTGCAATCCAAGCCAAAAAGGTTTTCTCAATGCCCTTGTAGCTATTTCCCGACGCAGTATTTACAGGTTTGAACTGGACATTGCGAGAAAATTGCAGCGACATAAAGTAGGTGCCTTTTGTAGATTCTGTATTTGCAGACACCCTTTCATAGATACCAGCAAAGCTTATCGTAACAAGCGTGACGCGGTGGATATAGACATTGCAAATATATTGAGTTTTAGGCGCGCACACCCAGCGTTATTGAAATCTACAACTCACCCATGGAGGCAGCAGGAAGACCGTTCACGAATAGCAACAAACTAGAAAAGAGTAAGTGCACTACAACTGCTAGTGTCAAGGACCTGCACTCTACTCCGCAGTCTTGGCTTTCTTCTTGTGCTTTTTCTTCTTCTTCTTGTCAGCATCAGCAACAGGGGCCGCAACAGCCGCCACCTCCTCCACTTTACTGTGCTGTTTGTCTTTCTTGGCCTTTTTAGACTTCTTACCAACCGCTTCCTCCATGACTTGCTCCATTTCACCAACTCCGTCGACCGCGGAGCGCTTCTTCGACTTCTTGTCCTTCTTCGACTTCTTGTCTACCTTTGCAGCAGCTAGCTGAAGCTCTTCCGAAACTTCCTGCATCACGTCGGCATTCTTGCGCGGAGCAGCGCCACTCTCGTAGAACGCAAGGCGCTCTTCAACCTGCTCACGCATCTTTTCGCCATACTTTGTGGTAGGCTCGTCAATGAACGAATCAATGCGCGAGGCGATCGCACACTTGTTAGCTAGGTAACGTGAAATGCGGCCCTTGTTCTTGGATGCGGCACGGCCAATGAAAGTCGAGTGGAACAGCAATCCATACTTGGGAGTGTTGCCACGGGTCTTCAATGCTCGGAACAGAGCCTTCTCAGCGCCCAAAATCTGCACGGTTGAGGCTGGGCACTTGGCTAAGTTGGTCAGCGAACCAGCGTGTGAGATCAGACGAGCACCAACTGACTCGCCGATAAGTGATGCAAGGTTCGGAGCTACCGACGACATCTTAGAAACCAGGTACTCGTGCAGTTGACGACGATATTCTGCTAGCTTGATGAGACGAGTGGTAAAGTTGTCGACATTAATCATGTCGATCTCCGACATGTCCATGCCCATTGAAGAGCGAGCAGCATGCAGGATCTGCTGGGCCTTGTCTTCATCAAGAACAATCTGCGACAGCTTCTCGAGCGAGTCCCCGCTCAACGTGTTGCGGTTCTTAATGAATGAAGCGCAGCGCGCATACACATAGTTGTCATTGACAATCTTGACCAGCTCAGGAAAGTGCCACGAGTACCACTCCCGCACGCGCATCGCAAACGTGTTGATATCCTTGTCCATTTGATCAAGTAGAGCGATTGCCTGGATGATCATGTTGTCGGCACGGTTCACGTTAAATTTGACCTTGGCACGAGAGTACGAGTGACCGAGACCAAGCTGGGCCTTTGCAAGGTTTCCCTGAGCCAGTTCCTTGACAAACGTGCTAAAGTGCATACGCACACCTCGAACAATCTCCAGCGTCGTCTCGCTTGTGTTGCACGGCGCGTGCAACTCATCCGAAATGGCCTGTGCGAGCCCCTTGTCCTGCACGCCTAGCGCAAATTTGCCCTTTTTGCCGCTCTTGACCTTGGGTAAATTAATCTCGAGAAAGTTCTTGAGATCTTCGCCTAACAGACCTTCCGAGACATTGTTAATGTTCTCGAGAGCATTCTCGGCCGACGTAAAGGGCTGGAACGCCTTCAGCTTGACAATGCGTCCAAACGAAGACACGTCAGCCGTTGCCGCCTGCACCTCGGCCACGAGACTGCCGATCTCTTCATGTTCCACCACTTCAAAAAGCGCATAGCCAGAAGCCGACTCAAACAGCACAAAGTTGTTGGCCCCCTAGTTGGAATAGATAGGAGAAGAGAATGATAGTGAGTGTGTCGTACTCACAGAACACGCAGCGATCACGTCGAGCAAATTGTACATTCAAATGTCAAACGTAGCTACAGCTATGCACCGCCAACCATGCAACGCCTTGTCGTTCACTTACCATGTTCGTCCTGACTGCCGTGTTTTCCAACTGGTCGTGGCTGGTGGTGGGGGTTGCAACGCGGGGCTGTCAGTGTCTGCTGGCCAGCCAGATCGATTCTACAGTTCATTGGCTGATATGTGCGGAATGATGACAAACGATTGGAGGTTATGGGCAGCATTTTCAGCCAACGGATGTTCGGACGACAGATAAGTACTGCCCCGTGGTAGATTATAGTACTACAATTACTACAATTACTACTACTACGACTACTACTACCACAATGCCAACTTGCATTTACTACTCACGCACGTTTAATACACACTGTCGATTTACGTAAGAACGTAGTAAAAAGGGCATTGACGTTAGAAATCGGCCATCATATTATTGCACGTCGAATTCGGCACATGCACTAATTTTTGGCTGCGGTCCTCGGGCGCGACACGACGTCCTCCAAATCCGACAAAAAGCTTCGGCCCCAGAAACTAGCAGTGTGCGTCTTCACGTAGCGATGCAGATTCGTTTGACGATATTCGCGTTCCATGGGCGGCAACTCCAGAGCATATTCGAGTGCATTGGCCACATCCGTCGTGTTCCAGGGATTGACACGGATCGCACCTGATAATGATTGGGCACTGCCAGCGAATTCGCTCAAGATGAGCACGCCCGGCCCTTCCCGATGCGGCTCGCACGGTTGACACTGACAAATCACGTACTCATGGCTCACCAGGTTCATACCGTCACGGATGGATGTCACGAGGCAAGCATCAGCCAGGTTGTACAGCGCAACCAGTTCACTGGGAGCCACTGGCTGGTGAATGTAGTGCACAGGACAATGCGTCAGGGTTCCAAATCTCCCATTGATACGACCGACCATCTCGTTCACGCTTGCTGCAAGATGCTGGTATTCTTGCACGCCTGTACGAGACGGCACGCCAATCTGGATTAGCACGACATTCTTGCACCGTTCCGGATACAACGAAAGGAACCGCTCCATCGCCAGCAGTTTGTGCGGTATGCCCTTGATGTAGTCCATGCGGTCAACTCCAATGATCACTTTGCACCCAGCAAACTTTGCTTTAAGCTCCTGAATGCGTTTTTGCGTGGCATCCGAGTTTAAGGTATCCTCAAAGTGTTCCGGGTCGATTCCGATAGGAAACACACCAATTGCCGTAAAGTGGTTGCTAAGCTCCACACCTTTTGGAGACGTCGACGCACCTGGCAGACGTTCGCAGGCCGCGATGAAATGGCGGGCATTATCGTAGGTATGGAATCCGAGCAAGTCTGCGCCAAGAAGGCCTTCCAGAATTTCGTCACCCACAGGGAGCGTTCGATACATTTCATCCGTGGGAAAAGGCGTGTGAAGAAACCATCCAACCTTACAGAGTGGGTGTCGTGATCGCAATAGCGAAGGCAACATCATCAAATGATAATCATGTACCCAAACAAAGTCGCCTTCCCGATACACTTGATTCACAGCCTGGGCGAAGCGCTTGTTGGCCAGTTTGTACGCGTCCCACTGCCGGAAATCAAACTTCTTTTCGCTCCCTGGTCGAAAGAGCGGGAGTGGAACGTAATGGAAGATGGGCCACAAAATGTCATTGCTAAAGCCGTTATAGTAGCGTGCAGCAATTTCCTTCGACAGGAACACCGGCACGCAGTTAAACTCCTTCGCCAGTTTCTCACGGACTTTGCTCTGTTCGTCGTGTGGAATCTCTTCTCCTAGCCACCCAATCCAAATAAACGGCACCTGGTCTCGAATCCCATTCAACGCCGTCACGAGTCCCCCCGAGCTCATGGTAAAGCTCCATTCGCCCGTCACTTCGTTGCGTTGAAACGAAATCGGCAGTCGATTCGACACCATAATCAACCGATGTCTTGCATCCATCATTGGCGGCACAATCTCTTCCTGTGGTTTGTCCGTCTGGATCTGCACCATGGACAACTGACGCTGTAGTTCTTGAATGTTCACCAGCAGCTCTTGTTCGTGAGCATTCATCTCCATCATCTCCTCCTCTTCAGCAGCAGCGAAGTTCCCGAGCGACGGAGACCGAAGCGCCGCGTGATGGTCCCCCCCAGCTGTTCGGCCACCGGCTCGAAGACTACGAGGCTGCGACGACTGCAGCGACGCGTCTTCCTCGTCTTCGTCTACATGGGAATCGACCTCTGGAGCGCGTTCTTTGTCGTGGACACGACTCTTCAAGTTATCGTCTTCCACGTCCTCGTCTTCTTTGCCTTGTTCGTCGTCCTTCTTGTTCGCTATTTCAGTACATTCCAGAGTGCCGCTTGTGCCGGGACAATGCAGAGCTGAAGCCTCGTGATCCAGAGAACGAAGGCGCAGCTCTTCGCTGTCCACAACATTGCCTCGGTTCACGTCCGCTTCGTCCACGAGGATCGTCTCGGGCTTCGCAGACGCGTCGTGGTCACTCATTGTCGGGGTTTTAGTTGATATGGCTACACGCGATGGATTGAAAATTGAGATCTGAGGATCTTAAATCAGTGCCGGCCCGGTCGTCGAGAAAGATCGGCGACGTTGTGTCAATAGAAAAAGCAGGTGCTCTTGTCTCGATTGATGGTATACTATCGAGGTGCACCACACCAAATACATCATGTGCACCACATCAATTACTACCTCGAAATAGTGAAGGCAGGAGACCAGCCTGTAGCCATTTCCAACCCAAATCAACCAAAAAGTCGGCAGCCATCGACACGTCAAGTCAAGTCAAGTCCTTCATGATGGCGTGTGGCGCGTAACGCGACTGCCTTGGTGTATACGTGATGATGATGAGAGGAACAAGCAGACCATGAAGAAAAGTCCTAAAGACAAGGCTGAAGCTGGTCTCATACTTGAATTGGCCACACGAGCGACACTATTCCAGCACAACTTTGGAAGCTCTTGATTCGAGGATGAACTCGTTTTGGACATCGGTTTGGTCGGTTACGGTGCTACTTGCCACTGGTTTGAAAGTTCAAGTCGCGCCTCCGTCTGGAATGCCTACTGCCATTGCAAGTTCTATGGCTCCTGTCACTGAAGCTTCCGAGCAAAGAGCAGCGGTGGCTTGTGGTTCCCGCATTCGCAAGTCGTGGGACATGCTTCTTCCAGAGGAGAAGGATGTTTACTTGCGTGCAATTGCGCGGTCCATGGACGACGGCTACTATATCAAGTTTGTAGAGATCCACACGGAGCAAATGACGACGGCTGAGGCGCATAACACGTGCATGTTTGTCTACTGGCACCGCCTGTTACTCTTGGGGTTTGAGAACATGCTGCGGAGCTACGGCGGTGAGTTCTCTTGCATCACGGTGCCCTACTGGAATTACGTGGAAGATAATGAGCGCTACATGATGGGCGCATGCCGAAGCATGGAGGAATGTTCGCCCCTCTTGCAAGAGTTTGGCGGATCGCGTAGAGGCACTGATGGCTCCATCACCATTAACGGATCCCCCATCAGTGGCACGTGTGTGACGACGCCGCCTTTGAATCATTTCTGTGAGGCCACGCATCTTAGCAGCGAAAATTGTGCGCACTGTGTACCTCGAGGTGACTGGCTCGGCTCTCCCTTCCCACCAACGACGACAGTAAGCTCACTCGCGCGTCAGCTTTTTGACACTCCGACTATCGCTGGTGTCGTGGGCAACCTGGAACTGGGCATTCATAGTACGTGTAGAGACGCAAATGGGTGGATTTTTTTTACTCTAGACTGACGTTGTGTGTCCGTGTCCTTTGTGTTTGCACAGATACCATCCACAACGCTCTCTCGGGAGCGATGGGTTTCTTGGAAGCGCCAGCCGACCCAATTTTCTTTTCGCACCATTCTACGATTGACCTGCTGCATTCGATTTACTACAAGTGTGTAGTTGGCAACACTGTTTCGATTCCGCTGGAGCAGAAGTTGAGAGACCCTCGAGTGTTTACAGAATGTCCACGACGTCGGCCACTTCCGGTCAACGCGAGGGATCAGAACATTCTATCTCCGCAGTCAAGCATCCTGCTGCGGACAGGTGAAGAAGGAGTGAACCCCATGTCGGTGTTTTCACGGGATAACATGTTGGCCCCATTTTTCTCAGCGCTTCCGTCAGAGTACCTGAGTTTCTCGGACATTCGCGACATTGGTGTTTTCAGCTACAACTACGAGATGACGGGGTTGCTGGCTGAGATGTTCACTTCATGCCCCGGTGCTGGTGCCGTACGAGCTGGTTTGCCACTCCGTAACCTTGCAAGTTTTGCGAACGCCACGGAGAACAAGTCGAAGTTCGTGGAAGCGGTGATTGTTCCTAACAACAAGACGGTGGACAGTTGGTACAGCGAGGCACTAGCAGCAGCATCGAACCTATCATCGGTTGAGACTGTGATGACAGAGGCTTCACAAGACTCACTTGATGCGATCCGAGATGTGGAAAAGATGACTTGTGTGTTCTATGACGAGTGCCGTGACGGTGTGCACGACTTCAGTGACGACTTCCGGCACAGCTTCCATGCGAGTGGCTCATCGCCGTGCACCACTATTCTCGCCGACATCAAAAGCGGTCGTGATCATATTCGAACGCCTAACTGGCGCTCCATCTTTCTCAGTCACATGAAGTGCGATCGCGGAAGCTCGTGACGTGTGCAGTTGTACCTTGTTTACGACCACCATACGAAGTAGATGCAATATCAAAGCGACCTTCACTTCTACGCCGTGAATTGATTTGAAGATGACACGAACTAAAGCTCTTGAATGACCTCTTCAATGAAACAAATAAAACTCGAATCAATGTGCTCCTCTTCCTCCTCACTATGCTCCCTGATAGCTAGTCGCTTAACAGTACCTTCCAAAGCACCAGTGTCCAAACCGATGGATATTTCTAAACAAAACACACAGTGAATCTCGGTCTGCGGCAAGACGAACAGAAAGCGTCAACGAACAGGCATTCATTATCCATTGAGCGCATACGTTTCTCGAAAAAGCCACTTGAGCGTACCATTTCGGCATAAAAGAAGAACTTGACCAGCTTATCTACGCAGCCGCTCGCCAAACAGCACATGCGGTTGTCACGAAAGAGTTCAATAACTTCATCCACTTCAGGCAGCTCATTTAGCGTAGACGAGAGCGACGCACTACAAGGAATTCACAGAGCAATATGAGTCTTTGCATCGCACACGAACTACCTTCCAGCCAGCAACAATCTTACATTTCGATAGCCGTTGCCCAAACCTGTTCAAAGTTTCCAGCATCAATAAGAGGGGTTTTACACAAGTAATCGCGAGCTGACATTGCTTCCTCATCAGCATCCCCAACATCGTCATCATCTCCCTGAGATGTCGCGTGTGATGCTGTTCGAGACGCAGCGTATGACACGGCGCACGAAGCTGGATGCGTCTTAACAGGTACAGAATCTCGTCCGTTGGGTAGCAGCTGTTGCATAGTATTTTGCCCTGATTCATGCACTTTTCCATCATTGTGTAAATGTTGTAGCGGCATCGGCACCCCTGCAGCGTGCCCCTGCGCCTGCGCAGCAAACTGGTGAAGAGCGTGTACAAGGATTTCCTTGAAGATGACATGGCCATTTCTGTAGAGAAGCGAGTTGACGATCCACTTGAGTGTCACCGACATGTCTGCCAAACCCGGCATGATGGAAATGTCCACCAAAAAGAGCGTTCCTTCGATAGCCTGTTTACATACATCGGGCAGATACTTTAATATCGCCACGACACCAAAGTCACTGGGACTGGCCAACACCGACTTCAACCGGGCACACGTTACCTGCTCTGCGACAAAGAAGCAATGTTGCTGTCCAGCAACCTTCTTGCTAGATATGCACACCATCCTATAGGTCTGTAAAAAAGCCTGCAAGTCACGCGGATCGAGCTCGTGAGCATCTATTGAGCCGAAATCCACCGACCATTCCTCTCTACAAGCGCACACAATTAGTCATGAGCCAAAACAAACCATCATGCAAGCAACGTACGATTCGTCATTCGCTGATTCCCACATATCGTCCAGATCACTGCCATCCATCGATGGGTGCTCGACCAAAAAGTCTTCAGCTGATGTGGAAGGATGTTCGTGCACAAATCCAGAGGCAGATTGACTAGAAGGTCGACCTGTTGAGCTACTTCTGGGAGAAGCGTCATCTACAACGTCTGAAGCACCAATGAACCCGAACGCGGATCCACTGGGTTTGTCTGACTCTGGCGCCTGTTGCTCTATAAAACGAAAGCCGGATCCGTTCCCGCTGTTTGCAGTGAATTGCTTTGTTTCGTTTCCAGCCACTAATCTAATGGGAGGCGCATATTCAACGACTGTGGACCTTAACTCAGACTCTTCGTATTGGCCATTGCTGGATGGATGATGAGACGTCTGGTAACAAGAAACGTTGCCATCCATAGTCTTCCTAGGAACCATACCCAGTTCACCGATCGCACCCACCGATTCTGCACGGTCAGAATACTGGATACCATCACTAGCCGAGTCCAAATTCTTTCCTTCATCGCTGATGGAGCGCTCCCTGCCGTCGCGGTTGTTAGCGGTGACTGGACAAGCCGAGCAAACGTCCTTTTCCATAGAGTCGATATCATCAAACTGCGGATTGGTTGGGTCCAGCCGAACAGCAGCAATTGCTTGCAAGAACTTCCGAGCATCGGCGCGATAAATGTTGTCGTTACGCTGCTGCGAAATGTGAGTGAAAACGTCTAGGTTCTCCTCAAGTTCTGCTACGCATAGATTTTGCTTCAAAAGAGCCATAGTAGCGATAAATGCATTGCGATGAACCTGTGATTATTTAAAGTCAGTATATCGACAATTTTCTCTCGAAATCGCCAGCATATGACGTACGTGGCTGGCGTAGAACTCGTATTTAGCCTGAAGCCTCTCCACTAGCGTGTCTGCCACACCCTGGAAGCCAAGATCAACAATGCGATTATGTTAAGCGCAGCCAACGGTAAACCGCATCATCTCACTCGTCGTACCTTTCGATCTTCATCACCGAGCTCCAACACACTCGATATAAACGTAACCACTTTCTCGTCCTTAAGCGTGCCGTAACAAACTGCATTTACGAGTTTAATCGCTGCTGAAGAAGCTTTAGGTTTGTTGAAGTTTTTCTTCGAAACCACAGAGCTGATGCGCACGCGTGGAACACGCAATTTGCGGCCCCACGATTTCTTCACTGGAGCGCTATTGCCGCTCGAGTCAGCACCTCTGAGGATGTACACACGGACACTTTGTCCAAACCTGATCACATCTCCATCTACCAGCAACAAAAAGATACCCCTTGGTCAGCAACCTTTTGCTCCCTACCAACTCTTGAACGTCTCTTGACACACGAAACAAACAGCTTCTACCGTGCAAAAGATACGGATCGTGCGGCGGAAATCTTCTTCCGACTCACGTACGTTCCATGCCGCGACATCAGGTCCACCATCTACCGACACAACAAACATCAAAACAAAGCAAACAAACAAGACATACACAAAGTAATGACTTTTTGCGCACTACATAGCAAGTAAACAACACAATGTCCTCCATCCTTGACGGCGGCTTTAACGCACGTAAATTCCGCCTTCATTGTCGTGAATCACGGCCGCGTGCTTCCTCGAGATCGAAGGATTGCCCAGCACGTGGTCGCAGCTCTCTTGATCCCGTCCAAAGAGATTCACACGCTGGGTAGCCACCACGTACGTAGCGCAGTGGCGATTATCGCGGAACGCTTCTAGTCTGGCATGAGCATTAGCTTCGAGAGGCATGCACGCCCTGTGATAATGCATATAGTGTCCACAAGCACAACAAAGAGTGAGCGACTGCAAAAGGGACAAAAAGAGACACGCTTTGCTGCAGGAAGTATGCAGGAAGCACCAGTCAGGAGGGTGGAAAGCAGCGGTGCTCGTGCACAGGAAGGCGGCGCGTCCAGGGGTGTCCATAGCTCCACAGCAAAACCGCTCACTTTTTATTATTGCTCCGACTGCCTAACGCCGCTGCGTCAAAAGACGTTTTACGTGGGCGTTTCATTGGTGGATATTACGAAACGAGAGAAACGATTGGCTACAAAAGAACACCGGCTGTTTCACTGGGCTAGGGCCAGCGTCACGGACAAAGCGGGGACCATTTTTTTCGAGAGCTACACCGACTCGAGTGCCATTTCAGCTAGAGCCGCCGCTTTGGCGTACGGACCTTGACGCAAACTGGCCTTCAACTTTTCTTGCAGCGATTCGTCTGCAATAGGATGAACAAACACGAAGAATGCCACGAAAAACAATAAAAGCACATGAGACGATGCACGAGTCAGAGCGGTAGTTGGGGTTAGAGCCCACACTGTCGCGAAATTACGAGCATTGCAGCACTCACCCAATTGCGACTGGAACGGCGAGGCAAGCACGGCGTCGAGCACAGCAAATTTCCACTCGCGCGTGTCCTTTGTCGCCTCGGTCGTGCGATCCAGGAGGAACTCGAAAAAACCGCCGTATGACAGCAGCACCCGCATGCCCCATGAATTGTTCTGCGCTGCGACCGAGCGTAGCACGTGAAACACGGATGTTCGCAGCTCCTCGAATGGCTGCTTCAACGTGTTCATCAGTAGCACCATGGTGGACTGCTGCGCACACTCGGTGACAAGACCATTGAACAAGCGCTCGCACATGTTCCAGACTTCTTCGTCCTCCTTCGGCACTTCATCGGGTTGCTTTGTAAGTCGCGTTTGTGCCCCGAGGACACGTGCGATGGAGTGAAAACAGTTGGCTTTGACGGGCAACTTCGTACTGGTGCTGAAGTGCAGCCACTTTTGACAAATTCTTTGATGCTGATGCAGTAGGAGGAGTTCTGACACCAGCGCAGCGATTTTAGTCAGAAAAAAAGAGACTGGTCAAGCATTGAAGCATTACTCACTCACCTTTGTCGGATGCAGATCCAAACGCAGCAAGCGCATCCATCGCTGCAATCTGGTCCAGCGCATCCGAGCTCTGCATTTTGCGCTCCACCGTTTCCAAGAAAGCCTCAGAAAGGGTAGCGTCACTCCAACTCCACGACTCGATGTCGGACCGGGCTGCAGTAGCCGAGATCTCACCTACAAGTCGAATCACGTTTCCTCCAACGAATGGGTCTAATCCACCTGCAGTCAGTTTACAACGCACGTCTTGCTGTCCACAAAAATATGTGTACCTTGTGTCATCTCCAATAGATTTTTTAGCGTTCCTAGAACGTACCCAAGTGGACTCGTAAGCTACAACCGAAAGCGTCCAGAGCAAGCACTCACGTACATACCTGACTTGGAGACATACTCGACACCAATTTTGGTTCGGCAAACCGCCGGAATCAAATCAACAACGTTCATCAAGAACAGAGGATCGGTCGAATTTAAGCAGTCCAGAATCTGTCCGCAGCACACGTCAGTCTATTGACAAAGTGTTCGAGAGTGGTTCTTCACAAACTTACCAAATCAATGGCACCCAACGCGATGCCACACTCCATGTGGGTATCATCTTGAGCGCAGATCTTTACGATCGTTTCAAGGTACCGCATGTACTCGATCGAGTTCTCCGTAATCTCACTAAGAATCAAAAGAGGTTAGTTCACAGTGCTGTCGCACGAGTGACACCATGCAGTGATAGATCACTGAACATACCTGCTCTGCACTTTTTTCTTGAGCGAGTCCAGTACTGCCTGGTAAATCGTGCTTTCGGGGATGCTTGAAAACTGCGAAAGCCAAACGGACTGTTAGCTTCGTACCACACTGCAGCCCTCAAATACCTCACCGTTTCTAGCACAGTCGAAGCCTTGGCAGCAACCTCAATATCTTCATCACCAATCCCACTACACACTCGCTCCAGAATCAAAGGGTCCGCCTGCGTCATGCATTGCAGCATCAGCACCGATGATGAACATTCACCAATTCCTGGCTCCCTCTTCCTTCAGCGCGTACCACAACTTTGTACTGATGTGGCGTTGGCTTCTTGCCTAAGTGTGCAATAAACTGATTCATCACGAGCTCTTTCGCCTCCTTCTCCACATGAGACAGACCAGCCAGCACGAAAGGAACGATCTGCAGGCCCCACAGAAATAGCAACAAACCAATCAACTGAGAGACAGCAACAGCACTCGCTCCAATATCGAACGTCTCCTTACATCCGGCTGGAAAAAGAGACTCGAGCCATCCGTCCCAGAGCTCAGCACGCGGTTGATGCACTTACACGCCTGCTTGACCTGTGTTGACATGTTATCACTAATTAGAAGATCACTTGATATTAGTATTGTAGCCACATTACAGGCACGTTGAACCTCTTTACTAGATCTACGATCGCTGGCGTCCTGTAGACACGCGAATAGCGTCGCAATCGGGACTTTTTCCAGGAACTCGTGCACGAGCGCGTTCTCCTGGTCTTGTCCGTATAAGTGAGCGGAGGTGGCGATGCTCGTCTCCTTGAACCGCGCCACTTCTTGCCACGCTGCTGTGATATCCATGTCAGTAGGTCGTGAGGCTCGTAGAATAAAAGACTCGAGTTGTTGTAGAGGGGGCGTGGACCGGACTTGAACGGATTATTACTATCTCGAGGTCAGAGCTGCGGCATTCCTTTTCGTAAGTTGTGAGTATCGTGGACGGAGACTTGAATGACCTAGCAGAGGTAGAATTTTGAATGTTTGCTATGTATTTTGTGCAGCAATTTATTTTATCCATTGAAATGAAAGTGGACCTAGCACACAAAAAAGAATATTACCAGCCACCTTAACGTCTTTTTCATACTTGTGGAAGCAATCGGGTCGCCAATCCAGACATTGTACAAGCTATATGTATTTGCAGTTGTACGTACAAATGCTAGCTCAAACAATCAGGTACAAGTGCTTTCATCGGTACAAGTTAAAAGGGCCCTCCCTTGTAACTTGTACCTATGAAAAGGGACCCTGTACAAATTCATTTGGACCTACAAGTGGCACCATGAGGATCGTGTTACAAATTTTTGAGCCTGCAAATGTCGATCCACGAATCGAGAAGCTGTTGTTTGTACTGACAAATGTAGCAGGAGAAAAACGTGATCAACTATGATTGTACGTACAAGCTATGGGCTCGGTTGTAGGTACAAATATTTGTACGTTACAAAAAGACTTAGTCAGTGACAAACATGTCCCTTGATTCTCTCCTGACTCTCACAGACACTGATTTTGATCGCACAATGAGTGAGCTCACTACTCTTCGTCTTGCTTAGGGCCACGTAATCATTTATGGCTTATGACAAACAGATCATTGTCCATAAATAATTTGGAACCTATTCTAAATCGTAGAGCTATCTGTACTGCTCCGCGTTAGTTGTTATAATATAAATGAGGATCTTCTTTTACCTCCAACATCTTTATTTTGACTAGTTGTTGTTGTCCATTCTCCCCACACTCTCCGGGTTCCAAGTCTCATCGAATCTCCTTCTGAAGGGCCGTTTACAACTTGACGCGAAATTGTCAACCAACTACTGCAATGAAAGACATCAGTATTCACCATCATCTATCCGCCAGTAGCAGTAGCCGCGGCGGCGACGCCCACGATGTATTAGTGGTAGAAAAAAAGGCATCTCAAGAGCAGCTAAATCCAAGTGAAGATGTTGGAAGAGCTATTGCATCATTCGTGATACCAGCACGGTGGTGTGGGGACTACAAGCTTGCTGAGTGCCGATTAAAGATCTAAAGAATTACAGCGGTAGCCTTCTCATGTTCAGCATCATTATTGTGTCTACGTCTTTAGCATCATCATGATGTCACAAAGAAACAGAAGGGAAAGGACGAACAGAAATGGGGATACACTTCCTTCGTTGATAGAAGTAGGTACCGGAGGTAAACAACAATCATGAGTGGATATCTTTTTTCTCACCAGACTCTAGTGCTGCTTGTACACACTATTCGAACAGGCACTTGTATTTGCAATTGTACCTTCGTATATTTGTCAGCCTGAAAATAGGACCATGAGAACCTCACACAAATACACTTGTTTTTGTGTATATTGTACAAATGCGAACGCTCAACCCTTAAATGTGATGCAACTATTTGTACCTAAAAGCATCGATCGATCAGGCCTTCTGGTATTTACGTGAATAAACCTGCAAATACGTCGTACGAAGTGTTCAAAGATACTTGTACCTACAAATGTCAGGTCAGCGAACGTGCACAAATACACTTGTACCTGCAAGTAGTGCAAGCTCCAAATACATTTATTTGAAATCACAAGTAAACACTTGTATTTGCACAATGTGTAAACTTCTCACAGAACAGGACCCCTAATGCTCGACTGCGGTCTTGGTAAATGCGTCTCGGGATAGAAATGTTTAGAAATAGTCCCAGAACTAGTATTTCGATTGGCTGGAAATGGGTCAAACCATTCAATCTGCACCGTTTTCTTGATTAAGAATCCGTAGCGAGCGGTTGGTTGCCATGGTCCCGACGACACGAGTCTTTCGACTTGCACTACGACACGCTCGCGTTGGTGCCACAGATCTGCGACCCAGAGGTTTTCATGCTTCCATTGTAACTCCAGCTCGTCGAAATCGTCGACGCTCGCCTGGCTCGTCCTCATCCAAGTCGTCAGCCGTTTTTCCAGGCAATGAGGTCCTGTCAATACAGTGGAGGAGCGCTATTTCTAGTCTAGATGATAGGTTTTTCTAACAATTATGGTACCTTGTTTTGGATAGACTGACGACAAGGACTTTGTCAAGTGGTTCGAGGAGATGCAGCAGCAGTATCCAACCAAGACCCAATGTCTAGACGAGGACGAGACGTTGAAGTTGATGGAGTTGGAAGACGAAGACGAGCATGACGACGGCGAAGAGCCTGATGAGGAGACGGAGAAGTTTCTGGAAGAAGCTGAAGATCTCTTTCGTCTAAGCCCGGCTGAGTTCCAGAAACGCATGGCTTCATTTGACACACGTGACGTCCATGAAAATGACAGCGATGATGAGGACGATGACGAAGACGGGATCGACCGTGCGACGGAACGGATCCCGAAGAAACGGTTGTTGAAGTTGTTGGGAGAGCTGGACCCTAGCAGTGTCTTAAATGGCAAGAACAACGAACGAATGCCGAACGCTAGCTTGAGTACGTTCAAGTAATCCGGGATGAAGCAGCGATATTGCTGCTGCTTTGATGATGGTCCTCTTATGTTCACGGCATCTTACGCTCTGCTGCTTAGAGAACAAGAATGCGTCCCCGCTACAGAAAAAGCCAAAGCTGCCCAAGGCTGACCGTGTGACGTATCGCCAGGAGAGTGTGGGCATTGCCGTGCTGGAATATGTGCAGAACCTGTTGGTTGAGGATGCAGATGCTTCTGGGATCGACATCGTACCTACTTTTGTTGAGGTACGTTGCAGGATCCTGAAGGTTTCCATCTACTGAGCGCTTTGGATCCGAGAGTCTGATTCGTTGGCTATCCATTACCATGCAATTTACAGGCAAACGTGTCACCTGACCTCCGCCGAGTGGTGCTTTTCTGGGAGCCGGTACGCTGGAACTCAGAGAATCAACAGATCGGTAAGAAGAAAGTCGAGGCGGTGAAGAATCGCCTTCAACGCCTCGAGCGCTGGGTTCGCCGCAGCGTCACTCAGCACCTGAACTTGAAGGTACGTCCAAAGGTATGCCATGTTTGATTGTGGCTGCTGTACTGATGTGAAATATTTGTGGCGATTGGTAGTACTCACCTATTGTCCAGTTCAAGCAACAGAAGGAGGCAAAGGCTGAGCAGGCACAAACGCTGTTTGAAGACGAAATGAAGTGGCTGGATAAGGCGTAAGTCATCAATAGAGGAACCCAATCGTTCATACAGGAAATCTGAACGCCGTGTTTCGTTGCGTGAAAAACTCCTCACATAGCCACGTGGATCCCACCCAGAATACACGAACCGATGCGGTTGTTTCCGCATTTATTTCAGCACGAGTTCGTAAATGTCCGAGCGCGATTGGTTCGAGGTCGGAATATTGCGACGCATCTCCTCGACGTTCTCCAAATCCACATCAGCGTACACGATGGCCTCATTGTGGTCGCAAGTGGCGACTACTTCGCCCCACGGAGAGACGACCGTAGAATGGCCCCACGCCTGGTAGCCGCCTTCGGGACCCCGTGCAGGCGACGTCGACGCCACATACAGCTGGTTGTCCACAGCACGAGCGCGCTGCAAGAGCTCCCAATGCGCTGGGCCCGTGGTGAGGTTGAAAGCGCCTGGAAACAGCAGCACTTTCGCCCCCTGTTTCTTCATCAGCATGGATAGTTCCGGAAAGCGGATGTCGTAGCAGATCCCAACGCCCATCTTGCCATACGGCGTCTCAAAGAGCGTCAACGTGTTGCCTGGAGCGAGCGTATCGGACTCCTTGAACGTGATCTTCCCAGGCACGTCAATGTCGAACAGATGCACTTTGCGGTGCTTGCCCACGATCTCGCCTTCAGGTGAGAAGATGACGCTCGTGTTGTACACCTTCGCAGTCGCGTCCTTCTCGGGGATCGAGCCCCCCACTAGAAAGATCCGGAGCTCAGCAGCAAGTTGCGACAGCGCAAAGGTCGACGGATGGTCCTCCTCATTGAGCAGGTCTTTTGTTGCTGGGATCTCCTCTGCATACTGAGGGAAGGACGTTGTCGCATACGGCGAGTTCCAGCACTCGGGCAGCGATACCACCTGCGCCTCGTTCCTCGCGGCTTCCGTGACGGCAGCAACGGCCTTGGCGATGTTCTTCTGCTTGTCTTCGGTCACTGCAATTTGGCATAACGCCAGCTTGAACTTGGGCGCCGACGTGCTCATGAAGCTTATAGGAAGCGGCCTGGCCACGAGGGACGAGCAGCGACGGCGAGCTTGAAATTTAATGGTGCGGCTCAGCATGGGGTTGTGTGGGGTTTTTCCTTCAGATCGTCGACTTGGGTGGGTCACCGATCCTACATTATCGGTGCAGACTGCTTATTTTAGGATCGTTACCACCGATTCCTAGGTGCGTGTCATTGAGAGTACCACATTTGACATGCGGGTACAGCTGGCTGGCTAGCTGCTCTGCTCGTTGCTTGACGGCAGCGTGCGCTGACTACTCATAACTCTTTTGCATGCACCTGTAGGCTAACCGCTTGCTCTCCCAGACTGTATTGCGTCATACGCCGCTGCGCTGTCTTAGCTACAGAGGACCGGCTCCGCATGTTGGTGGTCAGGACAATTCGAGCTTCGTTACGTTGCTGGGACTGGCTGGAGTTATCGGGTCTGTCTTGAGTTGCTGGTGGATGACCTGCGTTCTGCCGTTAGCAGATGATGATCGTGTGGATTGTTGTGTGTGTGTGTTTTATGTTGGTTTGGTGGTAGAGCCGTCGCGTACGTGTACTATGACCCGGATGTGCTGCCAGCGGGTGTGAAGAAGTTGCTGCGGATCCAGGAGCCCGCGGGTCGTGCTATGAGTCCGGAGGAGTACGAGCAGTGGCGTGCTAAGCAGTCGGGTTTCCCGACAGTTGGAACGCTGAAAGAGAAGGAGGACGAAGCGGCCAAGCCTGAGCGCTCGAAGGATGAGGAGGACGTCGAGCCGCCCAGCGTGGATGGTTAGCTCGACGGCTGGATGATTATTGGACTGGATGCATGTATGGCTTACTGATTTTTGAACGGTGCTGGTACAGATGGTATTTCCATTCTGCATCGAGACGTGTCTCCAGAGGAGATGAAGACGTCGCTCGAGAAGCTACTGGCTGAAGCAAGAGCGAACGAAGCCGCGTTTCTCGCCGATGTTCGGTCAAACCGGGGCCAGATGTCTGTGGAAGATCGCCAAATGGTAAGCTATGATTTGGTGGACAGTGCAAAAGGTGGCGTAGCTGATTGTTTGTTTTTATTGCAGCTGGAAGCTTTTAAGGATGAAAAGGATCGGTTGAAGAAGCAGCTGAAGTTCCTGAAGTCGAATAAGTAAGACAAGCAAGATGATCCCATGCTCCATGTTGCAGCTTGTCGCTGGTGGCAGTAGCCAGGTCGTAATCAAGTGAGAAGGTTGTTTTTAATACACATCCAGCCTTTTGAACTGCTACTCTTCCTTAGCTTTACTGCTCTGTGCTACTGGAGATTCTGCAGTCCATTGCCAGTACGTCAAATACGCAAGCACCAGCAGGAAATGGCCACAGGAATACGCAGCGAAGACGTAGTCGTGGATGTGCGGGTATCTAGCAGGTGGGTTGATGCACAGGTGCGCAACATGGACGGCTACGATTCCAAGCAGTGAGACCTACATCACACAAGGTAGTCAGGTATACGGACAGCAACAACGCTATCCAGTGTAAGATTCCAAACCGTGATAAACGCCCGAAAAAACGGGTGAGCCTTGCCATCCGGGCGATAGCCTGGTGGAAACTCGGTTTGGTGCACGCTTTGGCTCTGGACGGCACCTGTTTTTAAGAATGGCACCACCGCCATACCCGCGTAAGCTGGTAGTAGCACAACGTATGGAAGGACTAAGCCATCTTTCTCAAGAAGGAAATACATGCTGGCAACACACAAAAAAGATCCGTGAGGAACAGCCCAAATGCGACCACCATGCTTCCTATTCTACATACCTGAAAGTTGACAACACGCTAAACCACCCCGAGAGTAGTGCGTTGTTAGCAAAGAGGAATGAAATTGGCAGCAATGGCAGCAAAATTGACTTCTCGTGGACTACACAAGCAGCACGCGACACGTAAGACCGGCACATAACAAACGGCTTGTACACAATACACAGATATACCTTGGAACGAGAACAAGAAGAATGAGAGCGAGCAGACTGCAAGCGACAGAACGAACCGCAGATTCGTGGGCTTTCGTCGAAGCAGGTCTATAACTGACGGCAGAAATCCGATTATCGTCATGATCGTGCTTCACGTAGACAACGGAAGATAGTCAGCACTCTCCACGTGGACATGGATACCACATCATGCAGCTTACCATAATCGCATCTGAAGTAGAGGGGTCAATCGTCGTCGGATCTTAAAGATGAAGTCGGCAATGCACCAAAAATTGGCGACTTTGTCTTCGAAAAGGCCTCGCCCGAACGGAAATATCCGATGAACGACTGCATGGCCATCACGTCATTAGTTCCCACGGTATCATACGATTCGATCACGAAGCATGCATACCTTGTGCCATCGAAGATAAGCATGTCTCCTTTGCCGATGGATATGCGCAAATCGGAAACCACACTAGCGCAAACGTTGCAATGACTGCAAGCGCGAGCTTGCCGAGATGGAGAATGCACCTCTTCCGATAAAGACAGCGAGACAGTAAGAATACTCCAAAAGCAGGAGCATAGTAAAGTGCCATTTGCTTAAAGTTGAGCGCCAGGCAGTAGCAAATGCTACCAAAAACTTCATGTCCTTGCAGAATGAACGCAACGCCCAATGCCGTATACCCCAAGCACACATTGTTATACTTCATTCGCAAAACAGGAGATAACAACAGTCGTAAGACAAACGTGTCATGCATCACAAGCGTATTGTACCCCTATTGGTCTCGAGATTTAGTACCTGAAAATGACCGTGATCAATGAGCAACACCGCCGGCTGCAGCAAAACCAACAGACAAAACGTCGTCCGTCGTGTCCAGTTGGCACTGCCATAGCTCACCCTTGCCATACAGTAGATGGCTGGCATCAAGAGCACAACGTCACACAACAGCACAGATGTGCGCATGAAGACTCTACTGGTTGCTGACTCGTATCCTCTCGAGCTCGTTAGCTCCACCATGGACGGCTCAACGATGTTGGCCACATACCCAAAGAGATACGAGACGTAGGCAGTTAAAGGAGGATAGTCCAGTCCCCAGTACAGTAGATCATTGGATGTGGTGTTAAAATACCATTGGGAAATTGGCACATTAAACGTGATTTCCATCCAGTGCCGCTGGGCCTCGTAGTCGCCAAACATGGGCGGCACGTGCTCGCCCGAGTACGAGTGGAGCCCCACCAACCATCGCACGAGCATTAGGAATGTCCACACAAGCCATGATCCAGTCCTCGTCTCTTTATTTTCTTCAAGATACTGCACACCTCGATGGAGCAGCGAGGCCTCATTGTTTACGCTCATAGATAGAGACGCGTATCCCTCGAGAGGTGGACAGCAATAGTCCTGCTGCGATGATGGTCTGGACGGATGACGTCGTGCTCGTCCGGGTTTGGTTAATTGAATGTGGTCCACTGTGAGGTTTTCGGATCGGAGACTTTGGGTTGCTGGTCTTTGGTCATTCGAGTGTTTAAACGGGACAGAGAGGAAGAGTTGTGTCTGTGACTCGGATCCAGTCGAGACTTTTCAATAACGAGTTTGCGAACCCATCGTCCGGTTACTGTCACCGCTGGTCATCGAGACCATGCGGTATGGAGAGTCTATTTCCGCTCTTCTAGCGCCATTTGACTATTCAGGTTACCATTATCATGGGTATGGATGTCGCCTGCGTTGTGAACAAACCCACCATGGACTCTTGCCACGCTTAGTGGTGACTATCTTGTCTCCAAGCCAACTGGAAATACCGATACGCTGTGCGTCATTGGTGACGACCAGAACGATTCGCATTGACAGCGCACGTTGTAAAGCGTAGAAAGCGCACACGGTGAACAGTCTGGAGAAAAGTCGACGTTGTCTAGAACCAAGACCTCCTTCAGCAAACGACCGAGCTACTCATATTCGGTCTGCTGGTTGCAAATAATCCCGATCCGCTAAATCGAAGAGGTCTTTCTCGGACACGACTGAACAAAGCAATTTGTGGTCGATAGTTTCCACAACACTCGAGAAAATGCTTTCGAAGGAAGTGTCCGGGACTTCTCGAAGTGATCGCTTCAGAAGACCAGAAAAGAACGCGATCACAAACTCTTCTGATCCTGTAAAGTACAGCAGCGCAAACCAGCTCTTCGGCGGGCAGTACACTTTCAAGTCCAGCAAAAATGAGCGACTCTTATACGAAATGATACAAGCCCCACGAGTGCTTGTAAGCTGGCGCATTGTTCCACTTCGAAGCACATGTGCTGCCGTCAAAGCTGCAACCACATTTGCAAACATTTTCGCATCATCGTGCGTATGTCGATCTGCCAGAGCGCTGCTTGGAGAAGGTATTGCAACTAGGACATCGAGAACGGATACGAATGCGGCGCCGCGAGAGAAGGATCCACATGGGAACACCTGTACGTTTTCGTTCCACTTTTTCAAATGAATCAAAATGGCATGAAACGCCGTTTTTGCGTCTTGCTGATCGACCATGGGTCGCCGAATCGTCGGCGCAGAGTTAAGAAAAGGAGTGGTGCTTTTGTGCTGTACATACTTTATACCAACGCGCAAGTGTTCAACACTTGGAAGTCCGTGCGCCACTGCTTGAAGCTGTTCGTCCGTAATGCTGGAGAGATCAATACGATCACTTTCACGTTGATCCAGTAGGCGCAGCGCCTGATTGGGTTTCATCCCGAAAATGTGAAGTGCCGCCCGAACAAGATCCCACGTAGAAGCTGTGTGCACAGCTTCACCTACCTTTGCATCACTTAAGTTCAATTCTGGTTTGTGAAGGTAATTGTGCTTGTAGTTGTCCCAGTAACGAGCGATGATACACCACACATCGTGCGCAACTCCAGGGACAGTCGTCTTCTTCACGATGCAGTCTTCGATAACGATATCTTTCACCGATAGCGCTATGCCGAGTAGATCTTCCTCCCACATCGAAGCCAACACTCTCCGCGCTAACTTACATGCTTGTACACGCCAGCGCTGCTGTCCTCGCCAAGTATAACGAGCAACAAACTCATCCAACGCTTGTAGACAGAACAGCAGCATTGGTCGACGAATCTCTCCTGTATGAATCTTGCAGCGAGTAATACCACCTTGCAGCCAGCACGGCGTTGGCTCGCACATTCGGTCTGTATCATAATAGTCCACAAGCTCCAAAGAGGCGCCGGCCGAAGGTTTATCCGACACAACTCCACTATTGATCAGCATCGTCACGGGTAAAACTTCCTCTGGCTTTCCACCTTTTCTGACACCTCCTCTGCAATTGGCATTCACCTCTGACTTGGGATGTACGTGCTGGTTCTCTTTCATCTTTTCACTACTTTCAGTGTCACTGTTACAAGGCAAGAAAAGCGAGCTGTCCGCCACGGTCTCGTGATGCCAGCTCTGTTCACTCGCTCCACAATGACCGATTGCACTGTTTTTGGCATGTGATGCACCAAACTCAACCGATTCGAACGAGTTGCTGGTGAGCGAGTGAGGAGGAACGGACAGCATCGATGTCGCTTCTGAACTGGAAAACGTATCGTGGTTTACTTGATATTCAGCAGGCAGCTCGGGACCGAAGAAAGCAGAATGCAGTGGACGAATCGCTGGTGGTTTCTCGTCGAGAAGTTGTGCGAGATCCGCAAAGAACTTGCGCTTGCGCTTAGGGTGCATTGCCAGCCGCGGTGCTTCCATGACAGCACCTTTAGCAAAGGTATAACGTAGGTGAGATTCACTGTGACGTTTTCAGGGTCGACTTTGGTTAAACTTTACAGAACACTGGATACCGTCCTTATCGCCGTAAGGTATCGAGAGAAAAAACTAGACACAGTGCTATTGACCGTAATGACGTTGTTTTCATTGTGTCGCCTGGCTTTTGGCTCGCAGGAACTAGACCGGGAACAATTGGTCGATTACGAAACGACGACGTGTAATTACAAGTCTCTCTCGACGGTAGCACTTTGTGTATCTACTCATTGATGTGGAATGCATGTACACGCAAACTCTTTCCAGATATCTTGTACGTAGTAACTAGGTTATAGACACTCTGAACCTCTCTCTTTCAACACGCAAACTTTATGCCCGTATTCGTTCAAGCTGATCAGTTGGTAGATAGTATGCACCATAGTAAGCGAAACAAACTAGGCGGTCAAGCGTGTCGGATATGTTGAACTTGGCCACGATTGTTTCTGATGCTACGTGGCTGAGGGTCTCGCAAAAATGTGGATTGTAACATTTGATTTGAGTGATGCCATTCCGTCATGGGGAACGACGGAATGGCATCACTCATTTCGAATGTTACAATCCACATTTTTGCGAGACTCTCAGTCGTGTAGCATCAGAAACAATCCTGATCTCCTCCTCGAGACAAAATCTCTGCGAAATAAACCTTTTTCCAGGCAACATAACTTCTTCCTATCTGCGTCATCGTCTAAACGCGAACGAAAAGCATCGTACAAACTCTTGTAATCATTGCATGCTTCTTCCTAGCTCTTGCGATGAGCTTTTGAAGTGCATGACGAAAAGGCTTCTCCTAGCGCTAATGCCATGTAATTTTTGCGTTTACATGACGTCACATTCCTTGATTCCAAATGAACGGAGCCTGATGGCAGACGAGCTATTTTTGTCGTTCGCGTACCACTTTTCAGCTGCGTAAAAGTACAGACAGCAATTGGACGGCAAACGTATCAGATTATGTCAATTCTTGATGTCGCAAAAGTCCGTGACAACTCCGCCAGCTTTATTTTTGTTTTATCCCAGTGGGTTTGTCAGAGCACATAAGGGACGTCAATCGTCTTGTCGAACAGAAGTTATGGCTGCGAGCCCGAAAAGCAAAAACTCTTCGGGCTCGCAACCACACATTCCTTTTGAAGCTCGAGATTCGCCGTGCGCACAGTTACTACTATAAATCGTACTTTCTGTGCGTCTATCTCTTGTGTGTGTTAATAAGCTTGGTGTAAAAAAAGATTCAGACTGTTACAAAGAGTCATTGTAAGCAACAGATGGAGACGTAAAGAACTGGTCATGAGTGCGATCGTGGAGAAGCTTCATTTGCCTTATTCATTAGCAAGAGAAAGCAGAAGAATAACAACTAGAAGCTGCTGCTTTGGTTCCCTTTACTACGGTCGACACGGAACATCAAGGTACGGCAAGTGTCTGTGTTGGGTTAGCTCAACTTTGATGCGAGAACGCAGTGCAATAGCACCGATAGTACACTAGTTGCGCCTGACTCGGAAGCGATGGACACGGCACAAACATCCACTGTGATCGATAGAAAAGGAGGGTTGTATTTCGTTCATCAAAGCTTCTTCTGACTGAGTCGTGTGCAACTTCTACTGCTTCCTACATTGCCTCCTTTCGTTGTAATCGCCAAGATTTCGTGGCTACTGATTGTGAAGATCTGCTGGTACGCACTAGAGCACTTGACCGCGATGTCAGGGTCGTAGAAATTGCTGGGTGTGCATCTGATTGAAAATTGCCGAACAAAACGTTTCCTTTCAGTCACATAAATGGTAGATCATGTCTCATGAAGCAGGATGTGGGTCAGTGTAGCATAGTTCTAAACCGCTGCGGCATCCAAATTTATCCCCCTTGTCACATCAGCAATGCTTGTCAAAATCGCAGAGCCGCGATCACGCGACTACACCTTTCACGGCGCACGTTCGTATGTACGACAGTGTTTCGCGAACAGAAAACACATGTATTCCACGCCTTCACTCAATCCTTATCGGTGGAGTGCTTATTAGCGTGAATAGGCGATCGTAGCCTGAGCTATCATCTTCGTAACACTTTGCTTGTGGACACTATTCTTCATCTCACACCAGTTTGTTTTCTGTTGTGTAGGATGAGTAATCGAATCTTAGTCTGCACTTTGGAGGAGACATCAAGATGAGCTGATGCGTGCAGCTATAATTGCTTATGTTGCAACGTGTCTATGCAAAGTACTTGCATTCGAACAGCTGACCGACCGCAGAAAGAGTTCCTCACGCAAGCAAGATCTCATCCCTACCTTCTTGGTTCGGCTTAGTGTCCTATGGAACGTCAAAGTGCTGAGATTGACCGCTGACATCTTCGCAATCCAGGATTCTGTTGAGCGAATTTGATCACTGATGATCGATAGCTTCTCCAGAAGGGTCTCTAATTGCTGCCAACTACAGTATCACTGACGACTTGCCGGACGCACGATCAGTTGTCTGTGGTCACGTCTTTGCGCAGACTGTACATATCCAGCATTTCGCGTCCGCCACAAGTGCCCAGTGTGCCAGCGCCGTCTGCGTTACAAGGACGCGCACCCACTATGTTTGTAATGTCGTGTATCAGTGCCATACTTCTACTAGACGTTTTTATTGTTGATGGTCCTAGCGCCCGGTCGGTACGAAGACTCTGCGCCAACTGTCGTCTCAGCTTTTGGAGCACGTCTGCCAGGCTGGTACTGTTGCAGCTACTGTGGGCGGCTAGTGTGTGTGTAGAAAATAACACTGGTTGAAGTCGAGCCAGAGTCGAAGGCACTATGACGCAGCGCGACAGAGCGCAGGTGTCAGGTTGTGCCGTCTGGCCACTAAGCTGCAAGTAGTTCCGCCAACTCACAAGTGAAGTTTTCAGCGACATGGGCTCCGCGCGCACACCATCGATGGAGAAACACGTCGTCTTCTTACTTTCTATTACTAACGAACGACTTGTCTATGCAACAAGAGCGCACGAAGCCATCGACAATCGTGACTCACACCCACCACAAGGTGCAACGCTTGCTACATCTCCCACAGATGTCGCGAGGTGACCGGTTGGCTTCCGAACGCTTCAGTGAGATGCCCAACAAGTGATGACGAAGCAATAGCTTGCGCTCGATAAGCTGGAAGCAAGCGTATCCGAGACACCCCTAATCGCAGACGGCTCTGCCGTTTTGTTGTCCGCCACGGTAGCAGCTGTCAAGGCGGCTGATGGCCGCGACCATACTGAGTTCCAGTCAAATGTCGGGAAGAGGCGCTGACAACTTGACCGCGTTGTCGCGGGAATGGCTGTTCTGCAAGTCTGATTCGAACGACGACTATGACAAACGAGTTTTGTTTGTGATTGAAAGTTCTGAACTCTAATTCCTGATAGAAAACGAACGGACGTTCCGTCACCTCTCGAGCATCGACACGTTACTGGAGACATTTCAAACCTAGTGTCCCTGTTATACTTAATACACGATAACACACGCAGAGACATCGTCCGTCGCAAGTCAGACCACAGGGGTTGGGCGGTGCAAATCTGTCCGGTCAGCTGGGTTGCGCCAGGAGAATTCTCCGTCAGTCCAAGTCTGTCACTCACTTGGCGCTGGTCCACTCGGACGTGCACTTTTCCACAGACGCGCCAGCCGTGGCCACGCAGTTTCGACGTCTCAAGCGAGCGAGCGCCTTCACAGGCTGCAGCCAACGCCAGGTTCGAGGCACTGCCGAAGGACCTCTCCTCTGTCTTCGTTAAGACCCCCCAGCGGTCGGCGAGATACACACGGCCGACCACCACAAGCGCACGACGCCATCCACTCGCTCTATCTACTAACATCATGATGACGACCCAGCAGCAGAGTGCAGATCGAGTCAAGTCGTACGTGTATCCGCTCGGACCACCTTCGGTCGACATTTCGGCCACTGCCGCGGTACCTTTGGACGTGACGACGGAAGCGACTGTCGCCATGTCGGACGGACTCGGCCGGAAGCGCAAAGAGCCTGCAAGTCCTACTGATCGCTTTGACGCCGATGGAAGCGCCGACGCAAGTGACAAACAGCAGCCGTCCAAGAAGTCGCGTCGTGAGCTGCCACCGCACACTGTAGCCATCCTCAAGGGCTGGATGCTGTCTCGGGAGCACGTGAAGCATCCGTACCCGACGGACGAGGTACATGCTACAAGTGGCTTGTTGTATACGTGTGTAGCTGACACTGATTGTTACTGGATGGTGCTGTTTGTGTGGCTTATTTTCTTTTGCCGGTGCTACTAGGACAAGCAAGTGCTGCTTAAAAAGACGGGCATTAGCATGAAGCAGCTCACGAACTGGTTTACAAATGCACGGAAACGTATTTGGAAACCCATGATGCGGCGTGAACATTTGCGTCAGATGCAGTCGACAGTGGACTTTGATCACACGGCGGTGCGCGAGTTTCCTGGCTCTGGACTTTGTCAGCAGTACGCAGAGAGTAGCTATGTCCCTCGTTCGTCGGTGCGACACTCTTTTGATGTGGGAAGCTTAGGTGCGCCTCCTCACTTGGCAGCAGCAGCGTTCGATCGGTGTGCGCGACCGCAGGCCATACCGGTAGATGCACCAATGTACCCGGTACGAGCGATGCGCTCCATGTCAGAGGCGCCAGCAAAGACCGAGATTGATGATTATATGGAGGCTGAACGAATTCGGGAGCGAGAAGTGGAGCGCAGCCGTGCCGGATGTGCTCCTCGCAATAGTCTGTCACCGCGCGGGCACAAGATTTTGCAGGAGTGGGTGAGCGCAAACGCACAACGCGAGTATTCGTATCCGAATGACACTGAGCGATTGCAGCTCGCAAGAGATACGGGGCTTGACGTGTCACAAGTGGACGAGTGGGTGACGAGTCTTCGTGAGCAAATGGGTGTTCGAGGTCCTTCTATTCTGTCTGCTGGACATTCGTTTCCACTCAAACCTGCTTTGTACGGTGAGCGGCGATCGATTCCGACTAGTGAAAACCCCATGTTTCCTCCGCGGCAGACCGTTTCCGGCTCGTTGCGATCATCCATTCCGTCAGTGGGAAACCCGCAGTTCCCTCCGCCGCCAGTGCGACGAGAGGTCGGTGATAGCCGATTTGCAACGTTCCCGTCAGCTGCGTTGAACCGCCCAGGTCACGAGGTGCCACGCATGCGTTCGATGACGATCAGCTCAAGCCCGTACTTGCTTCCTCCCTCGTCATCCAGCACTGCAGGCATCGAATCTCAAGTTCAGACTGCTGACAGTGCTTTGCCTTCGCTTGCTAGCCGGAGTTTAATGAGCCGACCACCACCCATTGTCACGCACAACGGACCCACTATGGGCCAGCCGCGCGACAGCAGGTCACGCACACTCGATATGGGCCAGTTTGCGAATGCTCGTCGGCGAAAAATGACCTTCCAGGACATTCTGGCATCAACGAGCGGACCGGCAGCTGGAGCCGTACTACCGGCAGCCAGATCTAGTACGTTGTCGCAGTCGACTGGTCTTGCCACTACTAGCGGCAACAATATGGCAAGCATCTACCCGAACAACAGTGTGCCGTCGACCACAGTGTATCCAGTCGCCGCATCCAGTGGATTCCAGCAAAAACAGTCGCCATTGCCGAAGGAGCAGCAGCCTGGTCGTATAGTATGATGCTGCATAGCTTTGTGGGCCCGAGCCTGCCTTCTCTCTCCCCATTTCTTGTATTGTCGCGTCTTCAAGTTTTAAGCACCTCGGTGAATAGAAATCTATTTGTCTAAGCTCAGTCCTTCCAGATCCGCCCAAAGGTCTGCGATGCACGCTTCCTGCAGATCATCCAGCGCTTTATGCCTGATCCGAAAGTACACTTGGTAACGAATGTCCGGAGAGAAGTTGAGACCACCTCGGTGGGCAAGGTCAGGGTGTGCCAGCACCAAATCGCCACGACCAGCGAGGAGTTGTACCGGTATACCCAGATCGGGTAGTGTGCCGTCTCCCCACACACTGTCGGCTTTGTAGCACTCATCGTCATGATCATCCAGCTTACCGTTAGCAGCAAGACGGTTATGGAGGAACGCGTGCGACCCGGGAAAAACAGTGAAGTTACCACTAAGCGGCTCCGCTACATTAGAAAGAGCGACACCCGCCAACAAACTAAACGGATGTCGTCGGCCCTGCCGCATGCCGTCCGTGTGCCATTCTGTACCCAGGGGCTCTCGCGGCTCACCAAGATCTGGAAATCGCAAAGCGACTTGTGCTCCTTGAGGAGCCACCACTTGGTCAACACCGACGATAGCTTCCACATACTTGCGGACATTGGAGAGGTAGTAGATATCTAGAATTGCATCGCTGTTGGACGTGTTACCTGCCAACTTGACGCTCCCTTCTACTCCACCTTCAATCAGCCGTCTCGGGATGCCAAGATCATGGTTGATGCGCTTCAACGCAGCGTTAACCAGGGGCAGTGCAACAGCCCCGCGGATCTGCAGGTATCCATTTTGCATGAACGACCGTCGCTGGGATTCACATAGTATCGATAAGTGCTTCGATGATGGTACCATTGAGCGTGCTGTATCCACCACGAAAGCTGCTCGAGGTGATATAACCGTTAGCTGAAATAAACTCTCGTGCCCTTTGCCGGCATCTCCAAGAAGCCCCGACTTTGTCGCACCCAAGTACCATCCCGTCGACTGCGAGCGACTGACTTTCTTCTGGTGCGCCATTGCCTTGAAATGTGCTAAGAAGGTGTAGCCATCACCTTCTCTATTAGCTTCAAGTTCCACCAGGAACAGAGCAAACTTGGCGGTCGTTTGCGACCAGCTCACCTGACCATTCAGGGCCACCTTTAGCTTCTCGTAAGGCTTCTCCGTGCTGCATAAACACGTTGTTAGAAATTCGGAATGATTTCCACGTTCTACAAGCGCCCGAAACGAGTAACCGCTTGACACATGTGTGGCCTGGATTACTGCTCCTGTCTCTACCGCCATGTTGGTAATCATGAATTGACTCGACAGGAGGATGTCAAATGGTGACCGGGTCGTCAATCTAAATCTGAGTGACGCCGCAATCACTTGCCAGATTTAGGACTTACAAGGGGCTATGCAATCCACCTACATACCGGTATTTAGCTGTAAAACTGCTGTGGCAATGTTTCATTTTTTACAAGATCAGATTTTTCAGATCTCCCCTCCAATTGCTTAGACTCAATATCCGAAAAACCTTCAGTAGGCTGCCGAATTGTGCGCCCACCGTGCTCGTTCTATGGCCACTCAGAGGTTCATATACACCGGTCAGATTTAATTTGGCCCGTTAGCATGAAACTATCACATATAACAAAAGGATAATATTCTGGAGGTGCGAAAGCCCTTCTGTCGTTTGCAGCCCTCAGAAATAGCAATGGAGCCCAAATTTGCGTTCAGCAGCTCACCCAGCACAATTCTAATATAGCGCGTCGTCACTCGCCTTTGCCACGCAACATCGATTGCGTCGCGACCAAAGCAGGTTGTTACATGACGTATGAACAGATAATGAAGATTCATCAGTAGCATGACACAAACGCCGCTATCCCACAGTCGCAGCTGGCGGAAAAGGCGGAACGCGAGTTAGGTCTCTATAAAGCACCTGTCAATGGGGCAACTTACAGTAATCCGTGATCGCCAGAAATGCCAATACGTGAAAAATGCCTACCTCAAGAGCAAGCAAACCGAAACTGTAACGGGGTAGCCCGTTGCATGATTTTGACACCAAATGGTGTCAATCAGGAGATTGTTTAGCGTGACAACTCCCTGCTAATTTTATCCGAGATGGATGATATTGTAGAAATATTATCCCCTTATAGGATACAATTTATGCGCTGCTCAAAGATAGGTCGACAAATGACATGTCAACCAAGGTTACCACCAATCGCTGCTAGACGCGCGTAATGAGTGGTGAGCAGGTAGTCGTCATACGACGATGCAGATTAATGTAGTTGGATAAATGCTGAAGTTGTACTGATAGCTTAACTATATTAAATACAGTTCTCTTTTTACCCTTGCTTGACCGAGTCGTTCAAGTAGATTAGCTACCTGCACGCACTAGTGTACGTGAAGTTCTGCGGCACCCCAAACAAAGGGTGCCCCGTTACACCTGGTAGCACTTTGTAGTCCGTCCAACGACTGCTTAGTGTCCGTCCAACATGATCATGTTGGACGTAGAAGACGACAGCTTTCACGACACACGTGAAGGCTACCCCCATCTGAGTGACTCAGAGTGGGAGGTAGTCGGCCGCATGAGTGTGCTTATGGGCGAACCCGCCATCAGTGGCATGTTGAAGTCTATAAGCAGAGACCAGCAACATGCTGCTATTAACAACTCCCTACAAGGTGAACTTGCTGTCGAAAGACAGAAGATAGCCTTGCTACAACAGCAAGGCTCTTAACAATCGATGGGAGGGCCGACGCACACGCGTCGACCCGAAACCTTGAAGATAGATGTCTCAAGGTACAACGGATCCCGTGAAGATTCCCTTTTGAGATGGTTCGTCGAGTTAGACTACGCCATCAGGGCCCGTCACATCGAGGGTGACGAGATGCAAGTCACCTTTGCCCTGTCAAATTTGACCGGACGAGCAAAATCTTGGGCCTTAGGGATCAAGCTTTACGAATCCGATGTGTTTGAGTTGTTACAAATTATAAATATCGGCTCAAAAAACGTTTGAGCCGCCGAGAACCGAGTTCAGAGCACACTCTGAACTCCTAAGGCTCAAGCAAGATAAGCGTGATGTACACGCCTAGGCACAACACCTACGCTGCCTTGCGAGTAGCTTACGGAAAATCCTGTTGAAGAGCACACGCTCATCAACGTGTTCATCTACGGCCTTGTAGATGGACCGGTCAAAACCTACATCTTCCGAGGGGACTTCCATACGCTGATAAGGCGATAGCGTATGCGGAACAAGAAGACTTCAGCCTGAGACGGTCTCAGGCTAACTCGTCAAACTATCGTCCGACAAGGCGACAGAAAACAGGAGGTCCCGAACCAATGGACCTCTGTTACATCGAAAGCGAAACTATCGCTCTCTGAGTCAACAAGCGAACGGCGAGATGCCATCGCTGTCAGAAGATTGGACACTACGCCCATGAGTGTAGTGTCCCAAGCACCTCATCACGTCCAAAGACGGGACGTGATAACCGCCGTTGGCCGAGGAAAGGTCCGAAGCGCGGAGCCGCGACAGCAAGTCGGACCGTAAAAAAAGCAAACAGGGTCAGTAGGGGCGGAGCACCCTGCTGATTTGGCAACGTCAAGGGAATTTGCAGGACTCTTGATGAAGATTGCTCCTAACACGCAGTCGCTGTGTGTTACTGCCCCTAGTCATGAGATGTCCCTCATCACTTTGAAGATCGAAATGACAAGTGGAATGTCACTTCGCGCCCCAGTTGACTGTGGAGCTTCGAACAGTTTTGTTCGATGCCAGTCGCTAGGTGATAGTAGACTCAACTATGCTGATAGAGAGTTCTCTCCAACGAGTATGACGGTGTGCCTTGCTACAAGCGCATCCGTAACAGTGAACAAACGTGTAGTGGGAATCCACTCCACGCTAGAAGGAAATCAGTACGATGATGATTTGTCGTATTAGATTTTGATGAAAATTTGATGTCATCCTCGGTCTGCCATGGCTTTGAAAATATCAGCCATGGGTTAGCTGGCAGCATCGATCCGTGAAGATGCCTGCCGTTTGTTCATCAAATGGCCATCTGATAAACGTCTTGGAGCTTCCACAAGTGTGTGGATGTACTACGAGTGAGTGAGATGGCATCAATTGTGGTACGATCGTTAGTACGATTGCACAAGATCACAGTGTAGAAGGCCACTACACTGTGAAACCAGCTTCCGGCACCTTTGTACAGACACAGGCTGCACCGAAGGTTCACCACTCGAAGAGATCTAGTGGACTGGAACACGGATGCAAATTAAGAAGGGTGCATCCGAGAAGAGAAAGTAGTGTTGTTCAGGATGGACAACACGTTGAAGCGAGATCGACTATCAGAGAGTCGATCGTAGAGCAAGCTCGATCGACTGAAGCGGAGTTATTTAAAAGGGACGTGACTGTAGTAGTGCATTCACAGTCAATACACGCAATGGACGAAAGTTCCAGCGTTCCTGAGAGTGATAAATCCCGAGAGAGTTATGTTGGGGGTGTGGATCCCGAACCATCTGCGAATGTGTTTTCCCAGGAAATCACCGAGACAGTGAACGTCTTGGTGAATTATGGATCAAGTGTAGGCGCTTATACAATTGATCTGGTTACGCCCCCGAAGTCAGCTTCGGAGGTGGTCAAGTTGCCAATGCTAGAATCTAAAATATTCTTGCGAGAGCTGTGGATTGACAAGATCAAACAGATCTGCGTACTCGTCACAGAGGACGAGTACGTCGCCGATATTCGGTCGGCACAAGTGTTTGCTGAGAACGAACGGGTTCTCAGTAGCTCATCATGGACGAGAGTGTCCTCGATGAGAAGACTCGGATTGAGCGATACACATTTCAATCTTGGGAGACTTTAAAGACAAATCCTTTGTATCAGGATTTGGTGGAATTAAGGGATGTTTTCCCTGAATCCGTGCCATGCGAGGTTCCCAAGGACAAAGGCACTCGGCAAGAGATCGAACTGAAACCCGGTTCGATAAACTGCGTCTTGAAGCAGTGGCCACTGCCTCGTGAACAGGTCACAGCAATCGACAAATTCTTTGCCGATCGTCTAGCGGCTGGTCATGTGAGGGAATACATACCCACACAGGTCTCCGACCTTCTGTGTGCGAAAGGCCACAGGAGGGTAGAGGATAGTGCACGCGTTCAACAAATTGAACGCTGCAACGGTACCGGCTCAGACGCTGATCCCAAGAAAGGACGTCATCATAGATGGTATGGCAAAAAGTACCATCTTTTCTTCCATGATTTGATGGATGGATTCTACCAGATCCTCATGCGTGAGCTGGACATCCCGTACACAGCAGTGAGCACCCCCAGTGATATGCTCTGGGAGTAAATAGTGATGCCACAGGGGCTAAGTAACGCCCCCGCAACGTTTAAAAAATGTGCTACGAATCTGTTGCGATCGGTGCACGATTTCGCACCGAGTTACTTCGACGATGTCTTCGTCCATAGCCGGGCTATGGATGTAAAGACGGACGTGGAGGTTCGTAGAATTTACGTCCGGAAGGTTCTTACTTTAATGCGAGAGCATAAGTCATTCGCAAACCTCAAGAAGTTTACATTCACAGCGAAAGAAATACCACTTCTTGGATGCATCGTGGATAAAAAGGTATACGCCCTGATCCGGAAAAGATCAAGGCGAATAGAGACTGGCCTGTGCCAGTCGACGTTAATAGACTTCGAAAGTTCTTTGGCTTAGCGGCGTACTTGCACAAGTACTCGCGTAGCTACACCGAGATGGCCGTACATCTTTATCGTCTGTTAACAAAAAACCGAGAGATGGTCATAGAGTGCTAAGTGTCAGCACTCCTTCGAAGTTATCAAGATAACTTGATACAATCGCCTGTATCGGCGATTGTAGACCAGGACAGATCATTCCATGTAGTCTGTGACGCCAGCGATTTTGCAATCGGCTGCGCGTTAATGCCGTACAACTCAGAAGGCGCTGAGCGCGTAGTCTGTTATCAATCGCGTCAGCTACAAGCAGCTGAGCGTAATTACCCGGTGCATGGCAAGGAACTCCTTGCCATGAAATACGCATTGGCTAAGTTATGGGTATATATCTTCGGCGATAGGCTCTTCATCTTTTATACTGACCATGCTTCATTACGCACGGCCGTTAACAGTCCACACCTCTCGCAACGAATGGTGAGGTGGCTGTCTTTCTTCGCGGAGTACAACTTCTCCGTCGAGCATAATCCAGGACGACTTAATGTCGTCGCTGATGCTCTCTCGCGTCAGCCCGATTTCGAACCGACTACTCGACGACGTGCGGAAAGCATACGTAGAAGATAATTCTCTTCTGCGATGGTTGGATTACGTATACATTCCATGCAGTCAGGCTTTAAAAAGCTTGACGTCTCAACACCGCTCTTCAACCGAACTATATTCGGATCTTGATGAAGTGCTGTACTATAAAGCAGTCAACGGCGACACACCTCGTGTCGTCGTTCCCGCTCATAATGATCTACGACTGATCATCATGTATGAGTGTCACGATGCCCCTACAAGTGGGCATCGCGGTAGAGAAAAGACACATTTCACGGTAAGTCCTGACTTCTACTGGCTTCGCCAGTATAAATTCCTACGCAATTACATTCGTGCTTGCTAAGTTTGCCAACAGGTGAAGCCTAGTCATTCATACCGTACACCCTTGCAGTCTCTACTAATTCCGGCAGAGTACAGGCAGTCCGTACGATGGACTTCGTTTTTACGTTTCCCAAAGACGCTCACATGAATACTGGTATTCTTGTGTTTGTTGATAGGTTCAACAAGATGGTACATCCTGTTGCTGTACAGGAGTCAACCACAGCCCAGGGCTGTGCTCGTGTCTTCATTGATACTGTCTTCCGACTCCACGTGTTACCCCTTGAACTCGTGTCTGATAGGGACCCCCGCTTCACAGCGGAGTTCTGGCAATCCGTGTTCCGTTCACTTGGAACACATTTGACGATGTCGACTTCTGACCATCCAGATACAGATGGTCAGACGGAGCGCGTCAACCGCGTCCTCGAAGAGATACTTCGAGGGTATGTCCACTCGTTTACGAGATGGAGTGAGTTCTTGCCGATGGCGGAATTCGCAATCAACAACTCGATGCATGCGTCGATAACGCATACACCGTTCTTCGTGAATGGTCCAACGCCGTCCACGTTAAAAAGCCTTCTTAGAGTGTGACTCTTGTTTTAGTGGGCGGGATGAATTCTCTCGAACAAAAACCGATCTGGTTCTTGCTCATCACCCGTCGACAGTGATGTCGACGTGATGGATTCCAATGTCGATGCGATAGATATCGATGATGATGATGACAACGATGCTGGTATACTCAGCATCGCCAATGACTGTCAAAGTGAGGACGATGACACCCTCACTGGTGAAGACAACGTTCTTTTAGCAGTGCACACGAAGCGCACTGCTGTGAACAAGGATAAAACAGCGGAGGAATTTCTGCTGACTTGCGAAGCAATGGTCCGTTTCGTCTAGATATCTATTCAGATGCACTAGACATACAGAAACGAAACGCAGCGAAACATGAAAGAGCAATTGTTCTTTCATTTGATGAAAGAATTTACTTTTACTGTCTATAGTAAATCTACCGAAACACGCAGTGATAAACGTGGGCAGCAGTAAATTACTTCCCAAGTATATCGGTCCATTTTTTTTCGTGTGTTGCGCCAAACGGGCAGCGCATACACGATTGAACTTCCCCGTAAGATGCGTACTCATCCTACGTTTACGTTGGACGTCTCCGACCGTACTATCAGTACGAGCCCGTTTCGAGAGGCAAAAAACACCTTCGCGGTCAAGAGCCGAGACCTCCTTCGAGTGGTGCGTTTCAACGAGCCAGTCTGGTCGACTAGACTGGCTCGTTGAAACGCACCACTCGAATCGACTAGCGAAGCGACCTGCTCACGCAGTTGAGCGATGTCTTGACGAGCTGCAGCCAGCTCGTCACGAAGAGAACGAGTCAAAGGCTCGTTCTCAAGTTGCGCGAATGCAAAAGCAGCACGATCGTCCGAACGATCGTGCATTAGGGAATCGTACGTATCCCTTACAAGGTCATGAAGCTCATTACGCCAAGTCCGTTCACGACACAGGTAATCTTGTAACTGTTCCGATACACGGTTCAGCTCCCAAACATTAAGACGATCCGACCCTCGAGCAAAATCAGGTGTTCCCGCCACCACCACATCCTTTGGTGGAATCTGGCGGTGGTCAACGCTTTCTGGTGGAGCGTATGTTGAACCACCGCGACGTGAATGGCGTCCGGACGAGTTACCTTTTCCGCCGGCGTGGCTATCCACCGGCCCGGGACAGCTGGAAGCCTCGTGCCCAGCTGATTGTTGATGTCCTGAGTCTCGTCGAGCAGTACGACGAGACCCACTTGCTGCGTTCAAAGAAGGGCCGTCGGAAAACGACCTCCCCGAACACGAGTACAGGGATTGCAAAGTGTCAACCCCTTTGGCCATCTCAGCAGAGATGCGAGCTCTCCAGAAGGGAACATAAGGGAGGGAGGCCTCTCTTGGGGCACGAGTGGCATTGTCCAGGCAACATTGACACGGATCGCTTCATGAGGGACAGGGCAATCCTGTCTCTCTTGACAGTCGGTACAATTTGTATTGTACACCGACTGGATTACGTTTTTCAAACCTAATGCGAGCTGCATCAAGTTTACTGAGCCAGGCCTCACGGCCAGTACACTCGATGTTATGAATGAAGGCATTCCATCCTTACACCAAAGCCTTACCCTCGCTATCACAGTTGTCACTGAACCACCGATGTCTGAAAACACACATCGGTGTAAAACTCTTTATCAGCACGGATAGTTTCCGTGCTGGAATTAGGTGGGCAGATCCTCTTACAGTCGAAAAACGGGATTCGATACCGTTCAGTGGTCGTACCGGCCACTCAGTCTAACTCCTTCGATAGTGGCATCCAAGGAGACCCCAGTTGAGGATCAAGGCGAAGGACATTGTGGTCCCTGGCTTCTTGCGTGGTGTTAGCATTTGCAATGAGACCAGAAGCAGATCGATCCTCGAGTTGCTTCTCTCCCGATAATGCACATGTGCTTCACCACAATCACCACGCGTCCCAGTGTACAATGGACTTTCGTGAGGCGACGATTCGTCAAATAAATCGCTCGGTCCGAAGATATCAGACATGATAGCCCCATGTTTCCAATAGCCAACCAACCTAGATCTGGCAGTGTCCACCCCGGGTGATCTGGAGGCAGGAGGCGCCGCCTTCGATTTGAATAAATCATCCGACTCGTCCGAATGGATGAGCTCTATTCCAGGCTCATACGCTTTGCGAGTCGATGCAACTGCTGCAGAAGCAGCTGATGTATCTTTCGCACGCGGTGACTCACCACGTGGACTATTCACAACAGGCACTACCTGTTGCTCTTGCAACATTATGCGAATGATCACCTGTTGCTGAAAAAAGAGAAGTACTCTCTTTGGCTGCACGCATGCGTGAGATCGCCTTTCTGGCTGCTTCGGCAGCACAATGCATAAAATTTGACACCATGCGATGAATTGGTAAATCAGTTGGAATCCGACCAACGATTGCCTCCCTTCCCAGAGTTAGATCTAACGGTGATCACCTTTTCCCCGATCGAATCGATTTAATCAACGGGGTGATCGATGGTTAGGGGTGATGTAACTGGGTAGCCCGTTACATGATATTGACACCAAACGGTTTCAAGAGGGAGATTGCTAGCGTGACAATTTCCTACCAAAATACTTGAGATAGTTAATGTTAAAGAAATATTATTCCCTTGTAGGATAATATTCATGTGCTGCTTGAAGATTAATTGATAAAAAACATGGTTAACACAAATTGTTGCTGAATGCGCGTAATGAGTGGTGAGCAGGTTGTCGTCATTCGACGATGTAGATTAATATAGTCAGATAAATGCTGAAGTCATATTGATAGCTTAGCTATGTTAAATACAGTTATCTTTTTTTAATTTGCTCAAACCAGTAGTTTAAGTCGACTATCTTCCTCTGCACGAACGAGCGTACGTGAAGTCTCGTGGAACCCTGACGAAGGGTGCCCCCAGTACTCTATCATTGGAGCAATCTCAAGGATTCAGGTGTACTGTTCCGAGAGGTACTATATGAGCTCGACAGCTACATGCGCTATTAAAACGCAGCATATTTTCTACCTCAACAATGCATCGGCGCACACTGCTCAAGGCATGGATTTGAAATTCGAGATAGTCATTTTACTTCCACCAATCACGACAGCGAGCTTTAGCCCATGGAATCCGGTACCATTGTCTCATACGAGAGTCTGTATTATCACCGCCACCTCGAGCACACTTTGTATGTGTAGGAAAAAGGATCACAGTACAGCATCTGATTAATAGACCAACTCACGGCGATGAAATGGATCAAATACTGCTGGTGTGAGTATAGAGCACTTGCGTAGTAAGTGTAGCTTGGTTGTTTTACCCTTCCTGGGGCAGTGCACGTGTTTCAATGCTAAAATGAACTGACTTTAGCAGACCAAGCTCGTGCTTGGCTGTGCGATCACGCTCAGATTACGTATTGACGCTTAAAAACAAATAAAAATCAGCCCACTGGCACAAATTCTTCAGATACGCATCCGCGACGTCATGGATATAAGCGACATCATTCGCTACACCGCCAAGGACAGCGCATAGATGGAAGCGACGGCTGCCACAACCATTCGAAATTAGAAAATTAGTGGACGCCGTAATCTTGTTCACAGCTTAAGTAAACATTGATTTTACATGTCGGAGTCGACAAGTGAAGGCTTTATCAACACGCATCCAGAGATCAGAGCCGAGGGCAAAGTAGACGCATTTCAAAGAATGAATTTTCTGCCAGGTAATTATCCAGATTTTAAGATAATTTATGAGAGGGATGCAAAGTTATAGCGATTGCGTGAGGAGATCAGGCTAGAGAGGGAATATTCACACAAACAGGCGATGAATCGTGGATGCTTCTTCGCGAAATCAACCATGCATTTATTCTGAGGGGGTAGTTACGCGATCTCATTAGCAAGTTATAAGACCTCCATTTTTAACGTATTAGATCAGTGTGATCTCTATCGCTGCGTGCACCTTATGCTCCGTTTCTGCGGACAAAAATGACCTGCCCTTCACAGTATATAAGAGTTCGTTCGACATTAGGTATGTATTTATCTTGTACACCTATTACATAAAGTTTGTCCAGTCAAATGATTCCAAATTAAAAATGGAGTTTAGAATTAGGCTCAATACCTTATAAATGGAAGCGTAGAATACGGAGATCAGACTTGTGGCTTAAGCATTAAAACTATAAGAACATTAAATTTTTAGTTCTAACCACGTCTTTCTAAAAAATTAGACCCATCAGGTCCCATTAGTTTCATCATCCGACATTATTGCGTCCTTTTGCTCAAGTATGGTTTCTCCCTTTTTTTCTCTGATGGACTACATCATGACACTTGGAGAATGTTTTGATAGTACAAAGCTGGTGAAACCCATGCAAAAGAAGGATTCCAAAGTTTGACTAATATCACCTGCTCTTTCTGGTTCTCATACCATCAAACTCTGATCTGATGCTGCCACACCAACCCACTTGAGATAAAAGCGTTCTGAGTTTCGGAAATTATGAAGTTTTGTTTACCAAATACTGCGTAGCACAAATTGACTTTTGTGCAAATCCACGTCCATAACACTTATCGTTTTTATTTTTCAGCATAAACTGTTTGCGCGATGAATGGAAGCTATGGATTCATCCCATGTTCGATGAGGGTCGGCCCACGCTATTGACCCACACGTCGTCCGGTGAATTATCAATTTTCAACAGATTTTTTATTAAGAAATAATTTATCTCATACCAAGTTTACATAATGCATTGAAACGGAAACGGAACTGATGGATCGACTGCATCATCCAAGGCAATATAAGATTAGATAGCAAGATATGGAGCTCGCCTTTCGATATAAGTAATTTAGTCCGGAGAACCGAGTCAAGTTTACAACGCTAAACAACAGCGGCAGTCACTGAAGAAGGAGTATGATGATGTTGATTTCTAAACCAAATCAAGAGTATAGTCATGCAACGCGAGCAGCCTTTGATCATGAGTGTCCAGTGTTTTCTTACATTACCATATTCACTATATGCTTACATGATCATATTCACCCTTATATGGTTTTAAACCCATTACGTGCTGACATCTCGTAGTGCTCTTTGGCTAGGAGCAAATTTGAATATACATATTCACCTATGAGAAGGGGGCAGGTTTGATCACACTTAGTACGTGCAAATTACATCTAGCCACGTAATTTACACACACAGATAAGCGCGATTTTCAAATGCGGCATTCAGCTTGCGCACACTCACTAGTAGCTTTACCCGTCGGGATCGTAATCATGTTCTTTTGAATCCAGGTCAATTAGTACTCACTCGCTTTAACTTTTGCCCTTAATTTAACAATATATTCAAAATAGTTTCGATAGCATGGTTGGCCAATAAAGTCGTAAATTATTTTGCGCTCTTTCAGCTAATGCTAGTCGCGTATTTATTAGTAGGCGTATGCCGAGAAGTTCATACATTAAATACCATCATTAAATGAAGGGTATGACACCGAGGTCTATTGCGAAGCGTTTAAGTCACCGATTGTCAATTGTGAGGGATAAAAAAAACGGTTTACTAAAAGGCGAACACTGATATGTGTACCCAGATTAATGTATCGTCGGTACTCTATAAATTTGTTTCAGCCTAAAAAAGCTTTAGACTCAATACGGTGTCTCTACAATTTAGTTTACATGTAAGTAATTAAAGCAATCATCTATCAATTTGAAATGTACCATACGATGACTAGCATTTATAGGCTTCCTTTTGCCTCAACAAATTCGTTTTGCTGAAACAGACAAGCATTTTGATATAGAATTGCTCGATTCGGGACAAAGACAATATGACAGAGAAGGTGAGTCATAAGACAGGAATAGCAAGTCCAATACAGATTTAAGATAGGAGAGAAAGCTCTGGAGTTGTCCCTATGATATTAGTAATCCATTCCTTAGAATTTCAACAAGTTTTGTATGTATTTATGTATCCATGTTGGGTAGGTGGTGCTGTAGAGGTTATGGGCTGGTCTGTGTTTTTGAACATGCGAGTGTGCGTTAGAGCTACTCATTGATGCTGTTGATTTTTCTGTAATGGACAAATTTAAAATTTGAAAAACGTGGAGTAGCCTGCTCTGTCGCGCTGTTAATAATAACGCGCGGAATTTGACGCAAAAAAACAAATGGTTTAGAGAAATCAGATTGATAGGGCTCCGTCCGCTACCAAGAGAAAAACACGGCCACATCCTCTTATTATTTGAGTATATAAAGCAATTTGTATCAAAGCCACTCTCCACTTACTGATTTCGAAACGTGCGAGACTTTTGCTGCTCCTTATCATCGAGCATTTGACTCTGATCCCTCCGTCCGCCCTTAATTAAGTTCAAACGAAACACGTGCGGGTGTTCGTGCGTGTGTATACGTTCCACACTTCTTAGTTGCAGTTTTGATCTGATCGAAGAGTGACACCTATATTGCCTATCAACCCATAACCAGGGAACAAATGTACATTAAATTTTGTAAGACGTTCGAGGTACAACTAGCGCTTCTTTTATACACATATGAACGAGGTGAAAATGGTACATAGCACTTAGTAAGACATGAAAAGTATATCTACCGTTACATACTAACACAGTAGGTGAAAGGACACATCACACTTAGTATGGCGTACAAGGTACACCCGTCTTGATCCACATACACAGGAGGTGACAGACGAAATCGCACTCAGTAAGATTTTAAGGTACAACATATCACTAGTTACAAACACAGGCAGACAGAAAGTAGGACTACAAATTTCGGTCACCACCTTGCACACATTAACTAACTTCTTTACCCTTCGGAATCACAAAGAGTGACTTTTTTTGTATTGTATAGACATCCTTTTGAAAACCACATGTAAATGGCAGCTTGATTGGTCGATGCTTTTAAATATAAAGTCTAGAGGTTGCCGACGAATTTATAAGCGGTTTAATAAAATTCTAGTACACATCGAGCAGGGATGCAGGCATCACGAAGGAGGTTGATTATTCAATTCACATGAGATTGTCTGCGACAGATCTAGCAATTCTACTATTTCTTCCCTTCCTTTACCTTCTTACCTTTTCCACAACTTCGTTCTCGGTAAGCTTCAGCTGATTAGTTTCATCCTCATCGATGAGATCTATATGCGTACCGATTGCCATGGGTTTTCAGACATGCAGCATCTTCAGCTGTGCTATCATCTCCTTCTACAACTATTTTATGCCCTCCAAAAATCTCTTCACCATTTTTCTCTATTTTTTCCTCATTACTTGACATTACAGATGAATAAAAAGTAGCCCCGTGCGGTGTGAGCAATTGAAAATGATAGTCGCCTAGATATCGGTACATGCATCCAGCGACTCAGAAATGGTAGCAATTTGGTCATTTTTTAAAATGTATCAAGTTTTCATACACTCGTCATAAGAAACTGCATGCTGCAGAGTGTAGCGGTAATACCTTCTTTGAATTGTGTAATAATGCCGCTATCTATAAAATAGGTATTGCGGCGTTGTGTTTGGTGGAATAGCTGTACCTCGACTTTGGTTATCTCAAGGTCATTTCGAAATATGCGATAGGACTTTGTCCGTCAAACAATAAATTATATTATTAAATCTGTTTTTGTACATATGATACTATTAAAATCAATATTGAACACGAGTTGATTTCATCTAGATGATCGTGTACTCTCATATCTTTGTCTACATGTACAAACTCTGCCTGTCATTATACGCTTGTCATCCACTCCTTGTTGTTTGCGCGGAAAAGAAACCTAAGTGATCGGCCTTAATTCTTGTTAAAGCACCAGGTTTCTTGATTTCTTGTAAATTAAAGGTTGCACCTTGTCAAATCCATCTTCATTTGCAGCTAGCTTAATGAAAATATGCATCTGCAGTGGGTGACGGAGAAAACCGTTTACTTATAAAATTAACAAAAAATTGAAAATCTACTTACTCTCATACCCATATACCCTTTAATTTTTCACTGTGCAATCGTCCCGTCGATCGACATGCTGTCATTCTTTCCTGCAAATTTATTTTTTCGTACTTGAGTTTAGCAAATGTTACAAAGGAAATTGACCGGACCCATCCGTGTTGCTAATATCACACAAACCGTACTCGGCGATGATCTTCCTCAAAATAGTCAGGACTGAATTTGTGCTGTTGAAGTCCACAAAGCCATTTACGCAATGAGATTCGACTAGCGCGAGATTGTAAATTTGCTGGAATCTAAAAAGCCACCCGTAAAAAAATTAGTGGATCGTGGCCCAGCTTAGTAATAATGTGAGCATATATGTGCGCTTATGCCACAGCTTTCAAAGGCTTAAAACAATCCGTCCATTCAGGTGCACCACTGATGAGTCTACCTGTACTTACGGAAATTTATGAGCCCGTCAGCATGTACTTTGTAGTAAGCCAATTTTGATCGTCCTTGATCGTTGAGCAAGGTAAATCAATTAACGGCAGATCAGGACTCGATTTACGGTATAGGTACCGCCAAGCTGTTCATTAATCAAATTTATCGTCGATACGTATTACCTTTGACAATTTTGTCTTACCGAGACCCTCGGATACAGGTGAGTTTTATAATTCCATCTCATAGGTGCTTGGCCCCCGTTAAAACATGGCCACGTCGGATCATCGCAGACCCATGGTCGAACAGATAGCAATAATCGCGTTGTTAAAGATCTTCTGCGCAGTATGTAACGGGGTATCCCGTTACATGATTTTGACACCAAACGGTGTCATTCGGGAGATTGTCCAGTGTGACAATTCCCTGCCAACTTTATCCGAGATGGATAATATTGAAGAAATATTATCTTCTTGTAGGATAATATTCATGCGCTGCTCAAATATTGGTTATTAAAGACATATCAACCAAGGATACCACCAATCGCTGCTAGACGCGCATAATGGGTGGTGAGCAGGTTGTCGTCATACGACGATGTAGGTTGATATGGTTCGATAAATACTGAAGTTATATTGATAGCTTGACTATATTTAATACGGTTCTCTTTTGACCGTTACACAAACTAGCTGTTCAAGTAGCTTAGCTTCCTCGGCATGTACTATCGTACGTGAAGTTTTGTGGCACACCTAACAAAGGATGCCTTGTTACACATTCTGTCGTTGAAGTTCGATCAGTTGCTCTGGATGAACGGCAGTAAGTCCTATCATTTTGATTGAGGCAGCTCCTCAGCTTTGCGTGAATGGTGACGCAACTACGAACTCGGTCCACTGAAAGCTAATGGTCTGCGCTTGCGTTTCATCGAATGAGTCGTACGGCTTGTCGTCTACAGAAACTTTTACAAGACATCATCCAGCTGTAAGCGGTTACCTATTGGCAGTCAGAATCAGATAAATCACGAGAGCTGGGTATTCTTGAAGCTTTCACTCATTCTATGGTATTTACACAGAATTGATCAGTGCATGCATTCTCCCTCTTGATGTATGTTGGAAACGCACCATTAATAAGCCATCTCCAGACTTCGCTAGTAAAGCGACCAAGTTTCAGTTTCGGTTCTGGAATTCCTTTCAATATCATCATCAACGACCGTTCTAAAGTCCAACATGGCGACTTGCGCGATTCGCTGCTAAAGGTCGGGACCGTCGTCGTTAAAGCTATCTGTAACGGGGCACTCCCAAGCTTGTGCTGATGACAGTACAAGCTACTTATTCTGACGACAGAATAAGGCGGTGCCTCGGAACTTCACGTACACTGGTACGTGCAGAGGAAGACGGTCAGAAGAAGCGAGTACTTGACCAAAATAAAAAGTAGAACTGTATTTATAATAGTTAATGTCTACAATAAATCACTATTTATCTTCATCTAACTATGTCTAAATACAAATGTGTATATCAACTATCTGCTCACCACTCATTGCGTGCGTCTGTCGTGGCGCGTCTTCGTTGGTTGATGTAATGGCCTGTTTCAACCAATTAGGAACTACTCGTAAGTGCTGCAGAATATTTGTCCTTATGCCAATATTCTAAGAATATAACTCTTATAGTTATATCCTTTTAACAATTTCTTATAAATTGTTATGTAACGGTTCACCCCGTTACACTATCGACATGATCGTCAAGCTGGCTTTAAAAAATGAAAGCTGCGACATTGTTGTGAGAACTACTAGGGGTTTTTAATCTTGCTAATAAAGTGAAGATAGATTTTGTCGATTGGCTTCCTTGCAGTTGCAGGGATCAGCGTCCGGCCGGATTGTGCGTGAGTCACACGATTGTCGAAGAATAAAACCCAATAAAACCCGATTCTGGATGATCATAGGCCGTCGGGTTTTAATAACAGAGCATAAAAACTTGATTGTAAAATCCAGTTGATGCCAGCCCTAAAATTGACCCAGAAGTGTACTCATGCAACGCGACCAGCCTCGCTTATGAGCTTCCAGTGTTTAATCTCATGATAATATTTCCCTTTGGTCGGCTTTAAGCCAATCACATGCGTGCGTCACGATAGTGACCTAGATAAAGAGTGACTTTGAAAATGCCATGTACCTATGAGAAGGGGACAGCCTTGATTGCACTTAGCACGGGTAAGGAACACCTAACCGCGTTATTTACAGTCAGACAAACAGGTACACACAGCCAAGTACAATTTATAAAGGCAGTATTCGATGATGCGCACACTCACTAATAGCTTTACCCTTCGGGCTCGCAATTAAGATTAAATATTGTGAGATCTAAGGATGTAAATATCTAATTTGACAGGAAGGGTGTGAATTCAAGGAAAAGAGATGTGAATAGATCAATAATCTATTTCTTTTTTTAAGCAAAATACAGTTGTCGTGCTACACCTCTTGTAAAGTCGAAGGCTTCGAGACGATGTCAATTTGTGACGACGACACCCATCTGCAGCCGCTTCTTGACCGCTCGGATGCTCACGAGATACCTCCAACCGACAACGAGGTGCATTCAGTTCCAAAACGGGATAAAGTGAAGTCGAAGATGGTATTATCATGCGGCGTTGTTGCTGTTTTGGTTCTGATGGTCCACATGATGTTCGTCGCGCTGCTGATGAAGACAATCGTGACTCTGGAGCAGTTGACTCTGCCGGATTTATGTCATCGTGAAACGGTTGGAGAAATGATCCTGGAGCTCCAGAACCCGTCGTACTGCTCGCCAATAGTGGGACCACTGGACATTCGATTCTCAAAGGAGAGCATGACATTCTTGCACGTTCACGTTGCTGCATTTGAACTCCAATCAGGGCTGACAACGGTGGTATCTCCAGTACACTTTACGTTACTGGAGTCACCTCGAGATTTGTACCAATTTGTGCTTGCTGAAGATGGAGAAAATATCCACGTCCATGGCCAAGTTCCAGTTTCGATTTCGTGCATGTTGGTCCCCTTCACGATCCATTTGGACGTTTCAGACCTGCTGAGAGCAAATACACAGCCACTCATTACCACATGGGTTCCGCCACATTGGCGATATACCGTGGGTCTACCCATGGATAGTGCTGGCATAGGGGCATCAGGTATCGTGAACGAGATCATGACGGAGTTGCAGCATGTCGTGAAGCAAGTGCTTCAAACGATTGCCCTTTCCCACTTCCACACGGAGGAAGACAAGCAAGAGGTCTTTGCTTATACGGACGTATCGATCGAGTACGCGTCAAGAGTGCTCTGGAATCTTCCCTCGCTTTCAATTGCGGTCCAATCTGTAGAAAGACAGACTCTTCTCGTGGCAGGGTTCAAGCGCTTTCTCTTGGGAAGCGGCCAGACTTTCATCTCAGCTTTCACAGAAGTGTTCAAGAATCAGACGGACCCTCTTCTGTCAATGTTGCAATCGTATTTGTCAGGAAACGACGTTGAGCTTCACGTCCGTGGTGGTAATGCTGATACTGAATGCTACTCATTGCGAGTGCTTGATCTAGTAGATGTCCAGGTGAGCGTTCCCGCCAAGATTGACAACAAGCCAGCATTCCTTCGTGAGTACTCGATCAAGCCAATGCTCAAGGAGATGGATTCCAAGAACCATGTATGTTATCTGGACTTGACAGTGTCGATTCGGATCAACAATCCGTTGCCCATTCAGTTGGACCTTTATGGCATCGAATTGAATCTGCTGTTCAAGAATGACTCGATCGAGAACAACCATAGCTCCAAGTTCCTGCTGCACGTCAACAACACAATGCACGTAGCATGGATGGCTCACGACGAAAACACCATTGTGCTGAAAACAGCTGTGCACGATTTCGATTCCTGCGTAGAAGTGGTGACGTTCTATCTCGATAACCAGCTGTCTTTTGACATCCAGCACGGTCGCGCATCTCTGGGTTCTGATCTTGGAAACTTCAGTATTCCGTTCTCGGTCCAGGACATTCACATCAACCCCAGCCAATCCGCAAAAGACGTCAGTCGCGCATCACTAATTGTCAAAAAGTAGACGCTTTTTGGCAACTCGACTCTTCTGAAAACCAGCCACCACGTTCGTGCAACATCCGACGCTAATCAACAGCACTATAACATGGGGGCCTCGTTCTCGCGCTATTTGTGCCTCGCTGTCGGCGTCGCGTACCCTGCGTACGCGAGTTTCAAAGCTCTTGAACGACCTCACACCGGTCACGACTCGAAGCAGTGGCTCACGTACTGGATCGTGTACGGCGCCACGACATCTGTAGAGACAGTCGCGTCGCCTCTTGTGTGCTTGGTGCCCGGCTATAACATGACGAAGACGCTGTTCCTCATCTGGATGATGTCCCGGCAGACTCATGTACGTTGTGCACTTCGATCATCAATTAAGTGATGAATTAATCGATGAATCAATTGGTTGGTTGCTAGAGCATGTTGGCATCAATTAGTTGATGAATTAATTGGTTGGTTGCAAGAGAGCATGTTGGCCACGTTTTAATTGTCATTATGTGAACGGATGTCTGTGTGTGGTGTTGATGTTGATTTTGGGATGATAGGGAGCAACGATCGTCTACGACAAGCTCCTGTGTCCTTTTCTGAAGCAGAAAGAGCCATTTGTGGATCGCAAGCTGGAAGAAGCGCAAGAAGCTGCAGAAGGCGCTCTGTCTTCGTTTGTACGAGCTTGGGGTCAGACTATCACTGACCAAGTCGTGGCTATTCAGAAAAGTGACGAGTTCAAGCAAATTTGCTCGGCGATCAAAGCGCTGGCGTCACCGGACTCGATGGAGGGCAGGAGGAAGGAGAAGAGCATTGATTGATCCGAGCAAACAGTCGACAACAAATTGAGTGTGAATGAATCGTACACGAAAAGTGTGCGCATGAGTATACTATTGTGTGTTGGCGGGCTGGGCTAGCTGCTCGACCCACCTGCTCGAGAAACGGGAGACGTTCCGTGGTCGACGTCTTTTGCAATTATCTATCCTACTCGCTCACGTGCAGATTAATAGTGGTGCACGTACTTGAAGTCCTCTCGAGAGTTCACCTTGTCAATGTACGAGTGTGCCTTGAAGTGCTCGGCTTGAATCAGCTCCGCAAGCATGGGTGCGACCGACAGACGCTTGAGTTTGTTGGTGTGAAAGGCCTTCGGGTCGGCCGGAATCGTGTCCATCACAACAACCTGTGACACGTTTGAGTCCTCGATCAAACGTTCGGCGTCGCCGTTTAGCAGCGGATGCGAGGCAAAGCAGTACACCTTTCGGGCGCCTTTACTTAGAGCAAGGTTCGTGAGCTTGGACAGCGTTTCGCTCGTGTCAATCAAGTCGTCCACAACAATCACGTCAGCGCCCTTGACATCACCCACAATATCAGCAGGAGACTGCTGCCCCGACTCTTCTTTGCCCGTCCCGTGGAAAAACACGGCAAACTGCGCCGGTGAGTCCGGGAGCCACTTGTTCAGACCCGTCTGGAAAATACGTGCACGACGCAAGCACTCTGGGTTCGGCGCCATCACCACAAGCGGACGACGAATGTACACTTGCGTAGCAAAATACTCGACGCCAGCCATGATCGTCTCAATTGTCTCGACGGGAATGTCCGAGCTAAAGAAACACGCCTCGTGGCCTTCAACACGCATCTGCATGTCCACGGCAATCACGCGGTCCACCCCCATCACTTCGAGCATCTTGGCAATATCAGCAGCAGGACTCTGGATAAACTTGGAATTCAAGCTAGTAGCTGCCGGGTTCGCACGACGATGGTGCTTGTACGCATAGTACCTGTACCATCACCAAAACCAGCAACAACAGCAAGATCCACAGTGTCAGCTCTCTCTCTCTGTGTCTCTATCCACAGCTTTTGTCTATCGACACTTACGGGATGACGACCGTCACCTTCTTGGCACTTGCTCGCCGCATGGTACTCACCATAAGCAGGAGCTCAATGATATTGTCGTTCACGGGGCTTGCCAGACTCTGGACCAGGTACACGTCTTTGCCCCGCACGCTCTCGCCCACTTGCACCTGCACTTCACCATCAGCAAAGCGGCCGAGCGTGATCTTTCCAACGCGCGTGCCGAGCCGCCGCGCAATGTCATCGGCCAGTTCAAAGTGCGACGAGCCCGAGAAGATCTTGAGCTCGTGGCAGCCGGGAATGAACATCCCCGCGTGGGTACACGGGTGTTTGTCCGATGGAAAAAAGGGCGAGAACGGATCCACGCGCTTGCGATCGGACGGCACGCCGAACTCCAGATCGCGGAGGTCGCGCTTCTCTTCCGTGCGGGCGATGCGACTCGAGTGCATCGTGCCTAGCGTGGCGCCGGTGCCGAACACGGCGAGACGCGGCGTCACGCGCGAGACGGCGGAGCGAAAGCCAAAGACCATACTGCCAAGTGGGATCGACTGGACGAGGAGTAGCGATGATAGGGTGGGGTGGGTACAACTCCGGTCGCGGTAACTATTGTCATTATTGTGGTTCTGTATTGTCATTGTTATGGTTGATATCGTCATTATTGTGGTGATTGTGGGTACAACTCCTGTCGCGGTAGCTATTGTAATTATTGTGGTTCTGTGTTGTCTTTGTTAGGGTTGTTCTCATCATTATTGTGGTGATTGTGGTCGCTCGATCGTTTTTGACAGGTGTGGTAATGGTGAGGACTTGACGTCGAGCTGTTGAGGAGGAAGCAGTGAGACAGTCGATGGGGAGCGAATAGCTGCAGTGTTAAACGACGGCAAAAAGTAAATTGCACGTTGTAGTAAGAATGTCGTCGACAAAGACTCTAGATCACGTTGGCAGTCAGTCAGATCGTGACTCTTCTTCGGTGCACCTGCGAGTGCAGGTTGACTCGATCACTCGTTTTTCTTGTGCAGGCTCTGCTCCAGAAGCTCGGCGAGGATCTCGTTCAGGTCGCCAAGGATGCTGCGGCCGTCGTCCACAAGACCGGCAGCCACGGTAGCGTTCGTGTAGATCTGAGACGTTACGCAAGCAAACAGAATGACACAAACGAGTTAGCGCAATGGCCGAGATGAAACAAAGTCACAGCGATACGAACCTGGCGGGCCACCTTCTTGGCAAGAGCATCGTTCACTTCACGCAGCGCGTTCAAGTTCACGATGATGCCGTGGTTCGGATTGATCTCCATCACATGTTTCGACAGCCCTCCTCCATCCTGCCCCGCGCGGTCATTCACCATCTGCATCATCCTACGACAGACAAAGACAATATCTCTGAGTACTGACACTCTTTCATCCCCATCACAACATGACGTACTTGCGAATCGAAGCCGACTCGTGGTCCACGATGATAGCTGGCGAGTCAGTTAGACGAGAAGTGAACTACAATTCACACACATCTCGACTTCAGCCCACTTCCAGATATGGGATCGATAATGGGCAGCAACAAACCTTGACTTCCTTCACACTGTCTTCCAACGTTAGCTTCAGCCAAGCTTCGAACAGTTGCTGCTCGTCTTTTGACAGCATCTTTTCGGAGGTACTGTCACCGTCGCTATCGACGTTTATCTTCGCATGCTCTGCAGAGATAACCTTGCGGCCGTTGAACTCAGCGACGTTTGTCATCACAAAGTCGTCCATGGGACTGTAGACGAACAGCACCTCTTTGTTCATCTTTCTACAGAAGTAGACAACAAGCTGGTCAGTCAACGAGTCTTGCAAATTGACAGGACGTAGCAGCTCAGGATCTGCGCACGTACTTGAAAGCCTCGAAGTATGGAGACGACTCAGCGATTGCTCGTGTAGGTGCGCACAAGTAATAGATCTCGTTCTGATCCGGAGGACAGCGTGACACGTACTCATCGAGACTTGTCAACTTGCCTCCATCAACCTGACTCGATTCATAGCGTAGTAACTTTGCCAATGCACCCTTGTTCGCAAAGTCGGTACAGATGCCCTCTTTGATAAACTGACCAAACTCGGCGAAGAACTTTTCAAACTTGTCCGGCTCCTTCGTCGACTGATATTGCACATTACATCACACCGCCCAACGCATGTTGCTGTTAGACGGACAGCAAGACAGAGCTCAGACAAATATCTAATTTACCATACCTCACGCTCCAGAAAGCGAACAATCCGTCGTGTCAGCACATCACGAATCTTATGGATCAAGCGGCTGTCCTGCATCTTCTCACGCGAAAGGCTGAGCGGAAGGTCCTCGCTGTCGACGACACCACGTACGAAGCGCATCCAGTCCGGTAGAATGTCAGGCGAGTTGCGCTCGATAAGAACCTTTCGTGAGTACAGACTCACACCCGGCTCCAAACGAGCAAAGCCAAACTTCTCGGTGTGGGAAGAACCAATAAAGAAAAGAGTCTTCAGCTCGATGGGAGCGTCTGCCTTGAAAATGAGGCGGTAAGCAGGCTCGTCGAACGCATTGGCGATAAACTTGTAAAATTCAGTGTACTCCTCGTCAGTGACATCGCTCTCGCTCTTGGTCCAGAGAGCCTGGACAGTGTTGACCGTGTCCCCGTCGAGGATGATCGGGAAAGAGACAAAGTTCGAGTAGCGACGAATGATGGACTCCACCTTTGACTTCGTGCCAAAGTCTTTGCAGGAATCCTTCAAGTACACCACGATCTTACTACCACGCGTTACGTCATTCGCTTCAGCAATCTCGTACGATCCACTACCATCCGACCGCCACAAGGTTCCTGGACGACCAGGTACTGCCGATTGCGAAAACACCTCTACCTTCTCGGCGACCATAAACGCAGAGTAGAAGCCGACGCCAAACTTACCAATGATGCCGCTAAGTGCATCACCCGACTCACCGGGAGAGCTTTCTTTCAACTGCTCCAAAAATGCTTTGGACCCTGAGCGTGCAATCGTGCCCAGATTCTCAATCAGCTCTTCCTCCGACATGCCCACACCTGTATCAGCAATAGTAAGCGTGCCAGCCTCTTCGTCCGTCGTAATCACAATCTTTGGCTCGAGCTCCGCATCCTGGAGATCCGCGCCCGTGGACTGCAAGTGACGAAGTTTCTCAAGAGCGTCCGAGGCATTGGAGACAAGTTCTCGAATAAACACGTCCTTGTCCGTGTAAATAGAGTGCGTCACGATATCCAAAAGCTGACGCGTCTCGGCTTGAAACTCGTGACGATTCGCTGCCAAAATAGCAAGACACAGAGTGTAAGTAATAGACTCAACCATAAAATAGAGTACCCTAAAACTGCGATAGAAACAGTATGCAAAAGCACTTACTGTTCACGTCTGACGCGCTTGTGCTGAAGCAGGCGCTCCATTGCTGAACAGCTGGTGCGAGTGCGACTCTGTGCTGAGCGAGGCGCAGACTCACGCCTTTTCCACTCGATAGCGTCAAGACTCGACGTGAATGGGCGACAGAAGAGGCACTTGCCCGGCAAGCGACGCGCTGCACAGCCGAGCGCATCAACATCATGAGGTCGGGCGTTGGTAGCCACGAACGTTGGTACAAGTTGGAAATACGTACTTAGGACGGATCGATGATGGGGACACACTCAGTCGGTCGTGGTGGATGGGTGCGACGGACGAATTATATTGCCTGCAAGAATTTATATGCAGCTCTGCTCTTTGCAAGAGCGAACCTAGTCTGTATGACAGTAAAGGAGTCTGGAAGGGCTTCTAATTAACGATGCTTTGCAGCTTGTCCCAGCTTATCACCAAAATCAAACTTGTGTTGCACGTGAGCTTCAGTTGCTGTTTGGTCCTTATGTTGCTTAGACCTTTCTTGTCGCACGCGACACAAAAACGGCGCCTGGCTCAATGATCCACTCGCCGCATACAAACTCCAGCCATGTGGAACCGCGTTGTCGCCTCTCCGGCGCGCCTATGCGCTCCGCGCTCATCTACTGCAATTTCCCAGCTTCGCCACCATGTTGTTGTGCGTCGCATACCTTCCAAAGAGACGATTGCAGCACTGAAAGAGCGTCTCGGCGACCGCCTCTCGACTGCAGCGTCCGTTTTAGAGGTGCGTGGGAGAATGACTACCGCAACTTTGCAACTTTGTGTCGTTTTTGTGTCTTTCAGTGGCTCAAGTGGTAGTCAAACACGCTGAAACTGTCATGCTAATAGGTACCCATTGATCTGTAAATGTACCCATGTGTTGTAGCAACACGGCACGGACGAGTCGTACCACGCTGTGGCTCCACCTGATGCCGTCGCTTATGTCCAATCTACTGAAGAAGTATCAGACGTTGTCAAGATCTGTACTGCTGCCAATATACCCGTGATTCCATTCGGTGCTGGCTCTTCTCTTGAAGGCCATATCTCTGCTGTCCAAGGTGGGGTCTCTATCGACCTCACGGGCATGAACAACATCCTGAACGTGGAGTTTGAGAACATGAGCTGCAAGGTGCAGGCAGGGGTCACGCGTGAACAGCTGAATGTCGATCTACGAGCGACGGGTCTCATGTTCCCGGTCGATCCAGGTGCCAACGCTACAATTGGAGGTATGATCTCCACCAATGCATCCGGAACGACTACAGTGCGGTATGGCAACATGAAGACGAACGTCATGGCGCTGACGACTGTTATGGCTGATGGACGGATCATTAAGACGGGCTCTCGAACGCGCAAGTCGTCAGCTGGATACGATCTCACGCGTCTGTTCATTGGCTCAGAGGGGACGCTGGGGATCGTCACGGAGGCGGAGCTTCGTCTCTTTGGCATTCCGGAAGCGGAGAAGACAATGATCTGTCAGTTCGACACGATCCGGAATGCTGTCGACATGTGTGCAACTGTGATGCAGATGGGGATTCCGGTAGCGCGAATGGAGTTGATGGACGAGAACGCTGTGGAGGCTATCAACAAGTACTCGAAGCTGACAACTCCAGTGCGTCCATCGCTTATCGTGGAACACCATGGCTCGCCCGGTGAGGTGGAAGAGCAGAGTGCGGTTGTGGTGGACATTGCCAATGACTTTGATGCGAAGGACATTGAGTTGGCGACTAGTACTGAAGAGCGCAAGAAGCTGTGGAGCGGCCGCCATGCTGCTTGGTATGCCACCATAAGCCAAATGCCTGGCAGCCGTGGTTTGTGTACCGATGTCGCTGTCCCGTTCGGCAAGTTGACGGATGTGATTGTCGAGACGCAAGCGGATTTGAAAGAGTCTGGAATGTTTGGCGCGATTGTCGGACACGTTGGCGACGGCAACTTCCACGTCATGTTGCCTATTCTGCAAGACGATGCCGAGCTGATGCGAAAGGTACACGAGTTCTCCGACCGTCTGGTGAACCGAGCGATCAAGTATGAGGGTACGTGCACGGGTGAGCACGGCATCGGCATTGGCAAGTTGGATTATCTATTGAAGGAACACGGTGAGACCGTGGCAGTGATGCACACGATTAAGAAGGCGCTGGACCCTCAGAACATCATGAACCCGGGCAAGATTTTTGCGGCGATGGAGTCTACTCAGTAATGCGGTACGTGATGAGTATGAAGTGCGTATGCAGCATGACCAGGCGCTTGGGAGGAGAGTGCTAATGCTTTACATAATAAGACAGTGCAACTACCGCCACTTCTGTTGGTTTGGGATGATCTCGACATGGCGATGAAACTCTTATATGGATGGAAAGAGTCGTGATCTGTAGTGCGGGTGACCAGTGCACTCATCTTGTGTGCAATAATCGATCGGAGCTTGTAGTGAACGTGCTCTAGCAATGAGACGCTGTAACCTAGAAAAAGAGGCTGCTCCGTCGCTATTATCATCAGTCAGAAAGATGTTGGACGCAAGACGACAATCGCATGTAATTGGTTTCTACGCCTACAGTCCGTATGTAGCTGGTATCATCATTTCACGACGACCATTCTCTGAACGAATATCGCGCATAAAAGTCCCAGTGATGGAAGGGGATCCGTCTGCAGCCGCGACTCGCGTCCCCATAAAGCTTCCAGGTAACGTGTTGGAGTTGCTCGAAGCTTCTGCGCAGTTGAATATGCCCCTCGAGGTCCGACTGGTGATTGCACTGGTGGCCCTCTTGCTCTTTCTACTGCTCCTCATTATGGTGCTCTGGGACCGCTACGGGAAAGAGATCGGGGAGCTCTACACATCTCCTATGGGCACGAAAACCCAGGAACAAAACGCCAGCGGTATAACACGTAGCATTGTTCGTTCGTATTTGTGCAGCCAGATACTTAGTGGATCCTCATGTAGCTTCTGTTGCGTAACCTTACAGACGTCAAGGTACACGATGTCGCAGACGAGTTCACGATGTACCAGAAACTCCCGACTTTCTTCTACGAGTACGTGCCAAGACCAAAGAAACACAACTAACGGATAGGGACAAAGATGAAGAGATTGCAACGAGGGTCAGTAGGTTCTTTGCTCTAGGCAAGCTTATCATCCGGAGACGTGGGCTCACTCTTGCTAGAAACAACTGTGTCGTCCTCGTCGGTCTGTTCTTCATCTTGGTCACCCGATGCCACTTTGGTGTACTGGGGCAATCCTACCAGAGCTGTTGCTTCAACTGGTAGCGAGTACATGTAGACTCCAAAGCTGACGAAACACACTGCAGCTGCAGTGTATAGAGTGATCTCTTGACCGAAAAACACGGCACTGAGCAGCGGTAGAACCACCAATTCCAGAGAACTGGCAATAGCCTTGCGGATGGAATCTAAATGTTTGAGAAAGAGACTCGTGACTACGCCAATGCCTGACATGATGAGTACCATCGGTAGTACGTACGGCGAGAACAGCACACTGAAGTTGGCCGTCGTCAGAGCTTCTGAAGCTGTTTGCCCTGTAAGCCCTAGAGCCAGCATTGCCAGCGTACAGACGATCGAGTCAATGTACATAAAGACGTTCTGCAGATTCACCGGAATCGACGCTTGTTTCTTCAGAAGAACTTCATTGTAAACACCAGCAAACGTGCTACTGAGTAGCTGTACCATCAAGAGTCCATAGGCCATGAGTGTTGTTGGACTGTTGCCATTATCACTCAGGGTGGAAGACCCATTGAGGGGGTCGTGCGAGCCCAATGTCTTGATGGCACAACCTACGGTCGTCACGCCCAGGGAAATCCACTGGTTCCGATTCAGTCGCTTCTTGAACATCATCTGGTGCAAGACACCCGTGACCACAAGTCGAAACTGAAGCAGCAGAAAGTACGTCGCAGCGTCGAACGCACGCAAGTTCACGTAGGACAAGACATCGTAGATGACGTAGAGCCCCGACGGGATGAAGTAGAGCAGCAGGAGTTTACGATTCTCATGAACTTGGGTCATCATCGAACAAAAGCGAGTGGCTAGTGGCTGCGTCACTTGCGTATCTGATGTCAGGTACATGCAAGTAGCCAGCGCCAACTTGAGCAGAGACTGGAGCACAACAGCACAGGCGGAATTAAAGCGCACGCTCTGGCGCTTCGCCAGCTCATTGAGCATCCCATATGCCACCCAGAGACTCATGTAGGTGACGAAGATACCACGTTGGGCATTCGTTTCGAGTCCTAGCGGTGTCGCCATGGTCAGTTACGCAGAAAAGAGCGGATACCAAAGTGATCGACTTTGCGACTGTAATGCGCGTCGAGGTGGCTTGACTTGGCTGTACAAGGGAAGACGGCGTTTTACAATGACTAAAAACGACACTGAGTTTGATCATTCATGCGTCATGTACCTATTACCATGTTTTTGCGTGCACAAGTTGCGACAGTAGTATCAGACGAACATGATGATAAAAAAAGGCTAGAAGTAGCCACGGAAGTGACGCATGCATCCCAGACCGGAAAATGGAATTGAAAAGCTGTGGAGTGGAGGTTGGAGCCTTGCACCGATGTGGTGTGATGAAGATTCGTCTAGTTGTGGCAAATGAGTTCGCCATCCAGGATGAAGGCCAAAGCATTAATTCGTGCTTCTACAAATGACAGTCTACTTGTGACACCGCCATCACGAACGTTGTACATCTAGTTAAGAAGATGCCGACGACTGATGTAGATTGTTACTGACGTGCTTAAGGCATGAGTTGCCTCTGACTTGATGACCACGCACTTCCGGTCTCATCGCTGAACACGATCCAGTACTTCTGGATCATCGACGGATCGATCGGATCAAGTTGCACAAGATCACTACGTCAAAAACTGTCGTTCCAACTTGAGTGTCAGCTAACCAGAAACGAGCGACCAGGAGCCGGCCGGACGAACTCGAAACCTTCCATAGATCTGTCGACATCAAAACGTAAGCACTGACATGTGTCGGACTCGCTTTTGTAAGTGGATTTACTCCAAAAGCGTGGCTCTTTTCACTCAGTGGACCAAACTGAACCTTTATTTACGATCCCCCCCATATCACAAAAATCCATAACTCCCCTATCACAAAATCCATAACTCCCGTATCACACAAATCCTACATCTCACAATTCCAAATTTTCCAACATGAGCGGAGCTCTAACTTCTCAGCGACGTGGTGGACGCGTGCGAGGGGCCGAGGGGTACCACACCGAAGACATCCGAGCGCTTCTTCGATGTGTCAAGAACGTCGTGCCTACCACGGCCGAAGAATGGAGCCACGTGCTGGACCAATACCGTACAACGCACGCGGTCCCTAACACGCGCGCCCAACGCGATACGAGCTCCTTGAAGGCCAAGTTCAAGCAGCTGGCACGTGAGTTTCGACCGGAAGAGAGCAGTCGCTGGGACGTGCAAGAAGCGGGAGCAATTTGGCAGCTGATCCAGACCAAAATGGTGGCTGGCCAGTGTCTCCAGCGTCGAGGAGGCCGAGCTCGAGGGGCTGAAGGCTTTTCAGCTGCAGACGCTCAGTGTATACTGAAGATCATACGGAAGCTCTTGCCCGTATCGAAGCACGAGTGGAATCACGCAGCAGACGAGTACTGTCGAGACTATGCCGTGCCTAATAATCGACTTGGTCGAGACGGTCTCTCCCTGAAGCGAAAATTCCGAAATTGGCTCAAAACTGACGTGGACGATACGGTTCGAGCTGAAGTAAGCGTAGCGCTTGGTGTTCAAGCGGAGATTGATGCTAAAATGACAAAGGTGACGAGGACAACACCGTTAAAAGAGTTGGGGACCGAGAAGCTGGTGGGGACGACGACAATGGGGGACGGAGATATGGAGGAAACTAGGACTGGTGATGGAACAGACGCAGTCGTTGATGCTGAAGCAGAAGCTGGACGGGAAGCAAGCAGTACGACGAGCAGCGAGGGTGGGGACAGGACTTCTGCTACTGATTCTCGACGTGGTGGGAGGGTCGTTGGATCGGAAGGCTACTCAGTATCCGACAGGAGAGCTCTACTGTCGTTCGTCAGGGAAGTTCTGCCGTTGGACGCGACGGGGTGGGAGCAAGTGCTGCAATTGTACCGCACGAAACATGCTGGTCCAAACAATCGTGCGGCACGAAATGTAACAGGGGTCAAGAGCAAGTTTCGACAATTGGTCAATTGGAGGCATGAGACGGATGTGTGGACGAAGGAGCATGGAGATATACTTGAAGCTCGTGCCATCCAGCAGGAGATTGACCTGCGCTCGAGCTTGGGTAAGCGTCAACGGTCTGAGGGCGCATCCAGCGTTCCGTCCTCCCGTACACCCGAAAAAAACGTACCAGAAGATGGCGAAGAGAACCCTGTTGCTTCGTCAAGCACAGAGCCAAGCAACAATTCGCAGTCCATGCGACAGCACGTTGTTACAGGATGTGTAGGGACGGAACAAGTACCTGATTCTGCACATGTGGATGAACGCTTGATAGATGGCGTCGCAGAGGCCAATGTTGCCAAGTCAGCGCCGTCTGATATCGTTAGTCGAGAACTTGACCTTCTGAAACAACGCGAACGACGAGAAGCTGAACAAGCAGCATGGGACAAAGAGCGAAGTATGCGCGAAAAGCAACGCATCTATATGGAATCCTGGACGGTCGTGTGCGATCGTTTACGTGCACTGTATCGTGAGCGAGCGACGGAAGATAATCCAGAGATAATAAGCGAGTTTGACGACGAAATCGCCGTCCTCAAGAAAAAAAAGCAGCGGCTTACAAGCTTGATGATATAACTTGTCGGCAGAGGCATGAGCGCCAGAACGCAAGCAAAAATACGAGAACAATGCGCGAAACAGCGAGTACTGCTTACGTCTCCTTCTCTTGGTCTTCACTTTTCATCTTCTTCTGACGAGGAGTAAATTCCGGTGCGCACCTTGTTCGAGCCAACTGCGAGCGGAGACACGATCAGCGTTGCGCCTAGGTGGACCTTCAATAAGTCCTTGCGCTCAGCCCGAATCAGCGGTTTTACGTTCGATGCTGTACCACTTGCTGCCTCGTCCACGGCATCGTCAACGTTGTTATCCAGGCCAGCATGCAGATTGCTAGCATCACGCGAGGCAGGGAATGGTGGAAAGCTCACGGAGTCGGTCAAGCCTTCCATGACTAGCTTCGACCTCCTTTCTTCTGCAGAATCTATGGCCGCGGGAGAAGCCAAAGCAGCTTTGCAACTTATCTCAGCAAAGACGTCGGTGTCATCCATGCCTTCGCGTGGGGACATGTTAGCTTCTCCAGATAGAACATCGTCATGAGACAGTACCAACTCGTCACCATACGCCAACGACGATGTTGATGGAGACAAGCGAGGGGCGAGCAGGGGACTGAAGATTGACTGGTGAGCGACATTTCCACGAGATGGCGAGCTGCTCGTGGATCTTCGAGCTGGTACACATGGAGTGACGTCTCCTCGAGTTGACGGAATCATTTCACCGTAGCTTCCTCTCCTCTTCATGCCCTCTTCGACTTGAACGCCCACGTCTTCATTTTTGTGCTGCACATGTTCACGGACTTGACGTTGTACTGCTCTGGCGCTATGCGTGTTCCCAACTGTTGCGCTCAAGGATCCGATTCGCTTCAGCTTTGCCCGAGAAAGTTTGCCACTGCTTACTGTTGTCGGTCCATCACGAGAGCCCGGCTGTGAATGCGAGAGGGTGCTAGTCCGACTCCCGTTGTGAGACGCAGATGGAGTGTGAACAGAAAATGACAGTCGCCCCCGCGATTCTGCCTGAGGGTCCGAATACATGTGTAGTCGACGCTTCGATCGCACTTTCACATGCAGTACTTCATCGGCCTTGATATGAAGCGGGGACAACACCTCAATGTCATCTTCCGTGCTGATGCCTACAATCGCACATACAAAAGAGTAAAGTCATACAGTGTGGACACCAGTTGCAGCCAACACCAGCGTGAAACAGGAGCAGAATCTTACGCTCGACGCTATGGACACGCAGCATTCGACAAATGTTATCGAAAAGCGCTGATTGTGTCCACGACTTGTTCACCACAAAACGGACTTTCCGAATGCGTTTCAGACCCTCAACAATCAAAGTCACGCACACAGACCCTTCTGTGGCGACATCGATCGATAGACGGCGGCGAACACGATCCACCAACGGTCCTGAAATAACACGGTAAACCGCATTTGAAAAAATGTTGGTATTCACCTCTTCGTCGGCATTCTCCTCGTAATGATCGTTCGGTTTCTTGTGCTTCTCGTGGTCATCACTGTCGAGAGAAGACGTCGTGCTATGCGACCCTTCCCCATCACTGCCACCTAACGAATCATCGTGTTTGGCTTCCTCAGATTTACCGCCTTCATCTTGTGCAGCTTGGATACCGTGGTTGGACACGTCGTATGCAAACGTCACCCCACACACAATTAACGGCCCAAAAATGACGCCCTGGAAAGCAAATATAGAAAATTAGTGCCTGGCGCAAATACGTCAGATGGAAATAACGGAGCGGCCGACTCAACGCACCTCAAATCCAAACACATATACACCGAACACTGCACTCAATGCCGAGACGTAAGAATTGACCGTCACGATGCTCTTTTCGTACAGCATTTCATCCAGGACAGTAAACGCCAAGTACTGAACTGCAAAAAGAGCCAATGCTTTCACAATCGAAGACGTGAGCCCAATCGAGATGACCCAGGGCACGCAAACCAGAAATGGAGAAATGATTGGCACAATCGAAATGAAAAAGGTGACCGTCGTAGCGAGGTACATGAAGTCCGCATTCTGCTCACGACACAAGAACGAAAGTAGTGAGCTTTGAGTACATGAAACAATAAACACCGCAGAATAGCTCGAAAGAAAACACCACGCACCACTATCGTGAAGGAGATCATCGTCACAATCGCATGAAGGCTCGCCATTTTCAGCGGCAAAAAGAAAACACCCTCGATCACCTTTCGCAGCGACCGGACAACTTCTGGTCGTTTGTCGACTTGTGTCGGGAGCAGATCTTGAACGAATCTCTCGATGGGGTCCCAATTTGTGCACAATAGATAGAACAGCGACGTGATGAAGAAAACTGACCGAACACCGAGGCTTACAAACGCAATCACCAGTGTGAACGCAAGAAATACAAGCTGCGTCACCGACCCAACGGCGATGCTGCTCACCTCCAATCCCTTTGACGTCAAGTCCGTGAGCTGCACTGACGTCAAATTTACCGATTCCACCTTCGAGTATGCAAAAGTCGCTACTTGCACAAATGTCATGTTTTCAGGAAGCCTCAGACTGGAGAAGAGCGAAGCGTGAGAAGTTGAGTTCCCGTCACTGGTCTTCGCGTCCAAGTAGTACGTCTTGACCAGACTCTTGAGCGGTGGCCACCACATGGTATCGTTGAAGTTATCTTCGATGCCACAAATGGCTTGCGAGATCATCGCACGGCTGTTCTCAACCTGTTCACTCCACACCTGTCGCGTACGCTCATCATTGATAAAGTTGTCCTGCACCCACTCGGACAAGTTGGTAGCTGCGCGGCTTCCTTCAAGGTAGCTTTCTGTACCGAGAAACAAAATGACAAACGCCCCCTTTGCACCAGTCACAAAAAATGAGTGAATATCAATTTTGGAATCGTAAGTCACAGCATCTTACCGTGATGAAAAACCCGAGGATAAGCAGTACTGACACGAGTACTTCGTCCGAGAAGAAGTAGCGATAGTAAAATATCCGTCGATCCAGAAGCTTCATCAGACTCAGTGCCGCAATCGAGAAGCCAATGATGACATTCAAAAATGACACCCACGAGTACATCCGCATCCAGATGGAGACGGCGCCAATGAGTGAGAACAGAAAGATCCCGTAGTTCAAAAACAACTCCTTTGCTGTGCGACGTGATCGGTCGTGTGGGTGACTGATAAAGATCTCGGCCGACTTGGAGAAGACACACGTAAGGAATCCCTGCAGTCCGTTACAGTCACGCCAGCACAAAAACAAGCAAGAAACACACACAAAAACACATGTTTGCTCCTGATGTTGGCGTTTTCGTAGACATTCTGGCGCCAACAGGTTATCACGTACGTAGCGGTTAATGTCAGCGTCGTTACTGAGATACTGCAGCACCGAGATGACGTTGTTCTTAGCCTGACGCAGCGCTTGACTGCACAGAATGGCCCATACAATGAGCCGCAAGTAGTTCTCAAACAGTAAAAAGTTGAAGTAAATGAGCACGAGGATTAGTGCAGTCGCGATGTTGCCAATCAGCTACACAGTCGCGCAACGCCATACAAAGATCAAATGAAAAGACGTCAGAAGAAAGTCAGTGCGTACGTGACCGCAGTGATAACAAGATACGATACGATCGAGTCTAGAGCGTGGAAAGAAGCACGCGGACGCACCTGAGCGAGAATCATCTCGACGAATTCGGTCATGACGACGACGCGGCTTTTGGCGGCAGGCGGCTGGACATGCACTGAGTTTTGACGAATGAGCGAGCGGTATTTTGCTGGAAATAGAGGCTGGTGATGGGCTCCGATACGTGAAGTGTTGTATCGTAATTTATGTTAGAGCGATAATTACGTGAAGCAACGACTTGAAGCAATATTTACGTCAAGTGCAGACTACCAGGTCCTTCGACAAACGCGGACGTCAACAGCTTTAGAGAGCAGACTAACAACCACCTCTCCGTAAATTGCTGGCACTAAGACTGCAACCAATTCCTTCGCTAACCTTTCGCCTGCTTGCTCCAAGGTAAGAAGTGATTCGTGATACGCGAATGAGAGAGGACACGGCCTTGACAAAAGTCAAGCCAGACAAACAGAAGTATTCTATCAGTTGTACAACCCCATCGTCTAACTTGGCCAGCATCTACCACCCAGGCTTGGCTTCATTCAAAGTATCAGCAGCAGCATACATCCGAATCCATGCTTGTTTGTCGTCAACCACCGACAGGTCACCGGTGAGAAAACAGCATCAGCAGGGTCACCATTCCGCTGACAAACTCCTGTGCTACTCTGGGCGACAGCAACATCTAGCACCTCACACCCGAGCCCGTGCATTGCTTGCAAGCTTCCGTCTAGGCTTCACAATAAGCTCCAGACCGGGCCCGACTGTTGCTGCAGTAGAGGCAGTAGTCGCAGCGTCTGAAGTGACTATAAAGATGTCGCTACGATCTTTACTATCAGCTGTGTCGTCGCTCGTGCTTTGCACGCGACCTTCTGATCTGATCACGGCTGCGAGCGGCTCATTTCGACCATGGCTTCAAGTTGCTTCATCTAAGTACGAGCGTTTCTGGCCACGCAGCGCGCGGTGATTGGATATTCCCTCGTCGTGGCATTGTGACAATCTGAGGAATCATGGGTGGCTCGTCGATGCACGAAACGCTCCATCGCCTGCTTTAGCGCCACGAATGAAGCTAACGTTCTTGTCGTTTTGCCAGTGGCACGTTCGTTAATGGCAGTCGAGTCGGATTTCCAGGTGGGCAACACGATGTAATCACAATGTGATGACAAGACGCTACGATCGACTGGCCGTGTGACCCGCCAGCAATCACTTCCAGGAAAAGGGTCAAGAGACTACAGTCGTGAGTATGATGAGCAACAGGTCCAAGTAGAAGTGTCGTTTGAGTGCTGATGTGATCGTGCAAGTTGACTAAGACGCGTGTCGATCATCTTGCCGGGGTACGGCATCTGAAAAAAGGGCATGCATTACTGCTACTTCAGGCAGGTCTTCCCACCAATCGCCTCTCTCGCGACGGATGGATCGGAGCCCTTTGCCCATCGAACACCCCTAATCGCTGTCGCAGTCGAGCCCCCCCCTCTCTCTCTTTACCGGCACCCACGTCATCTGGTGTGTGAATAACCTGTCATTTCCTATACCCTCTACAAAGTACACGCTATCGTTTGCACTCGTCTCTCCTGTACTTCTTAATACCTTGTGTGTTCGCTTCTGTGCCGTCCGCTGATTGGCTCCCAGGCCACCGCATCGTGCGTCGTCCACGTCGTCGTCAATCCTGAATTCCCCTCGAGCCCCGCAGGTCCCGGCAGCTCTCGTCCCAAAGACAGTTCCAGGTGCCCGAGCAGTTTCTTGTCTTAGTATGCGTCTTCCAGCCGCGTTCCGCGTGGCAGTCATGGCGGCTGCCACTCTGTCGCTTTTGTCCCAAGCTGAGGCGCACTCTGTAGCCATTGCAGGTGAGCCGAATGTGGCTGCTGTTGAGGAGTTGATGCCCTACCCGCCGCGCGTGTCGCGTGTGCTTGCGGCGTCTCCCCACACAGCGAAAGCAGAAGAAGAAGAGGTGACGGAAGCGCCTGTGAAGAAGCACAAGAAGAAGGCGCCACCCGCGACGGAAGCTCCTGCAGCCGAGGAAAAGAAGAAGAAGAAGGAAGAAGAGGAGGTCGACACGGCGCTTGAGGAGTTGGAGGCGCTGGAGGAAGAAGTGGAAAAGGCGGAAGCGGAAGAGGAGGCGGGAGCTGCCAAGAAGAAGAAGAAGAAAGTGGCGGCCACTCCGGCGCCTGCAGCTAGTGAAGAGGAGACGGAAGCGCCAGTGAAGAAGCCGGCAAAGAAGAAGAAGGTGGTCGAAGAGGAAATCCCTGAAGAGCCGGAAGAGGAGAAGTCGGAGCAGACGGTGGAGGAGGAGCGTGAAAGCTCTGTCAAAGAGAAGAAGATCAAGGGCAAGTCGAACGACGGCGTGATTGATCACTCGTCGGAAGGAAGCGCTGAAATCGATAAGATTGATCCCAACAACGAAGACGGGTGGGTCAGCGTGTACGACGACCCGCCGCTGCTGGTGATCAAGGCGTCACTGTACGCGTTCATTGCGTACAATGACACGGAGGTGTGCGATACGTTTAACATGACGATGAATGCTGTGGAGCAGAAGGAGGAGGAGCATGGACGTTATGCTTACCACGTGGTGGCTTATATTAACTGCACGAAGAATGGCGAAGACGAGACGCAGGGTCGGTTTATTCTGAATTTCATTCCCGAAGGCAAGCGGCTATTGCTGACCGAGTGCGGACACCGCGAGGAGGGGGAGATTGTCAACTGGCTGCGCATTCAGGAGGAAGTGCCTGAATGCATGACTCCGAAGCAGCGCAAGGATTTCCTTGCGCAGCCCATGAAGCACATTCACGCTTCCAACGGTAGCACAGACGGAGAAGCTCTGCAGACGGATTTCTTAACGCGACTCGAGGAGCTGGATGGCGAGGAGGTTGCGATCTTCGGGTCCGCTACTGTGGCGCTCATTGCCGTGATTGTCGTGCTGGTTGTCTTCTGCATGCGGAAGCGCAAGGCCCAGATGGATTTGGAGCGCACCATTGCTGGTGCTAAGGCGGAGCATGCTGTTGAGGACGACGATTTGCAGACGGAGGTAGACGAGAAGGCAACGAAGGAGCGCAAGGGTTTGATGGAGAGTGCAAAGGGCAAGAGCAACGATCCTGACATGGAGGAAGGATCGTTTGTGAACTCTCCTGCTGTGCGCGTGTAAATCTAGCAACGTTCCGACCGAGTGGGTAGAATGCCCGACGTGTACAGAATCGAATGTAGATTTGCACCGAGAGCGATACGTTGCGGCGGTGGTCAGTTTCGTGTGGCTCTGGTTATTTTGAGATGCTTGTCCTGTTACCGGCACTGCTGCGCGCGCATGGCTCGAACGAGTTCTAATGAATTGCCTGTCGAACAAATTCCCGCAGTTTCATCATCATCATGTTGATGTCTATTCGATCAGCTCCTGTGTGCAACCTAATGATTGAAATCACTCCACAACATCGGTAAAAGAGGCTTTGTTGTACAATGACTGTGATAGCATCAAGATCCTTCATCTATCCATCATGCCCTTGCCCCACGGAACTGTGATGCATGCACACCGCTGGCTTTTTAATCTGAAGGCTACGTAACGAACTCTTGTGCAGGATTTGACAACTAGCATGCGTTCGGTAGACGTGCTCTGTGATGATAGCAATCACACAACTACAGACTCAAACGTGCCATAAGTGCTCGCGTTGATTTAGGGCTCAAGTTGCCAAAGTTACCAACCAGTCAACCGCACGATGTAAAGCTGTACTAAACGACGCAAGTCGTAAGCCTGTGAAGTGCCGGTGCGCCATCGTTCACGGATTCATCTCCCACCACGCACACATTGCACCCTCGACCACCGATTACGATTGTAACGGATACTCAGACCCAACATAAACGTCACGCGTGACAAGCAGATCCCAATGAAGCCAGCAAAGGGGTTGTCACGCTCTGCATGTCCCAGAGAACCTCAATGCGCGAATCGTTTCAGCGGCCTCTTTTTCTGAGAACTCGACGTTGTGCTGCTTCAAAGTGGATGATGAACATGCGTGCCGTGTAACTTCGTTCAGCCAACTAACGTAGCTGGGCAAGTCCGTCCTTATGGAAAGGTTCAAGCTACGACCTTATCGCAGTTTCCTTGGCACCTGCTACGCTTGCTGAAACATGCTGAGGCAATTCAATGTGAGCGATGATGACGCACCGCTATCAGCTTACTTCAGATGACTCGTCTTGTCACTGTAAGCGTCTAGGATACTCGATCATTTCGGTTTCAGACAATGGGGCTTACTATTGCGTGGTGCATACATTTAGATGCCACATTCGCATGATAATCTGGTCGTGTCCTTCGACTGTGTGACTTCCTTTGCCGACAGCGTTGCCCTCTTCAGCAAATTGTCCTTGAGCAGCCGACGGCACCACACTGCACACTAGAACTCGCATTGAATTCATACTACTTACGCGACTACGATAGTAGGTCGGCATTGTATTGAGAAGCATTGCAGGCTTCCCTGTGCCCTCACTTCACTGATGAAGCAACCATCTATCGCAGTGCAAAGAAGGTCGCCGGGCATAGTACGGTCTATTGTATCAGTGCAAGACATCGCGTATAAAAGATAGCTCCGAATTGGGCCGGAAAATGGCTCATAATCAAGAAATTGACCGTCCTCCTATCTCTCTCTTTTCGAGTTTAATTGTCATTTTCAGGTATCACTCGCCTTTGAGTCACATTTATTAGCACTAGTATGCCGTCTGAGCTAGTAATCACTTTTCCACCAATAAGAAGCAAGGCATCGACAATTTGACCAGCACGCGTCTCGAGCCCTGATTATGACTGCGCGCGCGACGTCCAGCGACTTGTCCAAGGCTGCGCTGTACGTCCAATCGACACGCTCTTGTATCTGCTGCTTTGTTATTGTCCCACTTAATACTGGAGGATTTATGAAGCAGCACTTGAGTCTACAACTTTTTCCTCGTCCTCATACTGAGCCGAAGTGATTAAACGCGCAGGAGCAAAAACGAACAGGATCAGACCTTTCGTGCCAGTCGCGTCTCAGGATCACGGTCGATCGAAGTCGCGCTGGCCGAAATCGATATTATCAAGCATAATGTATACGTCCAGCGAAAAGAGCGCTCACTGCCTGAGGTATCGAAGGCGCTCTTCAAAAAAGAACATTTTAGCTGTGTTTTTCTCAACTGACGATGATATTTATGATGGCTTTGATGCCTTTTGTTCCAATTAATTGTGCACTGTGGTCAGGATGAAGTGTCAATCTGTGCGTGCAAAGTGCTTGAGGACGAGACGGAGATGGGGTGTCTGGATGACTGTTTGAATCGCGCTGTGAGTGCTGAGAAATCGAGTTTGCACGCGCTGCTTGATGACATTGTGGTTAAGCTGGTGCTGATGAAAGCTTCTTGATGCGTGCGATAACAGGCTCTAGTAGAATGTATACCTGGATTCTGCAAGAACGGCGATCTGTGTGATAATATGAGGATACAGCGTGGTGTCATGCCTTCGATGCAACTGATGGAGTGTGGAAACAACAAAGGACTGGGGCTGAAGTTGCTGGAAGATATTAAAGCCGGCTCGTTCGTAAGCGAGTATATGGGCGAGATCGTGACGGAGCAAGAGTATTACATGCGACGAGTGGTGAGTGTATCACACTCGAGACACAATTGCATGTCTTGCTTGCTGCGGATCAAACTTACTCTTTGTTGTTGTTCTTCTCTGACAGCTTTACCATAACGAGAAGCACCGATACATGATGGTCTTGAGCGGTGGTGAAGTCATCGATGCTACTCGCATGGGCGGGTGGGCGCGCTTCATTAACCATAGCTGTGATCCGAATTGCAGAGTCGAGAAATGGGATGTCAACGGCGAAGAGCGGTGTGCTATTTTTGCTTTGCGGGATATCGTCGCTGGCGAGGAGCTGACGTTCGACTACAAGTTTGAATCCTTTAGCAAAGCCGTATAGTTTCGTTTTGCATTCGACCCGCCTTGTGCTTACATTTTGTCTGACAAGTTAGCATGCTGTGGACAGGAGATAACCGAGTGCTTGTGTGGGGCCGCTAATTGCCGGAAGGTGATTGGAAGGAACAACCGAGCAACAAGAATGTGCAAGTCACACAGCAACAACCAGGCGGACGCGGCAGCGGCACCTGCTCTTCGAGGCCCGAAGTTGCTCGATCCCGTCATTGGATTGAAAGCACGCACAGTTCAAGGTGCAAAGGTTGGTCGTGCATTGCTTGCCGTCGTGTTCCATCATTTTTGCTATCCAAGACGTTTACACCTACTGCTTTTGCTGTTCATCGTGACATAGAAAGCAGAAGCTCTAATGCAGCGAATGGCACGGCAGCGTCTCCTGAGCAGCAGCGACGTTCGCGTGCTGCGTCGATCGAACGTGATGCTCGAGCGCAATTTGACGCGGCACATGGAAGCCGAGTTCGACCACTTGGCACTGATGCCATACTTTATCACGAAACAGACTTCCACGGTGAAGCACACGCCGGAATTAAAGCACGTGCCGGACTTTTTCAACTGGCGAGAGTTACCGAATTTCCCGAAAAAGCCGCGTCAACTTCTGCAAGCCGCCAAAGTCGCTCGGTTGAGCAAAATCGCAGAGTTATTGCAAGCTCGCAAGAAACAGCCTCACCAATCATAGAAACGATCATCGTGGGTTAGTTTTTGTCCTCTGCTTTACCAGCCAGCCACCTTATTTGTAGCCATGTTTACATCGACATGTCAATTACTCACATCGATAGCTGATTGGTCAATATCATTTCGACTGACTGAGGGGTCACAGCGAGCGAGCCGCCTTCGGCATAATCGGGACATTATCCGAGACCTCCAGTCGCTGAGTTAGGGCGTGCCGCAGCAGCTCCGTTTGCAGTCCAACGCACCGCTTTGTACGTGGATAACCTGCTCCCCGCGATCGTCTGTGTCATCTCCATCGTTCTCATATTCTTATCACCATTATTTGTGGTATGGATGTTCCGTGTCTAGAGTCGATCCAAAGTCGAGATTTTTGTAAAAAATGGCTAAAAATCAAGAAAATACCGGGTCACCACCGTTATTTGACGGCATTTCGACATACGGAATCACTGTGGACGATCGCTGCCGTGTCAGTGTTGCTGAGACACGCGAGTTCCGCAAGGTAAGCGAGCACAGTGGCCAATAGTTAATTGAAGCCAACGATCGATGGACATTAATGTTTGTTGTCCGTATGTGCTACTTGCTGACTGCTTTTGCTGCTTTTTGACAGCGTTGGATGCTGTTGACGGAGCGGGAGCGCGTGGCTGCGCTGAAGGGAGACATGCAGCAGTTTGTGCAGACAGCAATGGACCTTTTGCTGTGTTCTGGCTGTCGAAATAGTGTCGAAGCACTCTTTTACAAGCTCGCGGACGGCACTGTGCAAGTTCCACAGGGTGTCAGTCGGTCGGGACTCTGCTTTGACAATGACAAGGGCTTTCGACTGCACAAGTCGTATCTGAGTAGTCCCGACACGTCGCTCGCGCTCTTTTCGCATCAAGAGCGATGGGCAAACGAGGCGCTCGTGAAGCCGACCAAGTCGAGCTGTAAAGCTGGCACGTCCCGTGCACAGTGTCAGCTGCATTCGCATCGGGTGCGAGGTCGCCCTCGTCCTGCAGCATTCGAAGCTCTGTGGCTGAAGCTGTCGGAAGACCACCAGCGGCATCTCTCTCATATTGACTCGGATCAGTTCCTGACTGATTTGGAGAACTATTTGCGACGTCATCGCTTTTGTTGCCGGTGTAAAGAAAAGGTGTTAGAAGCCTACGATTTGCTCATTGGATCGAGTTGTAGCGACGACGATTGCGAGGATTGCGGGGGATTCGAATGCGCGGAGAGACATCACGAACACAGCGATTATGGCGACGACTTGCACCACACGTCTTACTTGTTCGACGAACTCGCATATTCACGCACGAAACACCAGATCATTGTGCCTTGCAATCTCAACTTTATGTCGCAACTGATGTCACGGGCGGACCAGGAGGTTGTCGGTGATTGGGGCGATCGTCACGCGCGTACAATTGCTGAAGCACAGGACGAAGTCCTCATTTGTCTGGGGGTGATGGTTTGGGACAAAGCGCAGAGCCTCTGGACCAAGTCTCGATCCGAAAAGCGTGCCGAAGAATTGTTGGTGCACTGTGCCGTGACTACGCTGCGCCAAAACTTTGATGTAGCGGTGGAGGCGTTGCATGGGGAGGAGATGATGGAACAGCTGCTGGCAGAAGAAGATGATGAGTATCAGAGGTTGGCGAAGAAGAAAGAAAAGCGAAAGGAGAAGAAGAAAAAGCGGAAGTCAGCATCGAAACAGAAGCAAGCAGACCGGTCAGAACTAGAGAGGAGGATTCAGCAGATTGAGAAACAAAAGCCAAAGCAGACCAAACTACGCAGGCAATCCAACAGTAGCAAGACTGTGACGTCGCAATCATCTACTTGCTCGTTCAGCAGTCAAGGTGACGAAGATGGATTTACCAGTCCCAGTACGTCCGTTGAACCGATTCGATCGCATCAGTGTGACCCAACGTGCGATGAACCGTGTTTGCGCGAAACGTTGGCGTATGACGAGCATATGGAGTGGCAATTACTGTCGTCCATGGGATGGAATGCTTCGAACCAATTTACGTCATCTTTGCTGGAGCTGGATGTGGACACGGACGATGAGAATCAGGGCATTCCTGAAGACGACATTCGTTTCTGGAAACAGAACCGCTCGAGTCTCGTTCGGCGACGCATGGCCCAGCGACAGAAACTGCGGGAACGTTTCGATCAGTTTGTTTTGCGGGCGACATCCCTTGACGGGTAATGCGTGATGAAAGAAGGAATCAAGTGACTACTACTACGTCAGCACACTTGTACGTCTTTGACAGTGGCACGTTAAGGTTGTGGATTATCCGGGTTGAACTGGTAGAGCACTATGCTACACCTTACTAGCTAACTGCTGATCGAAAGAGGTGGCGAACTTACATGAAAATGAAAATATTCGCAGTTTGAACTACTCTCACTCATACGTCACTGCTACCAAAAGCACTTGCATGATTCAATGAAGCTTTTGGTTGTGGTAGCAATGTCAGAACGAACGGGATACGCAGCAAGCACGATTGCATCAAGCGCTTAGATCCTGCTCAGTTCGGCTTCCAACGATGAAATTGCGCGGTCTACCATGTCCTTGTGGTTCGTGCACGCTATGAGAACGTTCGTGACAGTATGCCGATTCTTGTCAAGCAAGGCCTGATAGCTCTCTCTCATTTCCACCGATCTGCACGAAATTTACAGGAATTAGTCTCCGTCAAGCTTAGTTACTGATCAGAGATGGCCAAATGGTACAATACGATACGCACGCTTTCTTCACATCTTGCAAATGTTGTTCCGAGCTAATCACCTCTTCGTGGACCAGATTGTCCTCGTTCGAGATGTTTGTGATCTTGATCTCAACTTCTTCCGTTGCAGCTTGCTTTCGACTGAGACTTTCAGTCCGCTTTTCACGTTCTCGAACCATCTGATCTGCAATTTTCCTCACTTCAGCTTCCGTTCTCTTCTCACTTTGCATTTCGATGTTCAGCTTGTTCTCACTTTGCGCTAACTCCTCGGTCAGCACGATTGCTAAATCTAGACCCTCGTTGGCGCGCGCATTACGGTGTTGCTTGACCCGAAGTGCTGCCTGTCGAACGTTTGTTTTCAAGTGATGCGACAGCTTTTGAACCGCGTCAAGTTCTTCAAGCGTCGGGTCCAATTCGAGAGAATAGTCGAAGTTTAGAGCGTTCTTCGCAGTTGATGGAATGATCTTCAGCCGTTTGCAAGTGTTCATATATTCGTGGATGTGATGGTCGAGCTAACAAATGCCATGGCACACAACATTTGACAAAGACAATGTAATACAAAGTGACTTGGTGCAAAATGATACTGCCTGACTACCAACTGCCAACGAATACGTACTCTGTCTCGAATAGCAGCGGCACGGTTCTCATCCTTTTTGATTTGTATCTGGATTTCCTCTTGCTGAGCAAGATGATGGTGGAGTTGGTCCGTCAGTCGCGCCCTCTCTTGAGCTATTTGCTCGATGTCGTGTGCAGACAATTCCTGGTTCTCAATACGGATTTGCAGCTTCTGAATGTCTTGTCGACGAGCATGGAGCTCCTCCTCTGTCGTGCACACATACGGTAAGTACAGTGAAAGACCGGCGATACGTATCGCGCTGACAGGGCGTACCCAACGACTCTTGGACTTTGGCAAGAGCCTCCATCTTCTTGTTCAGTTTCGTGTTGAGCATCTCAAATTGGTTCACCAAGTCCTTGAATTTTACAAGGTCGCTCAGACAGTCGGCTTTCTTCTTTCGAAGCTCCGAAAGCGCATTCTAATCGCACAGCAACGTTAGCTGATCAAACAAGCATTTGCAACGAGTCTCAGCGGTCGTAGACATCGCGAACACACCTTATCTGCTCTCGCCTGCTCAATACGCTTCTTCAGCTCGTTGCGATCCATTTCTAGCTCTCTCGTTTCCTGCTTGATCGCGTCGTTCCGTTGATCTGTAACAGCCAAGCTAGTGTCATTCTCTCGTGTAAAGTCAGCAGCAATATGCACGTACACACAGCTTCGTACTCAACTTGTCCTTCTCCTGTTGCTCCACCTCTGCGCACTTGTCATCTTCGCCAGCCAAAAAGACGCGATAAGCTACATCCAGGTACTTGAAAAAAGACTTGTCACCATTTTCGTCATCACTTTCTTCCGTCTCATTCGCCTCTTGGATCGCCTCGTCGTACTACCAGCAGCAAGAACAACAACCACAACAGCAAGAAACAACTCATTAGTCAGCACACAACACTCCAAACAACATCCATATCTACCCGGCAAGAGCCCTGACAAAAACAAAAGTAGCAGCAACAAACTAACAATCAAACAAACAAACAAAGCTGCATCAGCCCTTCCACCTACCGTGAGCAGCTCAATGAGCCACGTGAGCGACAGCAACAGCGTCGGCCACGTATGTGGCGTCCCCACTGCTGCCAAGGACGTTTTGCTGATCGGAAAAGGGTACCGCAAGTTGCGAAACTGGACCACCACGTCCTCTTCCACCTTGACGCCGAACTCAAACGTCGGGTCCACTTGCTTGAACAGGAACCGGAGAATGTTGAAAAACTCCTTCTTCGACGGGCCCCGTTTGGCTAGTCCGGCCGGCAGCGACTGGTCGTACGGGTGCTCCGACAGGAACTCCACGAGCGTCCGGACGCAGCGATGGAGGTACGCGCGGTCGCCTATAGGTCGCGGGTCCAGGACGCGCGCTCCACTTCGGCCAGAGAGAGACGCTCGAGAGCTGTAGGTACTGCTGCGTCGTGAAGTAACATCATTGGGATTCGTCGTGGACTGGCGTGAAGTAACGGACGCGCGGGGACCGGGAGGTGGTCGTCGTGTTGTGGTCGTTAGGCCTGCAGCGGTGGATACACGACGCCGGGGCGCGACACCGATAGACTGGCGCTCGACGCTTGAGCTCGTGCTTTTGCTGGGTACTGAGACGCGCGCCGACGGGTGCCGTAGCGCCGCGGAGCGCGCGTTAAGCTGCGAGGACGAGACGGTCCCGAGCGTCGTGCGGCGCATGAGCGTCGGAAGATTGGTTGTGTGTCGGTGGTGTGGCAGAGGAAGAGGTGTGGGAAATGACAAAGGAACGTCCTGGTGCCTGCAGTTACTTTTCGTGCACGGCAGTGTATACTTGTGGCGATATACTGGATACTTTGCTGGATCTGATGAATGGGTACGAATAGGGAGGGGGGGTACGCACGCGTTTTTTATGCAGCAGTGGCTACGCTGGGACGCGGCGTTATAGAACGACCAGATCAGCCTGCGACCAGAGGGTGGGTGACTGCAGCTCGTCGGGAACTTTACTTGAGCATTTGATCGACTACAATCCGACGGCATGAACTGACACGAACTGCGCAGTTTAGCCATCTGCGTGGCAACGTAATGGATTCTACATGCACGAGTTCAATTGCGTGCCTCAAGTCATGTATGTGGACGAGGCCAAGCGAGACATCGATGCAGCATCGGGATCCCAATCGTCACATACACTTTATATATAAAATCACGCCTGAATTCCACCACGTGCTATAGTCGCTCGAACACTTTATAGAAAACGGCACGTCCTGAGCTACAGACTTGACACGACCTTGAACAAACCTCGTACCTGACGAAGGTTCCCTCCGCATAGTGACTCGAGACTCGACCCGATCGTCTCTGTCCCGGATCAGCGCCGTGGACAACTGGCTCACTCACCTCAACCGCTTTCCGTGCTTTGTGCTTTGTGCTTTGTGTGTGTGTGTGACTCTGCTCCTGTGTAGTACGTCGTTGACAAGCGCGGACCCAACAAGGTGTCGCCTGAAAAACTGATCTGCAAAGCAAACGATGCAGCGCCGGCATCAATCAATCAATCAAATGCAGCGAGCTGCAGCATAAAACGTTGGCATCTCGTGTAGGGTCGGTGCTGGACGACAGATCCCTGGCGTCGCTCTTCGCGACATCTGGAGCTCCTGCACAGACGGCAGTACCTCCTTCAGGAGTGACTTGCGCTTGGAGAGGCAAACCACGCACAACCAAACCGACTCTACTCGGGTAGCTGATCCCCTCGCACTTTCATAGAGCTTTCTTTCTGGGGGGCCCCGCAGACAGCGGCAGGCAGGTCATCAACCGTTCCGTGTCAGTTCACGACAATTCAGGGGGTCGCTCTCGCTTCTACCATGGCGAGTCAGCGAAATTCTAGAGTCCTACGGTCTTTACGTCAAGCACAAGAAGTTGCTGACAGTGGCGCCGCTGGCACTCCCAACCCTGCGGTGGGTGCTCCAGACGCACCGAAACCTATCGAGATGTCGTTTCTCTCGAACGCGACTAGTTTCGTCGATGACAAGGGCGTGGGGCACGTCAAGGTGAACAATGGCGTGGACTGGTCGAACATTTTGCCCAGGGATTCTACCGTGCACATTTCCTATGGAGGCTCAGGCTCGAACAAGGAGATTCTGGTTGTCCCTGTTGACAACAAGACATCGGACTCCCTGCCAAAGGATGTCGCGCCAGGGAAGAGCGTACCGAATATGGCCAACCACTTACCAGAAGGGTCTGGTAGTGTGGGGACCATTGGGGTGGTGGTCGACACGGGAGCGGACTCGACTGTACTCATCGTTGTCGGCTCTGTACTTGGCCTTGTCGCCATTGTGGCCGTGGTTGCAGTGGCAGTCTACGGCCGAAGGATTCGACGTCGAGCGCATTCCGAAGACCAGAGCAGTACGGACGAGGCGTTCATCGTGGGCTCGCTGCCTCACCAACCTGCTCCGCCACCAAGTGCGCTGGACACGGACATGACTCCAGATCTCTGGGTCGAAGGCCAGTACCAGTACTCGCCCAACATGAGTCGTCTGCAGACGTCTCTCAATGGCACCGCTATTCTGTCGGACAATAAAACGACTCCGATGCACGACCGACTTACTGTGGACGCTTACCCGACGAGTGGGCGAGGCCATCATGGTCATGGCGGACGAGGCGATAGTAAACGCGTTGACCATCGAAGGAGTGCTCACCTCGACCAGTTTGATCTGGGCAAAGTGGATGGTGGACGGGACGAGCACCGACGTACTGGACGTGATCGCTCGGACTATGGCAGGAGTCTGCGCAGCAACGGCGGCAGTCGTCATGATCGTAGTAGCCGGTACGACCGCAGCGGCCACTTTGATCGTAGTTTGCGACGGGACCTGGGTGCTCTCGAGGACATTTCGGATCGAGGCCGTCATCGAGCAGGTACAGCACCGATTGTTTTGTACGACGAAGACTCAATCGAAGAGCTCCACTCGAGCCGAAAACATCGCGCGCGACCGCCCCGACCACCTCAGTCATACCAACAGCACGAGCAACTACAACAACAGCAGCTGCAACAGCAGCAAGAACGTCGTCGTGATAAGCACAACGCTTCGAGGCGAGATAGATAAAGCTCAACCGTTATATAAAGCTCAGATGCCATTTTTTGTCCAGCTCTCGTTACCTGCGCACCATTCATTTTCGTAGCCATTCGTATTGAAGCGTTGTTTGTAGCCATGTCTGGGAAGCAGTTCTCCGTGACGGACTTGGTGGCCAAGGCCGAGGCGCTCGTGGACCAATGTCAACCAGAGCTGGCGGTGCAATTCTATGAAAAGGCACTCGTGCAGGAGCCAACGAACGTGGCGCTACTGGACTCGATCGGCGAGCTGAGCACGGAAGTGGATGATCCCGAGCGAGCGCTTTCGGCTTTTCGACAGAGTATCGCACTTGCTCCAGCTGCGAACCCCGCCAAGTACTTTTACCTGTCGCAACTAGTCACAGGCGAGGAGGCTGAGCAGTATACGCTGCAAGGAATTACGCACTTGCAGCAGGAACTACAGCAACAGGTGGACTCTAGCACGCCGGAGGCGCTCGTGATCAAGAAACAGATCTGCGATGCCTTTTGCTCGCTGGGTGAGCTCTATATGACGGACTTGTGCGACCACGAGGAGGCTGAAAGCCGCTGTGAGACGTACTTCCAGCAAGCCATGGCGTTTGATGTGGGACTGCCAGAGCCAACGCAAGCACTAGCGAACCTGCGACTGGTGCAGCAGAACAAGGAGGCAGCTGAGGAGCTACTGGACGAGACCTATCGGCGTCTGACTGAACACTGCACCGTAGACAGTCTGCCGTCACTCGAGTTCCGCACGGCTACGGGTAAAATGCTGATTGAGGTCGAGAGGTATGAACAAGCGTGCGACGTGCTGGAAGGAGTGATGCAGGAAGACGACGAGAACGCCGAGATCTGGTTCCTCGTGGCCACGTGCTATCGTGCGATGGACGACTTGCCAAGTGCCCTCGAGTTCTTTGAAAAGTGCCGCCGGATGCTAACGAAACTCAAGAAAGAGCTGCGGGCCGACTTTTATCTGGACGATCAGCTCGAGAGCGTTGTTGAAAGCATTGACAAACTCAAGACCCTTATTGCAGACTTGCCACTGGAGCGTGATGGTGAAAGCGAAAGCGACGAGGACGAAAGTACCGATGCGAAGACGGTCGGACAGCAGGACGTGGACATGGAGGAATGAGAGTCCGGTGCAATTGAGCACGATAGATTTTACACCAACAACCGATGTTCGATATACCATCTCGGCTTTGGTGTTGCGCTTGCATTTGATCTTGTCACGCCAACGTGAAAAAAGTAAAGTCCCATGGTGACGCGACTTTCCCGTGGTAATAGGGCTGTCGGTGCAACTAGGACAAGCACAATGTTCAGGGTACTGGTACGTATGCTGATTACCACAGATGGGAGCTGTAGGCGGCTGATTACGCAGGCTGTCGCGTAAAAACAAGCTGAAAGGTTGGGGATGATCTATACCGTGCCCGATGCAAAAAGCCAACCATGATAGATGGCTTGAACGAGCCACCAACCATCACTTGTCATGAAGCACTTTTCTGACTCTTGCAGTCTTAAAGCTCGATGCGATTGTTAGAAATTCGCTACTAGAGTTCGTCCCCTTCCTCGCAAAGCACTTGCGTCGACATACAACGTGTGGTTTCTGAATGCATCAAAGTGGTTTGTGACTGCATCAGAGACTGAAAACACTGAGGTCGGTACAATGTCCATTGTAATTGTACCCGCATCGATCATGCTGTTAGTCTCGACAGCTGCTGATCGCACTATCTGCAGTCAAAGACCAAGTCCACATGATAGTCGATATGGGCCAGGACGTGTCCACCTTCAATACCAGGCAAGGTAAGTTGCAAAGCACTTGGTTTCCACATTGGTTGACAGCAAAAACGACGACTACTCGACCCGTAAGTTCAGACAAAGCAGAAGTGTCAGCTCTGAGCGAAAGCGTTGCATAGAGCCACGTACAGATCATGGCGAGCAGGTACCAACTGTGAAGTGAAGTCGTCCGCTTTTTCTTGACCGGACGAAATGTTGGTAAACTATGCAATAGCAAAGGACATTCACGAGAACGGCATATTACGCGAGGTCATTGTACTTCCAACCCACTACTAATGTCAGGCTGGTCTTGCGTTTGTATCGACACCAGATAGCTCAAATCTGCTTACGTGGCGGCTCCAGCAAGCGACAAGTGCAGTCAGTTTTGTCACATCCCTGAAATTGCTATGACCAAGTACTGGCAAAAGCCGATGCAAGTGGTCTGTGAACGCTATGCCACTGTAGTTGAAACACTATCTAGCATTTCTGCGAATCTCTCTTTGTTCAGGTAGGAGTATCACGCTCAGTCGACATGGTTTGTTGCGGTCAGGCTTTGGTGTCCTGAATACTAATGCTGCGATTACATGGTCGAATCAAACGACAAAGTCGTGGCTGCTGTTAAGCATCCGCGTCATCTTGTCAGTAAAGTAGCTTCGAGTAAAGACAATAAGACTGCTAGAAGCATCATTTACATACCATTGTGAGCACTAGAGCATTCAGATCAACCCACTTTACTCATGCTTCTTGGCCAGGTAAGCCGCCACGTTGGCATTCGTCTCCACGTTGGCCACGAGCGTCGTCAAGTTCGGATACTTTGCCAAACTAAAGGTCGGGTACTTGTCCAGGCCGTTCTTGACGAGGTCAAAAAGCTGCAAGTCTGCATACGTCATCTCGTGGCCCAGGAAGAAGGGGCGCTGCACGAATCCTTCGAGTAGTGTCAGTGTCTTGGGCACCAGCTCTTCCAGCAGTTTCTTGGTCTTTTCTGCTTTTAGAGTCTCGTCTGGAGTGCGGTACGCGATCTCGGAGAGGAGCGACTTGACGTCAACGAGGGACTCGGACACCATGTCCACACGCAAACACTCGATTGGATCTTGGGGGTACAACCCACTGAGCTTCGCGGCATAACGAGCTATGGCCATACTCTGGCTATAAGTCGTCCCGTCTACCTCTAGCACCGGCACTTGACCGAGGGGAAGCGTGGGCTTAATCGCCATAAACTCGTCACGGTTCAGACGTTCGTCCTCGAATGACACGTTGCCTGCGGACAAAATGAGGCGCGAGAGTTCGGCACGTCCCGGACCGGCAAAGTACGTGATTTTTAACTGCGGCGGTCCATTGTGATTGACAAGTTGCGGGGCGAGAAAGTTGTGGTAGAGCGCCACGAGCACGGCAGTGATTACTACGGCCCCAACTTGGTTCATTTTTTTTTGTATCTACCAAATGGAGAGCTACGCTGTATCGTCGTTTTTATGGATGGACAAGTGGAACTGAACTCTGGATCCTACAAAAGGATGATAATTTCTAATGAATATGGTAAAAGTTAGAAAGCTTGCTTTTTGTGAACGTATAAGTGGACGAACAATTGGTGACTTTTAGTTCTTAGCGGTGCGAGAGGGCAGGTGTCGCTTCCAAACCGCTATTTTACAGTCGTGTCTATCCATACACTCGCACAAATGTATGGTCGAAGAAGGCGAAAAGCTGCCGAATTTGTAAAATGGGGTAGCTAGCGACTAAAAATAGGCTCCCGAGAGCTCCTTATCGAGTCGTCGAGAGCCTCCAGAAAGCCGTCTTTGCAGAAGCAGAGTCTCACGTAGTAAACGGTTCAGCATCTTGATACTCACGTAATCTGTTGCAACAATAGCTATCGCATATCCCGAGTCCATTTTGAGAAGCAACTTGAGATCCATTATTACTCGTAGCAAATAGTCGTGCACTTGTATACTATGCCGAATGGTGTCGACGGCGATTCCGCTGGTTGATTGAAACGTGAATCAATTGAATACATGAGCAAATAGGTGATCCATCGGCAATGTGCAAGGCGACAAGATTCTTTGCCTTTCGGACCCAATTTCTTCTTCAGCCTTGGTAAGATAAAGGACCTTCTTTGTCATTGAACATGTCTCGTGCTACTGCACAACGTAGATCGTTTGAAACAGTCGCACAGTTGTTCACGCAGCAGGTTCAGTAGTGGTTGGTACGGTTCGAATCTTTGGGTTTGCGCGGTGTTGTCGGTGTTCACCTTATAGATGGGCTTCGTTGAGAGGGTACAACGGGATCATGGTGCTTGATTAAGGTTCTCGCATTATACATCAAGACGCACGTGTCAACGTAAATACCCGATCATGGAATACTCCTAAAGCATTCATTCGAACCGGATGTTTGATGCCGCCAGTATAAAGACAACCATGTGTTTAGTTTGAGACTTACGTGGGACTGCACTGGACATTAGTTGACAAGGCACGGTGAGTCATAGCGCAACTATTTTTGTGGAATAATTCATGCCTACTACAGTTTATACTAAATTTTAGTAAACGTCAGTTGTTGTGAGCATCATGCTCACGTGCAAGCGAAAGCAATCTCAATCACTGTATCGGTGAAACTTAAGAATGTATATTGCATACCCGGTTGCCGCATCCGCTTATTGCAAGGCACAAGATTCTCCCATCAGTCGGGCGCCAACATCTTCGACAATCTGCTGCAACTCCAAGAGATAGTGAGCTGATTCAACTACAGACTTGGATAAATGTGTCGCATACTCCACACACGAGCGTGCACTGCTCTGAGCACAATCTTCTCGAAACCAATTCTCTTCATCGAGTGCGTTGACATCAATGAAGTTCGTTTCGTCGTACTGTTTCAACAGGTCTCTCAATGAGCGCAGCTTGCACTGCAGATGCTGAATCTGCTCTCAGCCAACACAGCAGAACAAAGTTGTATCCAGATCAGCACACATTATGGTGAGAAGAAGACACATAAACCACACCTGAATGAGCACTCGATCAAAAGTATTCTGAGCTGCACACGGAGCTACATGCTCTTCGGACGAATCAAATCGGTCATCGAAAGCACGTTGTCCTTGTCCATGCATATCGTTCTCTGCTGTAGATCTGCCGAGGCGTTGTTTTGCTTCGTGTAAAGCTACCTGTTCCGTTTTTATAAAATGCTTCAGTTGTCTTATCTAAGAAGGGAAAGAAAATAGATCAGGCATCCTACTAGCAATACGCACACGCCATGTAAAAAGCAATAGGCATGTGGAATCAAGAACATGAACAAATTACCTCTATCTCTGCGTTATCGCAATCGTGGAAGTGATCAGACGGACGTGCAGTATTACGATCTGCGAGCTTCAGGTCAGTTGTTAAGTTCTCGATCATCAGCTGTTGCTCGCATATCTGATCCCGCGCCTGCTGTAACATTTCGCTTTTCCTAGCAACAATGCCTACAACAACATCTGAGTGCATTGTACGTTACAGCACACATGCATATGCACACTTGCCCTCCCATTTCGTAGACTGGCAACGTAACTCCTCCAGATGGTTGGCAAGAACGACTTTTTCTGATTCGGATTTTTTGCGCTTGTTCGACAACAAACAGTGAACATCGCGTCAAGCCTCACACCCACCCATCTTATCCAGCAGAAGTATCAGACATACCAAAGTCATCTCCACCAAGAGCTCGTCTGCCATGTCATCCTTCTTCTTCTCTAGCGCACTGCATCTTGCCTCGATATCCACTAGCATTTGACTTAGCCCGCTATCTTTAACTGCTTGAAGTTCTTGTTTTGCTTGTCTACAAGCTTTCATGAATTTTGACTTGGCGTGTTTCTGATCGCGAAGACATTCACTCAACATCTCGTTCTTCAGTTTTTCGCTCCGGTTCTCCTCATAAAGCTTTGCGATCTTCCAAGACATAAATACATCTTTACCATCATGGTTCTCGCGCATCTCTTCCTTCAAACTGCAAATCACACCCACGAAAACTCACCTGCTGCTCGTACTCGTGAATGCAGACATCAATGTCTTGCCTGCTATGAGCCATGACGCTCATAACAGAATGCGAAAGTGGCTACGTAGAAAAGTCCACACAAAAGGCATCAGAATTCATGACTGAATTCGCAATTGGTTGTCACTCAAACAGCGATCACCCCACCCTGTCGTTAGCTGTTCGTTGTCGTTCAGACTCATCGAATGCCATTAAATTCAAATTACGCATTGTCTCGTGCACCAGTAGTGGGAACTGCAGCTGTTGTTGCTCCTGCAATGACTGAATCATCAACTCCTTCTCCTGCAGTTTTCTCTCCAATTTGGCGCATCGCCGCTTCAAATGACACAACTGATCCTGCATGACTCGAGTCGTATCAGATTCAGTCCAATCATCCAGAGCACTGACGTGTCTACTGCGAAGACGGCGCTGCGTCTCCAAGTTAAAACTTCTCTTCATTTGGTCCGTGAGAAGCTCCGTAGTGGATGGCAGAGAGGCGCTGGACCTTTACAAAAAAAGCAGCAGGGAATACATGAGGTACGTGTAAATAGTCTGTAGTGCCTACACAAACGGCGTGCAACTTACGGGGAACGAGGAGCTTCGCTATGAGTGGCACTTGACATTCTGTTTGAAGTCAATCGGAATGAACACAGTTGTTGGAAAATTCCATGGCGCTAAGTTTGACGTTGAATGGATTAGTGTCAGTTTTGTACTTACAATCTGCAACCTGGACAAGATATTTGCAAGATGTGTGATAATAATGATTAGAACAGCGAGCGCATAATATGTTATACATGACTGAACACGTGCATCTTTCTACTCTCTCTGCATCAGCTTAATTAGAACATGTCAGATTAACAAGGTATGAAAACTCGTAGAAAAAAAGGGAATCAGACGAACCTAGCTAGATGTTACTCACGTATAAAGCACGCTATTGGTAGATATACTTTATTGCTGCCTCTGTTGCCGCCGAGGTGATAAACTAGTGACCAAGAAAGCTTCCTCGCTCAGCCTGCAGCGGAGGAACTCTATTTGTAATGTCGTTGTATGTGGTACTACTGACCACATGGAAAGGACGACACTGCATAATTGTTTGTAACGATGGGATCGACTCATCGTTTTGTTGCTGATATCGTAGAGTCGATGTTGATAGGCTTAAGGTTGTACAACGAGACGAACTAAGGACCTAGCTAGATAATATATTTACTTTCCATTTACCTTCTTTTAAGCGTTTAACTCTAAATCGCTCTTGGATGTTGCCAAAGGTCATTAGGTTATGAGCTCAAACACGCCGGACGCGGGCGACATACTCCGCGAAGATTATTACTTCGTGTGGGAGTTCAACGCGAAGATGAAGCTGGCAAAGAAGGGATTGCTCGAGCATATAGACGCCATGAAGCCCCCATCATAAGGAGACGCAACCGCGTCAGATGGGAAGTCAACGACATTGAAGGCCTTCGCGGTTGTGTCAACAATGATCAGCACATATCTTCATTCAATAGTGCGGTCGGCGGAGACAACGGCAGAAGCGTACACATACTAAAAATTGCTTTCTGCGACAGAGTATGCACAATCGCGTGCAGATGCGGCAGCAACTACATGGGTTAAAGTTGACCAAGGAAGAAAGTATCATGGACCATTACCTGAGATTTGACGAGCTCTGTATGACTATACAAGCTGTCGGGAAGATTTCTCACCGAAAGAGCATTTGGTCATCGTTTTGGGTAGTCTGACAAGAGATTATGACCCCATCGTCAACATAGTTGAGAGCATGCCCGGCATGATACTGTTTTACGCTAAGGAAGTGGTGAGACATGAGTGCGATATATTGAAAAGGACAGAGCACCAAGAAGTTGCACTGAAAAGTATGCATGCTTCCACGTACAAGAAAGAACCGCGGACATGAAGAGAGATCAAATCTAAGAGATTCAGAGTTCTCAGGAAGATGTTACCAATGTAACAAATTTGGGCACAAGCGTCAAGATTGCAAGACTGCACAAGTGGAGATATAGCGATCTGGAGAAGAAGAGCATTTACTGCGTCAAGCCGGACGTCAGCTGAATGGTTTTCGGAAAGTGGGGCAAGTAGACACATGTGTCCCGACAGAGATGAATTTTCAATTAAAACTCACTGAAGGACCCAATCATGATTACCAGAGCAGGCGGCAGTGAAGTGGAGGCGCAAGGTGTTGGTACAGTGCGTGTGCAAATCAAGACTGGTGAAGTGACCAGGATCGAGGAGACACTATGGATGCCTGACCTAGACCGAAGGCTACTGTCAATATCGGCATTGTCAAGAAAAGGTCTTCAAGTGAACTTCTCAGATCTGAGCTGTCAGATCAGAAGTAACGCGGGATTTATTGCTCAAGTAACAAATGGAACAAGATGTACGTCTTGGGTTGCAGGCCGGCTGAATCAGCAAACATCTGCAAAGGGATCATTCAAGAGAATTAATCAAGTGACGAATAAGGAGCGGCTGATCTACAGGTGTGGCATGCAACACCTGTAGATAATTAGATTAGGTCTTCCGCCTACAAACATTCTGAAGTTTATGACAATTTGCGTCGATGTTCATTAGATTAGGTCTCCTGCCTACAAAAATTCTGAAGTTTATGACAATTTGCATCGATGTTTAAAATATTAAAAGAAACAAGGGAGTGAAAATGACGTCGGGATCTGCGAAGGGTGCATTACGGGCAAAGCGAATGTCAAGAAATTTTTAAAATCATCTTACGGACGAGTGAAGACCAAGGAAGTAATGGAGTTGGTCCACAGTGACGTCATTAGCACCTTTGGAAACGAAGCCGCGAGAAAGATCAAGATTTTTCGTGACATTTGTCGATATTTAATTCGTATAGTCGAATACTACATCGAAAACGAGTCGGAAGCGACGAATCGCTTCATCGAGTACAAGGTACTAATAGAGAACCAACTGTTTGAGAAGATCAAGGGTGTCAGGACGGACAACGGAACTAAATATGTCAACATACTTTTTTCTGGTATGTGTCGAAAATTCGGAATCGTGCACCAGGCGACTGTACCATATTCGCTACAACAGAATGAGCTGGCTGAACGCATGAACCGGACACTGACCGAGCGAGCCAGAGGAATGCTCAGTCATATGCAAATGGACAAGATTTGGTGGGCTGAGGCGATGAACACAGCAGTCTACGTGACAAACCGAGTCCCATACGCCAGTCACCAGTTTACAACTCCATCTGAGTTTATCTTTAGGAAATTTGACCTCTCTGAGATGTGTGTATTTGGGTCAAAGGGATGTGCACATGTCGACAAGTCATAGAGGACCAAGATGACCAAGAAGGCGATTCAATGTTTTTTGGTTACTAGGACCACATCTAGGGGTTTAGGATACAGAATGAAGATCAAAGAGGGTGACGTACAAGAGATCGGCTAAATTTGATGAGCGACCGACACTTCAGTACGTGCAACATTACAGCAGATCAAGTGCCCAAGGTATTCGCGACATTCATAATGACGACGTCTTTCTATCGCTTTAGAGAAGTCAAGTGGCACGGAAGACGTGGACATGGAAATGGATTAACTTCAAAATGTTTATCAAGAAAGTCACGAACAAGATGGGCGTAAAAAGATGATGGCTCAACCATCTCGATGCAACAACGAGCTGCATGGACACGAGGGGTCTAATGTTGAAGACCTCATGTTTGAGATTGACAATGTGACTATGATCAAAGAAATCAAGAACCAGCTGAAGAAGTGCCAATACCAGGGCAGATGGTGATAAGACCAAGTCAACGGACAAGTGTTCAAAAATCACAAGAAACCACGATAGGACCATTAGAAATTGGTGCAAAATGAAAAATCTCAGGCTAGTACCAGTGGATGGTGCAGATGAGGTCTTTTATGACGGAACAGAAGTGCATTAAGAAAGAGGCACAAAGAGACTGTGTATTGGGTATGAACAAGCATGTGTAGCGTTCGAGACACCGGCGACTTGCGAAGAAGCTCTCAAGTCACCTCATTGCGATAATTGGTACAAGGCCATTCAAGCTGAACTCAAGGCATTGAAAGATAACAGTACAAACGCAGCGTCCAAGTTAAAAAGTGATTGTAACCAAGCGGGTTTTTGCACTCAATCGAAACGAGCTAGGTGAGATTATACGATACAAGGCACATCTTGTAGCACTTAACTACATGCAGAAGTATGGAGTTGATTACATGACGACATATTCACCGGTGGCAAACTTCGACTAAATTTTAGTGTCAATGGCGGTGTGTTGTCTCAGGGGATGTCAACATCCATCAATATGATGTCGACACTGCTTTTATATATGGCGTTTTGGAAAAAGAGGTAAGCGTATATCCTCCTCTAAGAGTTCGTGCAGGATGTGATAAAGTGCTCAAGTTAAATCGCAACCTGTATGGGCTTAAACAAGCGGCTACAACATGGTTCAAGACAAATTTAGTCTGTTTTTGTGGATATAGGAACTACATCATGCGCGGCAGACTCTTGCATTTTCGTCAAAGAGACTCAGGGCGTGTGGATTTACGCTGCTTTACATATGGACGACGTTTTGAGTGGAGCTGAATCTACTGGTGCGATGAACATGTGGTAGCACGACTATCTAGTCGTTTTTCGATAGAGATACTGGGGGGGGCTTTCGATTTGTTCTTGGAATCGAAGTCAAGTATTAGCGCGACAATCGACGTCTGAAAATTAGTCAAGGATTGTGTATGTCAAGAATGTTCATGAAATTTAATCACGTTGAATTTCACGCAAAGGTAGTGTCAAATATAAGTGTTGAAGGGCAAGCGATGATCAAGATGGACAAAATTGACACAATGTTGACCGTATTGGTGTAAGTGGGGTCGCTGTTTTACGTGGCAATAGGCACGAGACCAAATTATTGTGTATGCAGCATGTCGGCTAAGTCATCATTTGTAATTTCCGCACGAAGAGCACTGGAATGCAGCAATACGAGTGTTGAGATTACGGAAGACGAAGAAGACTAATCTTTTGCTATGAAGGCGTTTCAGGCAATCTTTAGCTGAGCGCGTACACGGATGCGGACTGGACAAGCAACAAGTGCAATTGCAGATCGATTAGGGTATTAGTCATGATCAATGGCGCACCTGTGATTTTTAAGTCGAACGATGCAGCCGAGTATGGCACTGAGCACGGTAGAAGCATGGTATATGGCTTTTCTTTGTGTGTGTACAGGAGGTGCTATGAACAAGAAGTCTACTTGAGATGATATAAGTGCCGATAAATTACGCAATCACGCTTCATGAAGACAACCAGAGTGAGATCGGTCAGTGGAGATATGTAAGTCACGAAACAAACCATCAATAACAGACAGAAGGACATCATTCTGAACGTGAACATGAAGGTCGAGAACAGAGACATGTACCGGTATTTTCTGATCAACTGCGTGAGACCAGCTATCAAGATGAATACATTGTGGGGGGACAGACACGATATCATCGTGTCTGTATCGCACGTCTTCCCTGACGACGACGAGATTATCGCAGAATGGCACAGCGACGGGTGGGATGTACACCCACGGTTACAGCCTACTAACTTCCCCGACTACCAAGTGCTCGACTTGGGGTACTTACGCGCCATCCGAAGCCTTCAGTACGAGCAGAAAATTACGGCAATGATGGCTCAACTGCAGAGTTCATAGTAGCTATTAACACTATGATCGTTATGGAGCTCTACCACGTATTTCTGTCGCTGCATTCAGTGCTGGAGTGCATATGAATGAGTTTGTCGACAAAGGCTAAGATCTTCCTCACACAGCAACAGGAAGGCTGAAAATGGTAGGGCAATCTCCCACTTAGCGTCACGTGTGATAATACTGTGCAACATCTCAATTTTGCATTCCTAGCCTTGAGTTTAAGCACGTGAATTTATGATGCTTTTATCGCAATGCTCATCGTACTGAATTTGATTCGATTTCTGGTATCAATTTTCATATGTAGCACCTATTTCAATACGTAAAAATTATCTTGTATAATTCAAACTTTTGTCGCTTCTTTATTACAAAAATTTTTTTTCCTGGTTATTGGTCAAATTTCAGTCATGACATTTACCTTTTGGTACAAGTGTTTGGTATTAAAAAAGGATGTAATATTGACCAAGGAAGAATTAATCTACTCTAATTTGTTGCAGAAATTTGTGTTTGTGCAACCTACTAAAGCATCGTAAATTAACCAACTTCGAACAGGTCTAGGCTAGTGTACCTGGAGCGAGGGGCGATCAATTGATGCTGCAAAACAAAATTTTGAACGCACAACGTGTCGCAATCACGGATCAATCACATGTAACACCTGGTCAATACGGCGCACACAAAAATCAAAGAGTTTTGAGCTCTATCATTTTTGTACACCATGAGAGCACAAGCACATATTAGACTGGATCGGATCAACACAATAAGGAACCCTATCATTCTACGACTCGCCACGAGCACGAATTATGCCAAGAGAGCGCGTGTGCCTCAAATTCCAGAATAAAAATTAACTTTGCGTTCGCCATACTTCGAACCCCGACCTCATACATCATCAACTGAGTGGACGAACGTACATCAAATGTAGTCGATGTTCGATCTCTGTACCTAATAAATTATCAAAAGCGCACTAATATTTAGCAGAAGCCCCGACTTTAGGCGCTATCTGGCAGGACTTCACGCAACAATAAACAACCGCCTTCTTTACTGTTTACGCTTGGTCTAAGAGAGAACAAGCGTCAGCGACACCGATCTGAGAGAATAATAACGATCTACTTTGTGTCGATCTTTATCCGAGACCGTGTCACTCTCGTGTGGCCCGCAGTCCAAGGTGCTGCACGACATCAAGCTGCATCAAGTGCATGGAGAGGCTAGCAGCGTTAACGTGTTTAAGCCCGTAGAACAGTGCAAGTTCCTGTGAGAAATGCTACGTGAGTAAAGTATTTCGGATGTCTTTAGCACAGACGTAACGAGGATTTTATTTAGTATACAGCAGATCTAAAAGCTCTCTATTCACGCTCTTGCAACCCTCGAGAAGTCAAAGGCATGGGACGTGGTTCTGTATTACGCGAACATACCGTTAGAAACGGCATTCGCACCGAGCGCTAGATTCACAGCCCGTGGTGACGCCGGGTCGCCTACACAGACGTAGTTATTTTGTAGATAATATACTCGTGGGTGCTTATGCATCACTGGGTCTAGAGAGTGGAGGCCACTATTGCAAGAAATCGTTGTGCGGCGCGATTTCAAACAGAATTTGCAAGAAAGATAAGCACACATTTCGTGTTGTGTGTAGTCCCTCTCGAATCAGCATTGTTACCCGCAACCGCCTCCTCTCTCCCAACGAAATCACTCACGGTCCGCAAGAAAAAGATCTACCTGCTCGTCATTTACCAGCACCAGAACCCCGCTCCATGGTATCAATGTTAAATCAGCAGCTAGGAGCGCGATTTTATGTTAATAAAAAGCGTGAATGGAAAAACAATTATCTGGTCCTTTAATGTTTTTAACCTGGGCTTTTGCGGCGACTAGGTTCTTCCGCTAGTCGAAAACGTGAATGCCATGTCATGCTCAAGCTGTCGAACATGCGTCTCCATTCCCTGCCGCCTAACACGATCTTGCACTTGCGATATATAGATGCAGGGGTTATCAAGAATAGCAAGCTCAGATATCGGTGCGAGCTAGGCGATGCGAACGTCGAATAGATCGAACGAGGTGGCAGCGCCAATAAAACGGACTTGCTTACTGCAGTTCGCAATATCGTGAAGGATTGGGTGCGGTGACACCAGACGTCTCCAATCGAGAATCCCCGACGTGGCAACAGCATCAATAATCAAACAGGACAATCAGTCCAAGATCGTCATTGCATATTTTCATCTTGGAGCGCTTGCCCAATAGCGTTTCCTAGAATGTCCGATCCCTGCCACTGCGTAAATCACGTACGACGCGGATGGCGAAGAATAGGTAAAGATGGTGTTGCGTAGGTCCACTGTAGCAGTAGCGACTAAAAAAGGTCGACCAGTCGCTGAATCATCGTGAAGCGCTAGATCTTTTCGAAAATCTCCCACTAACATCTTTTAGTAAAAAAAATCAAGTTACAAAAATCAACTACTTAGCATCCTAGCGGCAGAACTAATTTATTGAATGCTTTTTAATAGTTAGTGACAAGTTTGTACAGCAATTTCCGTCACATATGAAAGCCTTATGTCCTCCCTTTTTGCGTCTAAGTTAAATTTCGATCTTGCGTATGAGGCTGATACTTCTCTATATTTATTTTCATCTTGTTGTCGTATGCGCGCTGGCTGATGAATAGTCAATAAAGCATAACAATATCGGCATGTCTTCAGTAGGGGTACCTTTAAAAAAAATGCGATTCATCATTGTCAAGGAAGGTGTCAGAACTTTACGTTGAATCGAGATGGATTATACTGGCCGCCATGCGCCGGACACAAAAGTGGTGCATTAGATCTTTCGCTATTCCACACGAACTGTCATTTTACACGGAATCTTGTAATAACTTTCTCTTGAGTGACAGATCTGAAGAATAAAGATCACTGAGAAAGTACTGCCGATGTAACGTTCCGCTCCCCTTGGTTTTCAAATAGCGCTTGGAGGATCTCTGCAAAAGCTCGAAATTGGCAACCAAATCATCTATGTTATATTGTGATGATTTCCACTATTCTACCCCACATTCTGTTTTTGCTAGAGTGTAATGGATGAGGATAAATTGCAAAGACAGTGGGTGGATTGGATCAGCGGTCTTGCGCCATGCGGGCACTTGCAGCTGAGGAGAAATAGGAAGACTGCAGCAATAGTAACGCGGGATTTTTTTGCAAAATCAAAAGGCACACGGTTCATCCACGAGCCCTACCATTTTAATTTATATTTAACGTTCTAATTGAGGACGAAACAATCATAATGCGCGTGAACAGTGGAAGGCCACCAAATCCTTATTTATGAATATTCACAAAAACAGTCTACGAAATCTTCCTAAAAGTTGAATCTGTTGAACGCATGTTATCAGTTGGTCCATGCATTTGGCCACCAAAAACCTTAGCAACGAGCGATATGTATGTATATCAATAGCACTACTCGTTACAATACTGGTACTGACAATGCTGCCACCGTTTATTTCAGCTCGGTATCAAGACGATCAAGCCTTGGCTCTTGCTCTGCTTATTGTAGAAGAGGAGGCAGCACAGCGGGAGGTAGCTGAACGTCTACAAAGGTCGTATGTGTCTTTCTTCTCCCTCGCATCCAGGGGCAAATCCGTGAGCGCTTCTTTATAAATTTGCAGGTGCTTTTTAGCCCGTTTTCTTCGACTTGGTACACCTTCTACCGGGGCAGAACATACGAAAACCTAATGAATGTCACCGTTCTTCCTCGTGATGCTTTCAATGATCTATTGAGCGTCTTCTCACGCTACTGTATTGTACGACCAGGTCAAATAAAACCAGAGCACCTGCACACCTGATCCAAAAGCGTGTCGTCCTTGCTCTCCTCCTTCACTGCCATGCGAGTAAATGTAAATTGTAATCGTTGTGATCTTTCTTGATCCCCACCGTCTACCGCTAATTGCGTCATCCGACACGTCGAGCTAGCGCTGGAAAAGCCTGGTCGATATAAAAATTGAGATGATATGATGGACATGTCAAGATCGGCAGCTTACGTGGGCTGCTCGGATAGAATCATGAGAGCCATCGGTGACACAAAATTTTGGATACATGGACGAAAATAGTATTGTGTAGCTTTACCCAGAAGTCGATAGCTACAGATCAATTTTTGGAACGGGTGGCTTCACCCAGACCTCGTAACAGGTACTGTGTCATTTCGTGCGGATGTATGTATAATTTGATTTGAGCACAATTTCATAGGATGGTGGAGCAATAGCGATGCCAGTCGCTAATTCTGAGAGAACCTTCGCGACCGCCCAGCTCACTCTTCCTGGTTATGGAGTTATCACAGACTCAGCTTTTCCTGTCTCTGAAAATATAAGCAGAACAATAGTCACACCATAGAAGGATGGAGAAATGTAGCGAGCTGTTGCGCGAGGAGCGAAAATAAGCATAGTATTACAATGTTAAACAATGCCTTCGATTTTATACGCCAAGTGGCAAAATAGGGGTTAAATTACATTGAAATGATAATTTGCGGCATCTTCGCCTTCCTTATAAAAACTAATGTCCGAGAGGATTGTTTGATATGTATTGGCCAATTGCATAATGTTCGAGCTACAAATGTGGAGAGATCCGCACTGTTTTGTAGTCGTTGGTGGAAGAAGACGCTAAGAACATGACTAAATGACTACGATCATGGATTAAAAGCTAAACGTAATTTAATCCCACTATAGGTAAATTGAACATGAATAAATGACAATGGTTGTGCTTTATTTACGGAAATTAAGGAAATGTAGACTGTAGTGAAAGTACACATCACAGGTGATTGACAGCGCAAATGAGTTTATAGATGCAGCGAATTACGATCAAAAATACTTAAAGAAGCTGCGATTGCTGGTGATCACGATCGGCTTGTTTATTTTTTCGCTCTTTTTGCTCCTCTTCACACTGGGCATCTCTATACTTGCTTTTTTCAGTACGCCGAAATACATTCTCCTTTTTTTCTTCTTCGCGGCAAGCAGCATCCTCACGGCTATCAGCTTCACGACGCAGGTTATAGATTCCGAATCTTTTGATCTTATTGCGTTTGCATTATGATGATGTCCACTAACCCGCTGGTCGTCGAGTAGGGCTGTGGCTACGGCTTAGTAAGCTCCCGTAAAGCTCGGTCGATGAGATATCGTTTATTTGCATTCATTTCAACCTATAAATAGTTGATTTTGCATATCTGGTCATGGCTAACTTCGTTGAACACTTACTTGGCTTGACGGCTCAGGTGTAAGCTGCAAAGGAGAAGTGGAAGACAACTCTGTGATTTGTAGTAATGCAGCGGAATGCCTCTCTGCACAATTTGTTAGCTGCGTAGGAACAAATCATCAAGGCGTTAAGATTACGGACGAGGATTTACCGGCATAAGAAGAAAAAGGGTGAAGCAGAACCATTTGTTGGATAAATCTGTAGTCAAATTCGTATGATTCGATGCTGCCGCCTGATCTTACATCCTTTAAAACCTCGAATTGGTCCTTGTCACTCCTGTTCGTTTTCATTATCGCCCAGTCGTCTTCGGTTGTTCAGTTCATCGCTGAGTTATTATTATCGCCTTCGTATTTCATGTCTTCTTACGCGCTGTCTGTAACGGGGCACCCTTTGTTTAGGTGACACGAAATTTCACGTACACTAGTACGTGCAAAGGAAGCTATTTTACTAAGCAACTAGTTTGACTAAAGGGTAAACAGAGAGCTGTTTTAAATATAGTTAAGCGATCAATATAACTTGAGTCTTAATCTAACTGTAGTAATCTACATTGTCGTATGACGACAACCTGCTCACCACTCATTACGCTCGTCTAGCGGCGATTAGTGGTAATTTGAACGGATATGTCTTTATCAACCAATCTTGAAGCAGCGCATGGATATTATCCTACAAGGGGATGATATTCCTTCAATATTATCCATCTCGGGTGATTTTGGTAGGAAAAATTGCCACGCTCGACAATCTCCCCATATTGACACCGTTTGGTGTCAATATCATGTGAAGGGCTACCATTTTACATCACCCCGCCCCCCCTAAACGGCAATCACCTGTTAATTAAATCTAACTAATTTGGACAGGCTGATTACCGTTAGACTACCCTGGGAAGGGGATCACTTATTGATAAAATACAACTCATTTGCCAATTCATCGCATGGTATCAAATTCCATGGGGTCCGCTGCCGAAGCAGCCAGAAAGGCGGGTGCACGCATACATGCAGCCGAAGATAGTTCTTCGCTTGCTTCAGCAGCAGGTGATTGTGCGCCTGCTGTTGCAATTCAGCAACAGGCAGTGCCTGTTGTGGATAGTTCACGTGGTGAGTCACCTCGTGTGGCAGATACACCCGCTGCAGACGCAGCGGGTGATACGACTAGCAATGCGGATGAGACTGAAATTGAGCTCATCTCTTTTAATAAGTCGGATGATGCATGCGACTAAAAGTAGACACATCACGCGTCCGGACCATTCGTGGAGGACACAGCAAAAAAAGGTTGACTGGATCTGGGGAAAGTGGCGGCATCATGTTCGAAATCTTCGGAAGGAGCAATTCGTCCGACGAATCCTCGTCTCACGCAAGTCTATATGACAATAGCATGCGTGGTGCTGGTGGTGAAGCACCTAAACTTCACCACGAGAGAAACAAATTGAGAAATCGAGCTGCCACTGGTGTCAGTGCTCACGCTGACATCACTCAAGATTCAAGGGACCGAAATGTCCTGCGCCGCGCTCCTCACGTGGAATCTCCTCGGGTGCCACCATCCAAGGAGTCAGATCTATTTAACGGTATGACCACCAAACGAGATCGAATCTCGTTATTCGACTGTAAGAAATCTGTCCTCTTCATTCCAGCACAAAATATATCCGTGATGAGAAAAAGTTCTTCACCGATGTGTTTTTTAAAAATTTGTGGTACAACAGCAATCGAGGTCGCAACGGTAAGGTCTTGTGTAATGCTTTTATCCATATTGTCGAGTGTATTGGCCGTGAGGCCTGGATAGGTAAACTTGATGCAGCTCGCATCAGGTTTAAAAAACGTAACCCAGCCGGTGTACGATACATACAGCACCGGCTGTCAAGAGAGGCAGGATTACCCTATCTCTCGTGTGGTGTGATTCGGGTCCAGGTTATTTAAATGATGCTCATCTTGACCCTAGAGAGGCCTACTCAAATCTCTTCTGAGATGGACAAAGGGATCGACACTTTGCAATCCTCGTACTCGCGTTCGGAGAGGTCGTTTTCCGACGGCCCTTCTTCGAACGCAGCGGGTCGCTATCACCATACTGCTCGACGAGACTTAAAAATAACAATTAGATCGGCGTGAGGTTCTCAGCTGTCTTAGGCCGGTGGATAGTCACGCCAGCGGACGGGATAACTCGTCCGGACGCCCATTACGCCGCGGTGGCTCAAGATACGCTCCACTAGAAAGCGTATAATATCGCTAGAATCCACCGAAGTATGTGGTGGTGGCGGGAACACCTGATCCGGCTCCAGGTTCGGATCAGCTTACTGTTCAGGAACTGAATCGTGTAACCGATCAGCTACACGATGACTTGGCTCATGAACAAACTCGGCGTTATGATCTTGAGGATCTTGTAATGGATAATTACAAATTCCCTAACGCACGATCGTTCGGATGATCGTGACGCTTTTGCATTCGCGCAATGTGAGAACGAACGTTCAAATAGTTCTCTTCGTGACGATCTGGCTGTATCTCGCCGAGGCATCGCTCAACTGAGTGAACAGGTCCCTTCGCTAGTCGACCAGACTGGCGAGTTACAATAAGACCACTCGAACGTGATCTCGGCCCTTGATCGCGGGGGTGTTCTTCACCTCTATAAACGGGCTCGTACTGATAGTACGGGAGGAGAAGTCCAGCGTAAAACGTAGGATGCGTACGCATCCTACGAGGCAGTTTAATCGTGTTTGCGTTGCCCATTCAGCGCAACACATGAAATGGGCCAATTTCGTGGGCAGTAGTTTACTCGCTGCCTACGTTTGTTACTACATATTTAATTTGATTTACTGTTAACATTACAACTAAGTCTCCTTATTTAAATGAAAGATCGTTTGCTCTTACATGTTTGCTGCGTTTCTTTTCTGCTTGTCTAGTGCATCTGCAATAGAGTATTGAACAAAGCGGACAACCACTTCGCGAGTCAGCAGAAATTCCTCTGCTGATTCATCCTTGTCAACAGTAGTGCGATTCGTGTGCACTGCTGAAAGAACGTTGTCTTCACCAGTGAGGGCGTGATCTTCCTCACTGTGGAAGTCATTGGCGATGCTGAATGTACCAGCATCGTCATCATCATCATCATCGATCACGATCGCACCGACATCGGCAGTCATCACGTCGACACCATTGTCGACGGGTGATGAGGAAGAGCCAGATCGGGTTTTGTTCGAGCGAGTGACCCGCCCTTTTAACTAAAGTCACACCCTAAGAAAATGTGTAAACGTGGGTGGCGTAGGCCATTCACAAAGAACGGTGTATGCGTTGTCGACGCATGCACCGAGTTGTTAACGGAGAATTCCGCCTTTGGCAAGAGTTCACTCCAACTCTTAAACGAGTGGACGTACCCTCGAAGTATCTCTTCGAGGTCGCGGTTGACGCGTTCCGTCTGACCATCTGTTTCAGGATGTTCAAAAGTCGACATCTTTGAACGTGTTCCAAGTGAACGGAACACGGATTGCCAGAACTCCGCTGTGAAGCGAGGGTCCCTTTCAGACACGAGTTCACAAGGTAACCCGTGAAGTCGAAAGATAGCATCGATGTAGACACGAGAACAGCCCTGGGCTTCGATTGAATCCGGTACAGCAACAAGATGTACCATCTTGTTGAACCGATCAACAAACACAAGAATAACAGTATTACTGTGAGCGTCTTCGGGAAACCCGAATACGAAGTTCATCGATACAGACGGCCAGTACTCTGCCGTTATAGGAAGAGGCTGCAAGGATGCGCGGGATGAAGGACTAGGCTTCACCCGTTGGAAAAATTCGCAAGTGCGAATGTATTGGCGCATAAATTCATACTGGCGGGGTCAGTAGAAGTCACGACGTACCGTGAGGTAATTCTTATCCCTGCCGCGATGACCACTTGCCGGGGTATCGTGACATTAATACATGATGCACTGTCGCAAGCCATTATGAGCCGGGACGACGACACGAGGTGTGTCGCCGTTGACTGCTGTATAGTACAGCAGTCCATCACGAACCGAATACCGTTCGATTGAAGAGCGGTATTGAGACGACAAGCTTTTCAAAGCTTGATTACACGGATTGGACACGTAATCCATCGATCGCAGAATAGACTCATTTTCTGTGTGTGCTTTCCGCACGTCTTCGAGCAGACTCGACGACGGAACAGCCGCTGGTAGTGTTGTACAGTGGGCTCAGCCCTACTATTGGGTGGGGTAGTCGGCTCAAAATCGGGCCGACGCGGAAGAGCATCAGCGACGACAAAAAGTCATCCTGGCTTATATTCGACGTAGAAGTTGTGCTCCGCAAAGAAAACAACCACCTCGCCATTCGTTGCGAGAGGTGAGGACTGTTTACGGCTGTGCGTAACGACGCATGGTCGGTATAAACTATGAAGGGCCTATCTCCTAAGAGATATACCCGAAACTTAGCCAGTGCATATTTCATGGCAAGGAGTTCCTTGTCATGCACCAACTAATTTTGCTCGGCTGCTTGCAGCTGACGCGATTGATAACAGACGACGCGCTCAACGCCGTCTGAGTCACACTGCATTAACGCGCAGCCGATCGCAAAAGTGCTGGCGTCACAGACCACATGGAATGGTCTGTCTTGGTCTGCAATCGCGAACACAGGAGATTGTACCAAGATTTTCATGACGCCTTCAAAAGAGTGCTGACACTCAGCGCTCCATGAACGCCTCTCGTTTTTCTTTAATAGACGAGAGAGATGTACGTTTATCTCGGCGTAATTGCGTGAATACTTATGCAAATACGCTGCCAAGCCAAGGAACTTTCGAAGTTACTTGACGTCGACTGGCACATGCCAGTCGCTAATCACCTTGATCTTTTCAATATCAGGGCGTACGCCGTTTTTATCCACGATGCAGCCAAGAAGTGGTATTTCGTTTGCTGCGAATATACACTTCTTAAGGTTCGCGACAACTTATGCTCTCGCATTGGAGTAAGAACATTCTGGTTGTGTATCCTATGAACATATACGTCCGTCTTTCCATCCATAGCCCGGATAAGGACGAAGACATCATCATAGTCACTCTGTGCAAAATCTCGCACCGATTGCAACAGATTGTAACATTTCTGTTGAACGTTGCAGGGGTGTTACTTAGCCCCTACGTAAGGATCTGATAGAATCCATCCATCAGATCCATGGACAAGAAGATAGCACTTTTGCCATACCATCTAAGATGACGTCCTTTCTTGGCATCGGCGTTTGAGCCGTTCCGTTGCAGCGTTCAATTTGTTGAATGCGTGCACTATCCACCACCCTCCTGTGGCCTTACGCACACAGAAGGTCGGAGAGCTGTGCGGGGCGTCGACTTTTTCACTTGACAAGCTGCTAAACGATCGGCAAAGAATTTGTCGATCGCTACGACCTATTCTCGAGGCAGTGGCCACTGCTTCATGAACCAGTATTTTAAACAGGGTTTCAGTTCGATCTCATGCCGAGTTCCTTTGTCCTCGAGCAGCTCGCATGGCACGGGTTCAGGAAAATATCCCTGTATACGTCCAAATCCTTTTTTAAGAATTTGTCTTCAAAGACTCCCAAGATTGAGACGTGTATCGCTCAATCCGGGTCTTCTCTTCGAAGACACTCTCGTCCATCGATGAGCTACTGAGAGCCCGTTCGTTCTCAGCAAATACTTGTGCCGACCGAATATGCCAACGTACTCGTCCTGTGTGACGATTGCGCAGATCTGTTTGATCTTGTCACTACGCAATCTTCACAAGAATCTTTTAGTTTCTAGCTTTGACAACTGATTACCTCCAAAGCTGACTTTGGAGGTGCAACTAGATAAAGTGTACAAGCGCCTACACTCAATCCGTCATTCACCAAGACATTCACTGTCTAATTTTCGGGAAATACATTCGCAGGTGGTTGGGGATCCTCACCCTCAACATAACTCTCTCGGGAGTTATCACTCTCAGCAACGCTGGATTTTTCTTTCATTACGTGTACTATCACGGTCACGTCCTCTTCGATAGACTCTCTTTCAGTCGATCGGGCTTGCTCTACGATCGCCTCTCTGATAATCGATCTTGCTTTAACGTGTTGTTCATCCTGAACAACACTAATCTCTTCGTGAATGCTTGGTGTGCATCCGTGTCTCAGTCCACTCGATCTCTTCGAGTGGTGAACGTTAAGCGCACCCTGAGTCTCCACACAGGTGCCGGAAGCTGGTTTACAGTGCAGTGGCCTTCTACACTGTGATCTTGTGCAATCGTACTAACGACCGGACCACAAGTGAGGCCATCGCACTCACTCGTAGTACATCCACAAGCTTGTGGACGCTCCAAGACGTTAATCAGATGGCCACCTGATGAACAAACGACAGGCATCTTCACGGACCGATGCTGCCAGCTGATCCATGGCTTGTATTTTCTAAGCCTCGCAGACCAAGGATGACATCAAATTTGTCATCTAAATTTAGTACGATAAAGTCATCATCGTACTGCTTTCCTTCTAGCGTGTAGTGTATTCCCACTACACGTTTGTTCACTGTTACGGATGCGCCTGTAGCAAGGCACACCGTCATTCTTGTTGGAGGGAACTCTCGCTCAACATAGTTGAGCCTACTATCCTATAATGACTGGCGTCGAATAAAAATGTCCGACGCCCCACAGTCAACAAAGTGACATTCCACTCGTCACTTCGATCTTCAAAGTGATGAGGGACTCCTCATGACTAGGGGCAGTAACACACAGAGACTGTGTGTTGAGAGCTTTCTTCGTCAAGAAGCCTGCAAATTCTCTTGACGTTGCTGGATCAGCAGGGTGATCCGCCCCTGCTGACCCTGTCCGTTTTTTGGCGGTCCGACTTGCTGTCGCGGCTTAGCGACATGGTCGGATTTCACGCTTTGGACCTTTCCTTGGCCAACGGTGGTCATCACTTCCTGTCTTTGGACGTGTTGCGGTGCTTGGGCCACTACACTTAGGAGCGTAGTGTCCGATCTTCTGACAGCGATGGAATCTTGCCTTTCGCTTGTGATTCAGAAAGCGAGAGTTCTCGTTTTCTATGTAACAGAGGTCCATAGGTTCGGGACCTTCTGTCTCTCGTCGTCTCGTCGGACGATAGTTTAACAGGTTAGACTGAGACTGTCTCGGGCTGAAGTCTTCTTGTTCCACATACGCTATCGCCTTTTCCAGCGTATGGAAGTCCTCTCGGAACACGTAGGTCTTTACCGGCTCATCTACTAGGCCGTAGATGAACACGTTGATGAGCGTGTGCTCATCAACAGGGTTTTCCGTAACGCTACTCGCAAGATAGCGTAGGTGTTGTGCGTAAGCGTGCACGTCACGCTTACCTTGCTTTAGCCTCAAGAGTGCAGGGCGTGCTCTGAACTCGGCTCTCGGCGGCTCAAATGTCTCTTTAAGCCGAGACTTCAAGATTTACAGCGACTCAAACATGTTTTGGATTGTGAAGCTTGAGACCTAAGGCCCAAATCTTTGCTCGTCCTGTCAAATTGGACGGGGCGAAGGTGACTTGCATCTCGTCACCCTTGATGTGACGGGCCCTGATGGCATCGTCTAACTCGATGAACCATCTCAAAAGGGAGTCTTCATCGGCTCCCTTGTACCTTGATATATCAATCTTCAAGATTTCGGGTCGACGCGCGTGCGCTGGCCCGCTCATCGACTGATGAGAGCCTTGCTGTTGTAGCAAGGCTATCTTCTGTCGTTGGACGGCAAGTTTTTCTTGCAGGAACTTGTTGATAGCAGTATGTTGCTGGTCTCTGTTTAGAGACTCCAACATACCACTGATGGCGGGTTCGCCCACGAGCACAATCGTGCGGCAGACCGTCTCCCATTCTGAGTCACTCAGATGAGGGTAGCCTTCACGTGTGACGTGAAAGCTGTCGTCTTCTACATCCAACATGTTCGTGTTGAACGGACACAAATCAGTCGTTGGACGGACTACTAATTGAAAACCAGGTGTAACGGGGACCCCTTTGTTCGGAGCGCCACGAAACTTCACGTACACTGGTACGTGCAGAGGAAGCTAATCTACTTTAACGACTCGATCAAGTAAGGGTTAAAATAGAATTGTATGTAACGTAGTTAAGCTATCAATGCAGCTCTAATCTTTATCTAACTAAATTAAACTACTTCGTCGTGTGATGACAACCTGCTCACCACTCATTGCGCGCGTCTAGCAGCGATAAATGGTAATCTATGGTTAATGTGTCTTTTATCAACCAATCTTGGAGCAGCGCATAAATATTATCCTACAAAAGGAGATAATAATCCTTCAATATTATCCATCTCGGATAATATTGGCAGGGAATTGTCACGCCTTCACAGCAAAATCGCACGCTGTAATTTAACCACACTGTATATTGGTTAAACTCGCGTGTAATGTTGCTGTTTAAGCATTGCAAAAGAGAGCGCCGTGTTCGTGGGAGAGTATCATTGTCTTGCAAATATGGTGCAGCAGTCGATCCATTTTACAAATTGATTGTTATAAGAGACGCAGTCTCGGCATTCACACACAGCTATACTTTTTGTATCGGATCCAATCAAACCCCTCTTTCAGGTGAAGACTTCTGGACTTGACGCTTCTATTCGTGCATAAATTTAAACGGGTATAAACTTTAGGTGTCCCCAGTCTTACAAATTTCATGAGACTTATTTCCAATTTCTTCGACAAGCTCGTTAGCTTTTAGTCCTGGTTTAGAGACCGCGACTACAAGATATCTCGTGACACTAGAGCTCAATAGTGGTTAGCCTTAATATACGCACTGACTCTTACGACCAAAGACGTTGTAGCAAGAGACGTGTCTTGAATTAATCAAAAGATAGCTGAATGTATTTACTCATTTCCAGCTATAATAAATCTCATCCACGTCTTTAACCTTAATACTATGCTATTTAATCACACTAACCACACCATAAGTACACCAAATCTCCGAAGGCCCCATTACGATGGGCACCATCTAACCATAATCGATCGGGTTTGGTATAACCGCTTTGCGTATGTGATACAGTAGTACGCCTTATCACTGAAACTGATCTCTTTGTGTGCATATCATACCAGCGTACCTGGTTATGACCAATGTTTGAGTAACCCCCTTGCACTTTTGCAAAGTGTGTATATCGCTGAGTATCATACCCCGGTGCTACTCACGTGCTATATCGGTGACGATACGATGCACAGACAACACGTTTTATTTGTAAAGCACTTGTAAATTGTTACACGCATTTAAAGCGATGCATCAGCCTGGCGTCCTCAGCTCACTTGCTGCACGCGCTACTTCAAAGTATGTCGATTCTTGCAATAAGGCTACACCATGTGTCGTCGGTCATGACTAGTCGATTGACAACGGGTAGCTATTCTGATTACTTACCATGTTGAAGTTTGTCAGTCGGTTAACAAGATGCCTTAGACAGCTAATTTAGCTTTTTTACCGGCCTACACGCTACTTCTTCTGTACAAGCTGTGTATGCCAATCTAAACGGATATTATCGACTTTGAATCCATAGACGGTATCAGGTGAGTCTGGCTGTATACAAGCACACATGCGTGACACTTTAATAAGCATGTGCAACGAGTCGAAAACTTTCAACCTATAAGCTGATTAGTACAGGTTAACTGCTCGAGAGATCTTGTCGACATAAGCACACGACCTAGACGAAGCTGACAGATAGCATTGAGTACCTGATGGGTCTGAAACCATCACATTTTCTTACCACGATTTCGAGTGGGATACGAAGTACTTATGTGATCTCCATTCATCATTTTTGTAACGGGGTGAATCGTTACATAACAATTTATAAGAAATTGTTAATAGAATATAACTATAAGAGTTATATTCTCAGAATATTGTCATAAGGACAAATATTCTGTAGCACTTACGAGTAGTTCCTAATTGGTTGATATAGGCCATTATATCAACCAACGAAGACGCGCCACGACAGACGCACGCAATGAGTGGTGAGCAGATAACTGATTTACACATTTGTATTTAGACATAGTTAGATGAAGATAAATAGTGATTTATTGCAGACATTAACTATTATAAATACAGTTCTACTTTTTACTTTAACCAAGTACTCGCTTCTTCTTACCGTCTTCCTCTGCACGTACGAGTGTACGTGAAGTTACGAGGCACCGCCTTATTCTGTCACCAGAATAAGTAGCTTGTACTGTCACCAGTACAAGCTTCAGGGTGCCCCGTTACACCTGGTAGCACTTTGTAGTCCGTCCAAGGACCGCGTTCACATCCAACATGAATATGTTGGATGATGAAGATGACCAAAGCTTTCACGCTACGCGTGACGGCTACTCCCATTTGAGCAATGTCGAATGGGATGCGGTTGAACGAATGGGTTCGACCGTAAGCATCTATGCTGTTAGCGTCATGCTAGAGGCTCTCAATAGAGATGCCCAACATGCTACTATCGCCAAGTTCATTCAAAATGAACTTGACGCAGAACGCGAGAAAGTAGCCTTGCTTCACCAACAAGGTTCTCAATAAGCAGAGTTGTTGAGAGAACAGGGTGCTCAACAGTTTGAACTGTTGAGACAGCAGCAGGCTGCTGCTGGTGGGTCGATGCACTCGCGTCGACCCGAGACTTTGAAGATTGACATCTCCAAGTATAGGGGGTCGAAGAAGACTCCCTCTTGAGATGGTTCGTCGAATTGGATGACGCCATAAGGGCGCGTCGCATCGACGACGGGGATATGCAAGTTGCATTTGCCCAGTCAAATCTGGCAGGACGTGCCAAGACTTGGGCACTGGGGCTCAAGTTGCACGACCCATATGCGTTTGGGTCGTTGGAAGTCTTCAAGTCGCGGCTCAGACAAACGTTTGAACCGCCTAGAGCTGAGTTCAGGGCTCGAACCGAACTCTTGAAGCTCAAGCGGGGTAAGCGTGATGTGCACGCTTACGCTCAACATATACGACATCTCACGAGTTGTATAAGTTCCAATCCGGTGGATGAACACACGTTGGTTTTGGTGTTCATGCAGGGTCTTGCGGATGGTCCCGTCAAGACTCACCTGTTCAGGCTTGAACTAGATTCACTAGAACAAGCCATTTCCATTGCGGAGCAGGAAGACTTCAGTCTGAGACAGGCTCGCGCCAGCTCGACATCATATCGTCAACCGAGACGATATGACAACGGAGGTCCAGAGCCGATGGAACTCTGTTATGTAGAGAGCGAGAAGGCTCGCTCTACAGGCTACAAGAAGTTGCAGAAATGCAACAGATGTCAAAAGACAGGACACTACGCTTACGAGTGTAGTGCCCCTCGTCCAGTGTCTCGCGACACTGGGCGTAGTGACCGTCCACCCATGAGAAAGGGGCAGGGACGAGGGTCCGCTGTTGGTGCAAAGACGCAACAACGGGATGGACCGTCAAAAAACGGACAGGATCAGTAGGTGAGGAGCACCCTACTGATCCAGCAACGTCAAGAGAATTTGTAGGCCTCTTGATGAAGGTTGCTCCCAACACACAAACGTTGTGCGTTGCTGCTCTAGGCAATGAGGTCTCACTCATTACCTTGAAACTCGAAGTGACGAATAAGTTGTCCCTTCGAGCTCTAGTCGATTGTGGGGCGTCCAACAATTTTGTGCGACGCCAATCGCTAGAAGATGGTCACTTTAAATTCAGTGAATGTGACACACCTCCTACGAGGATGACGGTACGTCTTGCGACAGGCGCATCCGTAACCGTCATGAAGCATAGAGTGAAGATACACTATACGCTAGAAGATACCCAATATGACGATGACTTTATCGTATTGGATTTGGATGACAAATTTAATGTCATCCTTGGAATACCGTGGCTCAGAAGGTACGAACCACGGGTAAACTGGCAACATCGGACAGTAACGATGCCTGCCGCTTGTTCGTCAGATGGCCATCTGATGAACGTTTTGGAGCGTCCACAAGCGTGTGGATGTACTACGAGTGAGTGCGATGGCCTCACTTGTGGTACGGTCGTTAGTACGACTGCACAAAACCTTAGTGTAACAAACGGTTACACTTCGGAGCAACGTTCCGGCGGCTGTGAGGAAACACAGGCTGCGCCGAAGGTCCACCACTCGATAAGTCGAGTGGATCGGGACAAAGATGTATCCCTAGCGGGGAACATCTAGAAGAGAAACAATCGATCGCTCAGGGTAAGCGAAACGATAATCCTAGATCGACTGGAGAGTCTTTCGTAGAGGATCTTGCTGTGGTTGCGCAACCCCAGCTAGAGGTAGTAAAGGGAAAAAGTCCCGATATTACAAATACGGCGGAAATAAGTTCCCCGAAACCCGAGGGAATAAGTCCCCGGGAAGCCGAAGGAATAAGTCCTTCGAGGCCTGAGGGAATAAGTCCCCAGGAAATGACAGAGACATTGAATGTCATAGTCAATAACGGATCAAGTGTAGGCGCTTATACACTTGATCTGATTGCGCCTCCGAAGTTGCTTCGGAGATCACTCAGTTGCCAACGCTCGAACACAAAAGGTTCTTGCGTGATCTGCGTAGTGGCAAAGTCAAGCAGATCTGCATACTCGTCGCTGACGACGAGTGTGTAACCGACATAAGGTCAGCAACAGTGTTCACTGAGAACGAGAGAGTTCTCAGTAGTTCATCTATGGACGAGAGTGTCCTGGACAAAAAGACACGAGTTGAGCGATATGACACCCAATCGTGGGAATCGCTCAAGACAAATCCTCTCTATGAAGATTTGGTTGAATTCAAGGATGTATTCCCTGAAACTGTTCCGTGCGAATTACCGAAGGATAAAGGTATTCGACACGAGGTCGAGCTTAAACCAGGCTCGAAGTACTGTGTCATGAAGCATTGGCCACTGCCTCGTGAACAAGTACTTGCGATCGACAAGTTCTTTGCCGATCGTTTAGCTGCGGGCCATGTGAGGGAATCAACTTCCCCACATAGCTCTCCGACCTTCTGTGTGCGAAAAGCAACAGGAGGGTGGCGGATAGTGCACGCGTTCAACAAATTGAACGCTGCAACGGTACCGGCTCAGACGCCGATACCGAGGAAGGACGTAATCATTGATGGTATGTCAAAGAGTACCATCTTTTCGTCCATGGATTTGATGGATGGCTTCTATCAAATCCTTATGCGGGAACGGGATATACCCTATACCGCAGTTAGCACGCCTAGCGGCATGCTCTGGGAATGGCTAGTAATGCCACAAGGGCTTAGTAATGCCCCTGCCACGTTCAACAGATGTTTATCACATCTGTTGAGACCAGTACGAGAATTCGCGCCGAGTTATTTCGATGACGTATTCACCCATAGTCGAGCTATGGATGGAAAGTCGGACGTTGAGGTTCACAGGTACCACGTCCGACAGGTTCTTACAATCATGCGAAAGCATCAATTGTATGCAAACCTCAAGAAGTGTATATTTGCAGCAAGCGAAATACCACTTCTTGGGTGCATCGTTGGTAAGAACGGTGTACGTCCTGATCCCGAAAAGATCACGGCGATCACCGACTGGCCTGTGCCGGTTGATGTCAAAGGTCTTCGAAAATTCCTTGGGCTAGCGGCGTATTTGCATAAGTATTCACGCAATTACGCCGAGATGACTGTGCACCTCTCTCGTTTGTTGAAAAAGAACGAGAGGTGGTTATGGAACGCTGAATGTCAACGCTCCTTTGACGGTATCAAGCAGAGCTTGATACAATCCCCAGTCCTAGCAATAGCCGATCAGGACAGGCCATTTCATGTGGTCTGTGATGCCAGCGATTTTGCAATCGGCTGTGCATTAATGCAGTACGATCTTGAAGGCGTTGAACGCGTCGTCTGCTATCAGTCGCGTCAGCTGCAACCAGCTGAGCGGAACTATCCAGTGCATGACAAGGAACTCCTTGCCATGAAGTATGCACTCGCGAAGTTCAGAGTCTATCTATTAGGAGATAGACCCTTCATTGTTTACACTGACCATGCGTCGTTACGCACAGCAGTGAACAGCCCGCACCTTTCACAACGAATGGTGCGGTTGGTGTCATTCTTTGCAGAATACAACTTTACGGTCGAGTACAAACCAGGACGACTTAATGTCGTCGCTGATGCACTCTCACGTCGTCCCGACTTTGAAACAGTCGCGAAACCCAACAGTGAGACAGTCACTGTTGCGGTTATGACGTCCTCAGTCCCATCTACAACGTTGTATGATGATGTGAGGCGGGCATACGCCCAAGATGGTGAGATAGTGAAGTTGTTGACACATCTCTCCCAACCATCTCGAGAATCGTTAAAACGATTGTCGTCTGCGTATCGATCTGCATCAGATCGATACACTACTCGTAACGGCTTACTGTATTATACAGCCGTTTCTGGTGACACACCACGTGTTGTCATTCCAGATGATACTGATCTGCGTTTGCGGATCATGTTCGAATATTATGATGCTCCTATAGGAGGACATCGTGGCCGGGAGAAAACATATCTCACGGTAAGTCGAGACTTTTATTGGCCCCGCCAGTATCAGTTTGTGCGAGAGTATGTTCGCGCATGCGCAGTCTGCCAACGAGTGAAGTCAAGTCCTTCACTGCGTGCACCTTTACAGCCTCTACCGGTTCCGGCTGAGTGCTGGGAATCCATCTCAATGGATTTCGTCTTCGGGTTACCCAAAGACGCACGCGGGAATACGGGTATTCTCGTAGTTGTTGACAGATTCAGCAAAATGGTACACCTTGTGGCTGTACCAGAGACAATCACGGCAAGTGGCTGTGCTTGTGTCTTTATTGACACCATCTTCCGACTTCATGGGTTGCCCCGTGAACTCGTATCAGACAGAGATCCACGATTCACTGCTGATTTCTGGAGTTCCGTGTTCAAATCACTCGGAACGCGCTTGAAGATGTCTACATCTGATCATCCAGAGTCAGATGGTCAGACGGAACGTGCCAATCGTGTCCTTGAAGAGATACTTCGAGGATACGTACACTCCTTTAAGAGTTGGAGTGAGTTTTTGCCAATGGTAGAGTTTGCCATCAACAACTCGGTGCATGCTTCCACGACACATACACCATTTTACGTGAATGGCTTGCGCCATCCGCGTGTACCCACCTTACTAGAGTGTAACTCTGGTTTAAGGGGGGGAGGGACTCGCGCGAGCAAAAACCGAATTGGTTCACACTCATCACGCTCTGAAGAAGAAGTCATTGCGTTTGATGCCGATATCGATAACATCGATATCGAAGAAGATGATGCCAGTGACAGTGCGGAAGCCCTCACTGAAGAAGATGATCCCAGTGAGAGTGCGGAAGCCCTCACTGAAGAAAATGTTGATGTTGCTGCAGTGCGCTCACAGCACACTGAAGCTAACGAGTCATCAGATGAGTTCATACTGGCTCGTGAAACGGTAGTCCGTTTTGTGCAAGACTCCATCGCCGAAGCGGTGGATAAGCAAAAGCAAAACGCTGACAAGAATGGAAGGGCAAGCTCTCGTTTATTTCATAAAGGTGACTTAGTCCTACTGTCTACGGTTAATCTACCAAAGCGTGTAGTGACTAACTTGGGTAGCAGTAAACTACTACCCAAGTACATCGGCCCATTTCGTGTATTGCACCGCCTAGGCAATGCATACACGATCGAGTTACCACGTAAGATGCGAACGCATCCCACATTTTATGTTGGTCGGCTTAAGCCGTACCATCAGTACGCTGCTTCTTCCGATGAAGAACGCCCTTGCGCTCAAGCATCTCGCAGAGAGCCTTGTGCTCCCGATGGTGGGCATCAACAAGGGTCTGAAGAGCATCTATCTCATCCCGAGACCGATCAACAATCCCACGAGCTACCCTTAGCTCGTCACGAAGAGATGTCAGAGATCTCTCGTTCTCAAGCTGAGCAAAGGCAAACTCAGCTCGATGTTTCAAGACAGTGTCCGCCATTTGGAGACGCCTATTCCGCTCATGTTCGAGATCGTCGCGTAACCCTTGCGTTACGCGATCAAAGAAGCTCTCGGGAACACACCGATCCACATGATCGTATGGAGAGCGTCTTTCCTCCTCCTCCACCTCCATTAGAGGACTCTCGCGGTGGCCAGCGCTATCTAGTTGAGCAGCTGTTGAACCACCGCGACGTGAACGGACGTCGGACGAGTTATCTCGTCCGGTGGCGCGGCTATCCCCCGTCCTGGGATTCTTGGGAGCCCCGCTCCCAACTGATAATCGACGTACTGGGTCTGGTTGAGCAGTACGACGCGGCACATCCTGTGCCGCAGAAGGACCGCCGGAGAAAGTCTTCCCGGCACGGTCGTAAAGGGATTTCAGGTTGTCAATCCCTTCGTACATCTCAGTAGAGATACGTACGCGCCACCACGGGCTATTAGGGAGGTAAGCCTCCTTAGGTGCTCGTGCAGAGTTGTTCACACAACACGGGCACGAGTCTCCCCAAGAGAGGCAGAGTGAT